TAGGTTTTATACAATCTGGGGAAGAAGGGAAGGTGTAGCAAACTTAATAATGGCTTTAATACGGCCTTAAGCAGGACCGAGAGCTTGGAACAAAAGAATTGATTCCATTCCTTCAGATGCTAGATTTAAAAAAATGTCCTTCAGATCAATGGTCTTATTGTGCAAGACTAATTGATTATGGAGATTCTGCTAATTTTATGGTCTCTATGTTGATGATGTGGATTTTTACAGGAAATAATCTCAAGATGATTAGTCGGCTTCCAAGCAAATTATGATGAAAGGAAATTTGAGATGACGATCTCGGTCTTTAATGGTCTTATTTTGTAAGGCATTTGAGTCATTCAGAGTGACGATGGGATCTTGATTCATCAAAAGAATATGCTGCTGAATTTTGAAGAAGTTTAGAAATGGAAGATTCAGATCCAGTTAAGACTCCGGTTGAAATTGGACTTAAGCTACCAAGGATGACGATGAGCGGACAGTAGATCCAACACACTTTAAGCAGATTGGTTGGAAGTCCTACAGATATCTCACATGTACTGACCAATATCTGTTATGCTGTAGGATTGGTTAGTCGAATACATGGAGTCACCTCGGACAGATTCACTTACAAAGCAGTAAAAAGGATTATGCGCTGACATTTAAAGGTAGCTTGCACGATTTTGGTCCTATTTTTTACTCTACATCCAAGGAAATTGAGATCGTTGGACTAACTCGGGACAGCTGATTGGGGTGGAGATTCAGATGAGAAGAAGAGGACCAGTGGTCATTGTTATGCTCGGAAAAACAGTTTCTGTTGGTCATCAAAGAAACAGTCAATTGTTGCGTTATCGCGCACGTGTGAAGTGAGTATATAGCAAGCAGCAGCAAAGTGCTTGTCATTTTGGCTCAGTAATATAAGTAAGTCAAATTTGGTATTACCTTGGGAGGTCGCAAATTAAGATTTATGTTGAACAATGTTTTTGCCAATTATTTTGGGGCAAGGAATCCCGTCTTTCATGGGAGAAGTAAAATAATTGATTATTCGGTATCACTTCTTGAGAGACCCAGTTGGAAAGAACGAATGATCAAATTGGAATATTGCAGGTCAATAAGATCAGATTGCGGACTATACTTTACTAAACCGTGAAAGATCGATGCGTTATCAAGTTAGGAACTGCTTGGCATGAAGATCGTTCCAAATCAGAATTAAGGGGAATGTTGACGCGTAACTATTAATTAATTATTTTGACTTTTATTTACGTTTTGAATTATTCCTGGATAGTTGTCCTAGTTTCAAGGGTTTGTTAGTAGTGTTGATTAGTGGTTTGTTTATTATTCCTTATTTTCTACGGCTTCTGTTAGTTGTCATCTTTTTATTATATATATTGGCTGAAGTAAATCAATAAAAATCAACGGTTCTCTACAGTTATCTCAAATATTGTTTAACTGTCACTTCGTTCTTTTTCCTGAGATTTTCTTCACTAATTATTACTTGTTTCATGCATTGCAAAGTGAAAAAACTTGTTCATAAGGTTTTCCATGCAAACCAATAACTACATTGTTCATATCGCTATAACTCAATGCTTGCAAAACTAATAACAGGACAAGATAATTCGGCATAACATTAGAGATTTTGCAACCACCCAAGTGAAACTGGTTGATTACCTTAGTTCCTGGGTTCTGGTGGTACAATAATATTCTAGATTTAAATCGCCATCAAACAAAAAAATGAATTAATTGTTTTCAGATAATCTGAACTGAACTAATGATGACCTGAGTTCCTGGAATTGGGTGGACGTTTGATAATCGATGGGTTGTAGGAGGCTTAGGCAGATGATTGGCAATTTTTTTGGTTGAGTTGAATGTTGATTCCGGGTTTTGTGGAGGCAATGAAAAGCGCGATGGAGGTTATTGTATTTCTGCAATTTCTGCTAAAAGTTCCCAATCGTGGTGAGACACGTGAGGAAAGAAGAGCTTTCTAGTCTGAAACTTCTAAGGCAATATATAATTTGGTATTTTTGTAGCTTGCGCATTGTTTAATATTAAGTAATAGATGTTTTTTGGATGGAAAGGACCTAGAATTACTTGATGAAATCTAAAACTTAGGGACCTCATAATTGGCTTTTTAGAATAAAGATTCTCAATGATTAATTAAGCCAAAACTTAGGGATGTGATAATTATTTTTCCTCGAAAAGTTTTTGAAAATTTTGATATTTGGTCCAAATTCATGGGGAATAAATTACCTTTTTTTCTTTTTTCTTAATTTAAACCTTATTTAAATTTTTCATAAATTAATTTTACCTTTTACCAATCTCTATATTAAAGGCCCCAAAAAAAAAAAAACGAAAATGCAATAAAAATTTAATTAAACAACATTCAAATTTATCCTAACCACAAATGTGTCGCTTTTTTAATTTCTTAGATTTCTCTTTTCTTCAAAAAATTTTCATTCTTAAAATTTTGGATCAAAATAACTTTAATTGCACTTTGCTGTAAGTAATTTTTTTTTTTGTTTGGAATGTTAAAAAAAAAAAAGCGAATATTGTACTCCATAAAAGTTTGAAAATATTTTCTCTTTTATAAAAAATAAGATAGAAGGGTAGTTGTTTGTTGGGCCTAAAATCAAAAATAAGAGAATGGGAATGGCAAGGGAAGGGCCGGCATTTCTTCCTCATTCATGCAAGTTGAAAAATAAAGTTGCAAATATACAGAAAAGTTAATCGAAGATTTCCCCTACATTGCGCAATGAGAGAGACGAGAGAGAGAGAGAGAGTAAAGGGCGTACAAGTCAACAGACTAAATCCGTCACCTATTCATCCACGCTTGTAATTACAGATCCTAAATCATCGCATCCGTTTTTGAAATCCTTAAACTAATTCATCCACATTCAAACATATATGCCTAATAGGTCAAAGAATTTACCGGTTTAGTAAAAGTAGCATAGAAAGTATATCTTTAAAAAAAATAATTATCCTCTCTCTTTCATCCCATATACTGAAATTATATATTTTGAAATTTTGTTTTCGCCATCACGTCTGAACTTTTTGGTTGTTAGCAACGCCACCTCCATTTGTTCAATTGTTTTATAGTCACAGACTGACAGACAGGAAACCCACCAGAACAACCCTCCACACACTCAGCGTTTCACAATCTCAAACATGAAAATACGCAAGGCACACACATATACAATATTATATTAACAAGAAAGATAAAATACAAACATAAAGTGGATTTCCTAAAGAGAAAGGGTGGGAAAGTGAATCATAAACTAAACCAGAATATTTTTAGTTCCAAATTTTAGATTTAGATGAAATCTATTGTCTTTTCCTTTTTTTTAAGCCAATAAAAATTTAGAAAGGTAGAGATACATTAATGGCTTTCCCTCAACCTCAACAACACCACTACAATATATGGCCTATAATATTGAAATTTAGAGATTCCATTTCATATTTAACTTGCCGTCATTCACATATGTAAAATAACACACCCAGCAAAAGAGACAAAAAAAAAAAAAAATCTACCAACCATTTTTGCACATCCTTAACACATGCAAAATACACCCTTTTGGCAAAGGTATTCTCTTTTGCTTCCACTTTGTATCTATTCTCTCTCTCAGTTTTAGCAACTTTTTTTGGGGTTAATGGGTGTTTTGTGGGCAACTTTACGGCCTCTTAATAGATTTCCCTACCAAATGTTTACTCATACCTTCAATATCTTTATTCATACGCTGTAAATTCAATAGAAATATTTGATATGAGTCCCTTTATGTGGCAAAACACACAAATTTCAAACATGGCATGAGACAAAGCGTTGTGGGGAATGGATGGGGAATTTCAGACCTTTGAACATGGGCGCTTCCTTTGCCCTGGTTGAATATGCACCTATGGCTAAGCCCGGCCTCGTGCCATATTTGAGAATACTTACTACAATTACACATGGAAAACAACCTTATTTTTTTTTAAAACTAAGAAAAGCCCAGAAACAATTCCGGAGACTAGCCCTAAATGAATGCTTCCAGCAAACAGCATACTTAATTCTACCTTCCAAGATAGATAAATAAGGAAATGGCGTAAACTTTAGCAGGTACAGGGGGATAAAACACAAGTTAAAGACATAACCTATTTTGGCTAATCAAATAACAAGCATCTACAGCTCATCGACTAAAACAACCACAAGAAAAGCGACATTAAGTATTGTTGATGAAACGCTGATTTTACAAGAACTGTCACAAATTTTTAAAACAGCTTTGGGGTTCAGCAAGCCAAAGTCAAACTAAAGGACATGGGTTAATACAAAAATGGTTGAAATGGTATAAGCGATTCTTGCGAAAAGAACTACAAAATAAACAAAGATCATCCCGTGAAAATTAGAATGCATCCTGTCAGCAACTCACATTGGAATTGTCTTCATTATTTTAATTTTTTGTTCAATAACAACAAGAAATATCTGGAAGAAACTTTGGACAGAAAGCCCATGCGATTTCTTATCAATATCCATTTTTACATTGTCAAAGTTACGTCCTTGCATTGGCTACGCGTACAGAATATGAGCCAGAGATCATTTTTCTAATGGGAAAAACTATGTTTTGTGGAACTTAAAAAAAATTAGTTGGTTCAGTGAAAAATCTAACATTAGATAACAAAATATGATCACAATGACTGTATAATAAAACCATCAATAAAGTGCAAATTGACGCGACTGAGCCTTACAACTAAATAATCCAAGTTCCAGGTAGATCAAACGCAACATCTACTATTAAAGTCTCCATTTTTTGAATCGCTTAACCCAACTCACAGTGTCAACTCCAGTGAGACTCAATCTACCAACAAAGCTAATTATATTTAATTGGGAATTTCAACTTACCAGAAGGACTTTCTTCAAATCCTGGAAAATGACCTCTGTCGCGATTTTTCATCAATGGTCTCAAACAATCCGGCGAGAATTTCCTTGCAAACAAAATACGAACTGGGAGTAATTCGAATTTCCTTAACTCGTCAACTCAAACACCGGTGATATTTCAAGTTCGGCGGTAGGTGTAAGGATGGACGTTGGTAGTGCCTGTCAATTGGACCCTTGTTAGCGTGTGTTTGTGAGTACAGCCTTTAGGATCCGCCCCTATTGATAAGAGAGTAGGAAAATAATGCTGCTTCTGGGTAACACTCATCAGCCTCTGTAACGGGTTTTGCTTTAAATTTCCTTCCAACGTTCCGATTCTTAATTCACTATCGAGGCGTGGCGGGCGCGTTACACAAAAAAACTGAGACCCAACTTCTGAAATTTCTCGGAAGGGAACTTCTGGAAATCAAAGGGAATAATCTCCTTTAGCCATGTAAGCTTCCATAGACGAGGCTTCTTTGGGAAGATTTCGATGAGCTCTTGTAATTTGAACTCCGAACTCCATAACTGAGTGTGACTCAGAGTCAGATTGCAGAGGACCTGTTAGGATTCGAAAGTATTTTGAAGAGGTAAGGGAGTTGTGACATAAACTGAAGGAGTGAAGGCGGGATTGCAGAATCTGGGAAGAACAGCAAAAATAAGCATTGGCGGGATCATCGACGAATAGCGGTGGCCAAGAGGCGGGCGTGGCGGAGACTAAAGTGGGGCGAAGCACGGTAGGTTGCGTTTTTAGCATTTTCAATGAAGTGGGTCTTGAAACACCGTTGGCCGAGTAACATTACAGAAGGGATCGGCCATGGACATAGAATGTTATACAAATCTTGGTGGGATTTAAAGATTCTCCATAAAGGAGAGAAGTAAAGATCGGTATTGGTAGAAAAAGAAAAGGCTATCTTGAGCCTTGTGATTGGAGAAGGACAGGCGAATGAGAATGAGGAAGGGTGGGCGGAATGCGGCAAGCAGCGGCTTTGCGAAGAGGGAAGATCGTCGGAGCTCAATCGGAAGGAGAGATGGCGGGAAGACGTGGAGGGAGAATTTCGGGGCTAAAGGAAAAAGAATAGGAAGGGAAAAGGAGAAGAGAGAAAGTAAGAAGAAAGGGAAGAGAACATTGAAGGAGTGATTTTTTTAGAAATGAAAAGAGACTGAAAGAAAGAAAGAAATTAGAACGAAGAAGAGAAGGAAGAAGAGGTGACAACTTGGCATAAAAAATGTGAATGTGATAATATATAGGAAAATGGGAAATGGGTGTTTGAGATTTAATTAGGGAGTTTTTTGGTTTTAGGGTTTACATTAGAATTGGCAATCGGAGGGTTTAGGATTTAGGTTAGGTTTGCCTAATGGATTTTTTTGGGCATGGGGTTTTGGCTATGGAGAAGAGGAAAGGTGAAGGGATTTTTGTTGTTTTTTGGGGATGAGAGGTGGAAGGTGAGAGGAGTTTTTTTTTGGACAGGAGGACGGCGTTAAGAGAGTAATTACTTGTCTACTATTCTCACTCTCACTCTCACCGTCATGGTTACGTTACTGTCATTGTTACTGAAGGAAATTTTGTTTAGGAGGTGAGATAAAAATAAAACGTCGGGTTTAGTTACTTAAAACTGATCTGTGTAACTATTATTATTTTTATTATACGTCGGGGTTACTATTTGTTTGCCGTTAGTTACGTTGTGATAACTGTGGATAGATTTCCCGGATCTGGGATCAAATAATTCTTTTGATAAAATTTTTTCATCTTTTACAGTTGTGGTGCAGTGCCTTTTGCATCCTAAAAAATGTAAATTTAATTTTCTTTTTAGTTTACTTTCATTCTTTTTATTTCTTTTTATTTTTTATTATGAATAAAAATTTTTTCCCTTTTTTCTAAAAAAAAAACAAATAATTCTTCAACTATTAATAGGGATAAAAAGTTAAGAAGAAAAATTTTAGCGTCATTCTATGCTTACTTTGTTCTCAAAACCTGGGAAATCTATCTTATCGTCATAGCCTATTGCATTGCTATGACGTTGTTCTTTTCTTCTTTTTCTTTCTTTAAGAGCTACGTTTTGCCATTCCAAGTTATGATAAATTTTTAATTCAATTTTTCAAAGAAAAAAATAAAAATAAAAATTTGATAGTTATTCAACTAGAATTTCAAGAATAATTATATTTTCTTATTAGCCCTCGCAAAATTGAAAATTGGATTAGATGGATGGGAGAAGCTAATAAGGAAAAACGAGAATCTCGAAAATTCGAAAATGGATATATTTGTAACGAGAAAACAATTGGTGTAGGATAAGAAATTCAAACGAACTAACATAATAAACTTTTTCTTTTTGAAGAGATAAACTGACTGTTACATAATTATGATAATAAAATCAATATACGATTAAATCTAAGCCTACATCTTCTTATTTCTTCTGTTGTTGCATACTCTATGAGGCTGTCTGGTTCATAAGGTGGACGACTAAAGAACTTTTAGAAACGACTCAACCCCCTTTCAAACAAGAATTTCCTTCTCAAGATCATCTTGGTGGTTTCCTATTTTGATACACATTTTGGACTTGGATGAGTGACGCATCTTCCTCGTCCAAAGCGTACGGATTACAATTCGCCAAATGCACCTCTTCCCCTTTTTCTTTTTTCCAATTTATTCCTCTATATAGTACCACTCTCAAAATTAAATAAAACTAAATAAACAAGAGGAAATCCTCTCTTTTGAGATGCACCAAAAAAACAATAAATAAACAAATTATTGCATAAACCATGCAAACACACGCGGGAACAGCATTTGCTGGATTTGCTAAATGATATCTTGGACCACCTTTAAAATTACAACAGTCTGGGAGAATTTGTATTCACAAGAATACCAAAAAAATTTTCAACAATAGACGGAATACTTCAGCCAATCGCCAAAAATGCTTTACAATAAAAGCCTAGTTTCATGGGAAAAAGCACTTTCCTTTTCACCACAGGCAGAAACAAGAGGAAAGAGAACTTACAGTAGCAATGCTACCAGGGCAAATGCTCTGAAAACCATAATTTTGAAATTAAAAATATTGAATAATCACAAAATTAACAAAATAAATACACAATGACTACATAGTCACGTACCAAACCTGCTCCATCTTAATTCTCTGACAAGCCAAGCACCTACCTCTAATTTGCCATAATCAAAACCAACTAGATTTTATGACAACGAATGAAAAGAATCTGATTTGCCATCCTCTTGCAACATCCACCCTATAATATACAACAACTGATACAGCAGCAATTAAAATGGAGCTGGACTAAATAATCATCTTCATGGAATTCTCATGCTAACATCAACATCTGTGCAAGCAGCTCTTTGTAGCATTTGTGTCCCCAATACCTATTTTAACTTAGATTTATTCCCTTGCAGACTTATGAGAGCCTGCTGTCCCTTTAGCAGTAACTTGGCTTTGGCCTTGGCTGCCTGAGCCCCAGCACTTCCTCCTGCTTAAACCAAATTAAAAGCATAAATAGCATGAAAATATTGCTTACTCTTATGGAAAACATTTCCCATGACCTTTATTCTGTTGGCGCCTGCCATACAAAGGTTATTCATCTTTTTGAGTAATTGGGGCAGGGATGAGTCGAAGATGAAAATTCTTGCCCTAACAAGAATTTTTGCAACATTATAGCTTAATAAAAAATTATAATTAGTTAGAAATTATGTATATTTTAATAGATTTTTTTTATGAGAAAAAAAAAGGGAGGTAAAGAAAAGAAAGAGAATCCAAAATGACTCAAGAACAAATAGGATGTAATAGTTTAACAATTTGTGAAGTTGAAACAAAAAGTTCAATAAATGAAATATAAATACCACTACCTATGCATGGTAGTATTCAGTAATTCAATTTTAAAGCTTCGTGTTCCAAAAATTGTAAAACCAAGAAAACCCAACATGCATTAATAGTGTTGTTTATAAGTTCCAATTTTATATTTGTAATTAAATCCATAGTCGCCTTCTGTTTTTTAAACCATCTTCGCCCCTCTTTCTCAATTCTTTTCCTTCCCTCTGTCTCCCAATCTAAAGTCTGATGCTTCTCTGAGTCAAACAAAGATAGACTGGTTGCTTGTCTTTCACCTCATATTTATCTTGTTTTGTTTGGTTTTTAAGTTTCTTAGATATATTTCATTAACTAACAGTCCCTTTCACTCTATCCTTCTCTTCCCTCTTCCGCATGGCATCGTTTCAATATGAATTCCCCATCCTTCCAAATGGAAAAAAAGCTTTTTTTATCTGACCATTATTATGGTTTAATGCCAACATAAATTTGTCTTTCCAATGAAATTCGAAATTCATGTTCTGCGCTATCTTTTAAATGTGACATTCAGCAATGACACTGAACATAACCCTCACAATGCTCAAACAAATTTGCTTTGTATTGTTCTTTGTTTGATAGGCAGTTTTGAGTTTTGGACGGGTCCAACCTGCCCAACAAGCGCAAGTACAGCTGTACCGCCATGCCCCCCTCTAAAAACTCGTTACTTGACTGACTGGTGTCTTAGACAAAGAAGTAATGGAAAATAGGTAAGTCTACATTTTTACTGTCTGGAAGTATACCTTTTGAACACATAACTAGTAACTTCTAATGTAAAACAATTTTGACAATTATTTAATCTTCTTTGGATACAAGTGACTAACTCTGGTATCCAAAACATTCAACAATCTGAGCCAGAATGCTCTGGCAGGCAGATAAGGCCGGAATTTTCGTGTGCATTCAGATGAAGCAAGCATAAATTTAGAGGAACCTAAAAACTAGAAAAGAAAGCAGCACCAATCCCTTAAAGTAAACTTAATAGGACCAAGAAGAGTGAGATTACTAACAAAATTCAGAACGCAATTGCAGAGAGTGGCGGAGAAATATCCACTATTAGGCAGAGACATTCTCCTCTTTGGCCGCTTGTTTTATCTGGTTGTATTGACTCTCTTTAGGATTGCTTTGAGATTCTTTGAACAGTGCAGGTTTTGAGTGGTCTTCTTCAGTACAGATCTTCAAGACTGGCTTTGGCTTTGGCTTTGCAAAAGCGTGTTGGATTCCTCTAACTTGCTTAGGAGAAGTCTGCCATCAGAATTGGATTGGGCCTGTTTCTGAACTTGAAAGGTTTGGTTGTAACACTAGAACAACTGCGCTTCTTGCAAAGAGACTTTAACTGGAGTTTGGTGGGCCATTTCTTACCTCAGGTGTTCAATTTTCACGAATCATAACCCCATTTCTCTCAGATTTATGTCAAGAAATCTATTCTCCCATGGACGGACTGCCATCCCTTTCCAACCAGTTTCCATCCCAACTACTTTTATCTGGTTCAAACCCCAGGCCTGGAACAAGCATGCTGTCTGGATCCAGCCTTTGCCACTATACAGAAGAAATTTAATCTTATTTGTTTTAAGATCAGCTTGTGGGTGGGAAAAAACAAAAAAAAGCCAGAGGCAAAATTCACAGTATATTCAAATAATTTTAATGGTAATACAGTATGGAGCAAGGAATTTAAACAGATATACATGGGAAAGGACCTTTTTTTCCTTTTTATTTTTTGTAGGCAGTAGGGCTAAGGGACCTAGCCTCTTGCTATAGGGTATCACGTCACCGATAGACAGATTGAAATATATGCAAAACAATTAATCAAACATACACAGCAACTACCTAAATGTTAATCATAATTTTACCTGATGAGCCAAAGCATAAGCCATAAGCTCTCGTCACGCTTAGCTGCAGCGCTCCTGCCTTTTAGCACTTTGGCCTTGAATTTCTTCAACAGACCCTACGTATCACACGACCCTTCCTGTATGATTAAAGTGAAATATCCCCCCCCCCCCCCAGGCACTTAGAGCATAAAGGACACTAGCTGAAAAAAATCAAGTCGTTTGAAGGGTTCAACCTGGAAAGTTTATTCGACTGATCACACTAAGAAATGGGACCACTTTTACTAACCTAAAAAAATTAGAGATAAACAACAATGGGTAGGTAAGCAGATGTCTAACTGCTTCCTTTGAATAGCATGGAACGATACTGTGTATGCCATAATATACATTTTCGACATATGTGCTGACATGGTGCTATAAACTTCAAAAATATAGCTTAACTCAAATATTTGCAAGGGGAATTTTGCTGCCCAAATGCCAATCCTAAATAGGATTAACGATAAATCCTAAAAAGGAAAGGCAGGAAACAATGCCAATTAATATATCTAAAAATATGAAAAAAAAAGTCATAAGCACAAATTCTTAAGCTTAAGGAGATGGGGAAATGGAAAGAATTAATATATATTGAGGAAAATACTATGTTTCTAAAGAAAAGTAGGAAAGAAAGAAGGAAACTTTTGAGCTGCCAATACTGGAGGGACTTACGCAGCTGCCACTTGTTCCTGTGTCCTGATTATCAATTTCATTCAATGAAGTCCCCTTTTTATCCACACAGATGCATGACCAACATTGAAATCCATTGCAAGAAAAAGAAGGGAAGAAAGGCGACTGGCTTTATGAGAATCAAGCATGCTGACAAAGAATGAATGCCATACTACCGATATAAACATGCAAACTAATTTTGTATCTCATTAATAGAATTTCATGTGTTTACCTCTATTTTCTCTAACATCCGAGCCTCATTTGCAAGCTGCTGCTGAAGTTTTTGCTGGGAGCTGTTTGACCTTTCTATATGCTAAGCGAACACCGCCTTGCCCGGGGCCCTGAACTCTCACTAAAGCTTTGCATGCACGCAGAGTTATTGCAGCCTGCTTTCTCAAAGCATGGCCCCTTACAAGTGCTTGGAGTCTACTAATCCTTTTAAAAGCTCGGTAAGCTCTTTAGCCTGCATATTTTCAATTTTTACAAAACATTTCAGGTCGAACAACTAAAATAATAGAAAAAAAAAAAAAGAAGAAGAAGAAGTTATCAAGACGTAATAATTGAGGAGTACAATATACAATCTGCTATAACCTACTTCAAGATTGCATAAAGAAAACGAAATTAGATATAAGAGAATATTGTGTCACATTGCGAAGATTATTTCTTGACTTGATATTGCCACTTCGGCAATTTAAATTATTAAATCGGAAAAAGGGGAGGGGGGGGGGGGGGGGGGGGGGGGGTTCATTAAATGGAACCATATGCCTTGATCTGGGGGCTTATTTCAGCCTGGACCAGCAGCTTTAAATTGTAACAATGCCAAACATAGACTTTACAAATCATCATGACTGGAGAAGTAAATGAAATCTCTTTTTGTAATTTCTCTCCACCTACTTTTTTGTTTGATGAAATTGGTTAAGAATTTTAATTACTCACATAATAAACTTTAGGTTGGCATATGGCTTGTATGAGATAGTTATATATCAAACAATCTTACAGAGAATTCACGACCTAAGGTTCATTATTTAAACACTATATTTACATATTAATTACTGCCTTTAGTAAAAACTGAGTGCATAAACCCGTGTACTTCATCAGATGAGAGCTTCCTTTGGAAACCTCTTCTGTGAGATTATATGGAGAAATGAAGAATTTGAAGGAAATCAATTAACGTTTTAGTAGTAACAGTTTGTAAATGCAGGATTGGCTTTATAATGATTTGACATTTAGAGTTTGATCTAATCTGAAATTATCCCAAAATGTTAGAAGATATGCCAAAATTTGCCACCGCCTAGCCCCAACCCATTCTTTATTAAAAAACTTACGAGTTACGACGGTTTATCCGACTAAAAAAATATTGAGCAAAAAGAAATCTATTGAATGCAACATATTACTGAGAATACTAAGGAGGAAAGGTCAATGCTACCCCCACAGTACCATGAATGTTTAAAATTGTAGCAACATCATCCCCATGGTCACGGCTGCAGCCACCACCGGCTACCACCAGCACCATCATCATATCATAAGACACAGAGGAGTTTCAATTTCAACATATTGATTTTATTTTATTTCATTTTTTATTTTTCATAATATAACTTTAAGCATTCAGATATTAAGATCATCAAACAGAATAATATATTGAGAGCAGATTGTTGAAAATTAAAAACTTCAAAGCTGGTATCATACAGTGTAGTCACCTTTCCAATTTTAAAATTTGAGCACTCAGAATTTTAACGGTAAATGTAGACTTATAACACTAAATGTTTAGTGAGAACCTAATTAACATAAATGCAACTTAAGACAGTACTAAACAAAGCAAAAGAACTTTTTCATGGATAAACTGTACTACAGTGCAGACAGAATTGAAGAGCCAAATTAGCTAGTGTGGTAAACAAATAAGAGTTATGGTCTTAGAAGATAGAACAGTTACTCTATCAAAATCATGTTGCAGAACTGCTCCACGTGTCTATTATTTGGTAATTGCATGGGTCTTCACTCTTCAGGATATTGCTGTATCATTTCCTATAAATCCGACCAAATAGAACATCCACCCTTTTTTCTTCCACCACAACAATAGAATGATTTAAAATTCTGAACTTGAACATGATAATGTATAGGTTTTATTCATGTAGGTGAATAAAAAACTTTATTGAATGTAAATTTGCAATGTCTATAAGGAGGTGGAATTTCAAATCCTTGTTCAAGTAAGTAACCATTCATGAATCTAATTACTTAAATAATGAGCCAACTTTATTTGAAAACTTCCAAACCAAATCGTGTCCAAATTCCTTTTTCTCCATGCATGGTCAACCTACCTACCTACCTTGGATCTCTATTATTTTCCTTGGCCATCTTAAAGAAAATAGAAGCTTTAAATAGTGTAATAAGTACAGATGGATATGCAAAAACTAATATATAGTCAAAGGATAAAGCTCAGGAATGTAGTTGACGCATGTTAAGTTCAAGTTGACATCAACATAATGTAAAAACACTACAATCCATCAGTTCATCCTAAAATATATATGTTATTATAGTGTATAATGAAACAAGTAATCAGCATTAACTGCTTTAAATTCTCACAAGTTAGATTGTGGGATATCACAAGGATTAATACCAGAAATCCTCGAAAAGCTGTTTGAATTCGTGTAGCGGCCCATTCTTCTCTCAAAATTTGTTGATTATCAGCTACATTCTGTGCTTGAAGAGAAGCAGAAGGGGATTCAGAAACATCTGGGACAGAGTGAATGTTGGCCTCACCAATTGGTTCAGCAACATTGTCACTGAACTCCTGAAGTTTATCAGCATCAATCTCAACTGAATGCTTTCTCCTATGCCGGAACTTACTAGTAGTTGTCCTCTGTGATGACTGAAGAACAAAGTAAAAATGGCAAAATGATCAAGAAGCATTTTAATATAACTATTTTCTTGGAATTTGGTGGCAACTTCAAAGAGCTAGTATAATCATCACAGCATATTTTAGTTGCCCTGTAGCTTCATCTACTTTTTCAAACAAACAGAACAATTATAATGAATTTTGCACAAGAAAGAAGACAAGAGAAGATGACTTTCAGATTATGCTAAAGAGATATTTTTTCATTACACTAAAGTTTATGATGATCATAATATAAGAACAGAAATAATTCAAGTTCAAGTATGACTCAGATCATCAGGCAAAATGAAAACACATAACAACAATATTACCAACATACTTATGTGGAATTGTTGTTGTGGTTGCTGATGAAGGAATCACTATCTTGAATAAATTAATCAGAGGCAACTAAAATTCTTTTAAGATGGATTTGACATCTTTTGGTCATAAAAATGAATGAATACATAAAACAGCTTAACTGGAATCTCAAATTGCATTTTGCAATAGTATCTGAAATGGTGTGTTCCAGAAAAACAATTTCAATTTCAATGCCAGACAGACAATGGGTGAAAAATAAAGAAAATAATAACACCCACATTGTCACCCTTCTCTGAAGATTGTGCCTTTTCTGACTTCTTTAAACCAACCAATGCTTTAATCCATTTCCCTGAGACCCCCATAGTAGTGTCACTGTTGCGTATAATTTACAAAACCTGCCAAAGCATAGTAATTGACAACTTAGAATGACCTTTTTTTTCCATGAAACTGATCTTAGCCAGCAGCTCCAGACAACACAGAGAGGATAATAGATTAAGAGCAAAAAGTACTTTGAATTCAGAAGAAGTCATATATTTCTGCTGAAATACTCCTCAAACTAAATATAAATACAACGTAAATAGAAAAACAAGGCATTTTATTTTATTTTATTTCAGAAACCTAGTACAAGAACTCCATTTTGTAACACAAACAAAAAGAGAAAAGATATGCTGTCCTAAAGTGCTCCACAGTTCAGGCTCAATTCCGCTAATCTATAATTAATCAAGTTGGAAATTAAAATCATAAAATCAAAGACTGCCAGTTAGCAATAGGATAGGGCGCATCATATATTGGCCAATTTAACATTCAAAAACAATGCTAGAGTGGATTCTATTATTGATGAGAAACTGGAATCATAGTAAAATCAATAAGTTAGCCATTACTAGATTAGTCAAGATGATGATGCTGACCAATAATAATAATAATAATAATATTTAGAGTATTTCAGCAGAAACACTTCAATAATATGTCTATCATTGACAAGAGGAATTGGCATAAGTAAGATTTAAAAAAAAAAAAAAAGAAAATAAAACTGAAATGTAGCTGCAGTATCTTCAAATAAAACATAAAATTGTAGAAAGCAGCATTCTGAGGAAGAAAAAATAAAATTCCCTGAAATTTTGTCACCAACCTTTCACAAGCAATCTCCAAAATCAAATACCTGCACTGCTTTGAAATAGTGACTTCAATAACCAAATTCAAGCCACAAACGCCATGCCAAGCCGCTAATCAACCTCCCCATTCCTTGCACCCTGAAATGCATAGCTTGCTATATTTACTCATAATCCTCATTAAAAAAAAAAAAAAACGTGCATACAACTCGTCTTTCCTATAATAAATTCACCAGGAAAAAAATTATGACAAAAACAATAATAAGCTCAACAGCAAACACATTTCAACCAAATCCTTATAATCTACTAATATTGCAGCTTCTACATCCAAGATCTAATTCTCACTCGGTGCAGAATTTTCAATTACAAAAAAATCCAAACCCTAACTCCATAAACTACTAAACCAATTCAAAGCAACAACTAAGACCCACCAAACAGTAGAATTTGAAGGTGAAGAGTCACAAGTGTGGTGAAAACTAAGAAATTCGGCGTCAAATGCACTTCAAAAGACAAAAAAGGAATGAACAAATTAAACAGGTAGGCAATGTAGATAGATCCACAGATCATGACCTTGAAAATCATAATTCACCTGAATCTTGATTTCTATGAGAGACGAAGACAGTACACAGAACCAAGGCCAAAGAGAAAAGCGGGAAGTACCTTTACGGCCGTTGATCTATCAATCAGTCAACAAAAGTCAAACGGCACTCACTAACACACGTACATACACACAGTGTCAATTTTACAGGACCAGAATTGGATTCAAAAGCTGTAAAAGCTCTCTCTCTATATCTCCCTATAATTGGATTCAGAAAGCCTCACAATACACTATCTCTACGAAATATTTCTCATTCTTTTAAGGCCATAAAAGCCAAGAGCGAATGGAGGGAGTGAGGACCGGTGTCGGCTAGCGTGCGCCGGTGGAGTGGATTTTTATTATTATTATTTTTTTAATAGTTCGGCAACAGGGGCAGACGTGATCGGGACGACGTCGTTTAAGACCGGTGGATTTGGAGTTGAGTCGTTGTCACGCTTGCAGTAGCGACAAGGGAGAGAGTCCGTCACGGGATACAGAGAGCGATATTGCCAAATCGCTTTTGGCGTACGTTAGAAACCAGCCGCGTAAGTTAAAGGTTAAATTAAATAAAGTTGGAGGGAAATAAATAAATAATAAATTCGATTTTGGGGGGCAAAAAGCAATAATGCGGTTGAATTTAGAATCAATTAATTTTTGGAGTGATTTGATGATAATTATTAGAGCCATAAATTAAAAACAATACAATAAACATATTTGAGGAACTTTTAGTTCCATTATTGTTTTCCTAACCCTTAATTTATTGAGCTTGTCTTCATTTAATTGATAAATAAGGCCAATTAATTTGAAAATCTATTACCACTAATTTAGTCTAATTCGATTTTAAAAAATAAAAAACGAAAAGTTTAAAAAATCCCAAAAGATACTATAAATTAAATAAAAAATATTTATTAAAAAACAGAAAATTAACTATGATTAAGTTTCTTATTTAAAATACTAATTAATTAATAGGATCATACTATAAAATAATGCTTCGCCATTCCATCGAGCTTAATAGTTTGGAGTTAAAAGATTAACCTACCTCCATCCATGCTTAATATCAAAAAATCTGTTTATTATCTACAATAATATTCAGGAATATGAGCAACAATTATAATTAAAGGGATATATGGGAATAAAATTCTATTAGATTTTAAAATTTCAATGGTATTCAATCAAGATTTTTTTGAAGTCTATTAAAATTTTGTGGTATTCAATTTTGACTTTTTAAACGTCCATATAAATTTGAAGGTATTTAAAAAATTACTGATTTGGAAAGTTTCTATAAAATAATTAATTTCATTGAATTTTAGAGTGTTATGTATGAATAAAAGATTCATTCACAAATTCATCTTCCAACCTAAAGATTTCAAAATTTTTTAAATGAGATGGAAGTGAACGGGTACCTGCGAATTTTAAACTATATGTATAGATATCCGTTTAAATTTTTACTATCCGTATTTGTTCTAAACCATTTTAAATACTCATTTAAGTTTGCCCTGATTGCGGTTGGACCACCAGGCTCTGTGAGCCGCAGGTAGCGGCTATGCATTGGGCCTGTCTCGATATGTGCTGCCTCTTTGCAGCAGATGTAGGTCCTGGTTAACGTTGATTGCTGGTTTTCAGTTATATATATATATAAACATGCGATTTTCTGACAAGACAGTTGTTGTTTGGTCCAGGGACAAGAACCCTGTGGTCTTTCGACCACATTTGCAACTGTTATAGAAATGCGAGATGGCTACCGGCAACGCTAGCTATTGCAGGCCTTTCATTATCGGCGGCGTAAGGTTTTAATGAAGAAAAAAATGATTTTAAAGAAGGTAACACATTTTGCCTTCTGATCCCTCATTGTTTTTCAATTGGCTCTAAAAAACCTCTAATTTGTTTAATTAGTGTGACATTCGATCTGGCAAAAAGTGATTCTAAGAGTGTGGATAGAGCAAAGCTCCAGCTAGCTTCTAGGATGATAGACTAACTAGAATAGTGGAATGCGGGACAAATGAATGAATTAGATCATATATTGAAAAGGGAAAACTAATCAATAGAGACGCTTTTTGGTAGAATAATCTAGAGAATTGAAAAAACACCAAGATTAAACGTGCTCGTTTAAAGGAAATCCCGGAATGAGTGACCACCTGAGAGATTCTTCGTACGAGTTTTGTTAATCCAGTATGAGATGGATTTGACTTGATTCAAAGCATACAATTTATTTGGTGGTTCGAGTTTTGCTAATCGAGTATGAGATGGATTTGCCTTGATCCAAAGCGTACAATTTCTTTGATGGTTAGAGTTGGGCGTGACAATTAGGTCCTAAAATTAATTTTGATTGGATATATAAATTCATTGTAATTTTATCAAAGTCAATCAAACTAAATGTTTGTATATAAATCTATAAAAACTCAATTATATCTCTTAAAATCTTACACAATCTTAATCCAATAAACCCCTAAATGTTTATAAAGAGAATATGTCTATATCATTTAAAATCTCCAAGGTACAAGTTAAATTTATTAATAATCTTGTAATCGCTAAGTTATCCTCTAACTATTTAGTAATTTGTTGTCCTCTTTTAATTTGTTTTGTTGAGTTTATGATAAGTTTTCTTCTTCTTCTTCTTATTATTATTATTAATTAATTAATGTTTGATCATATGCAATTATATTATCCCTTCCTAATATATACTTCAGGACACTTTACATGAAGGAGATAATTACAATTTTATCTTTATATCTAAAATCTAAGCCTTTATAGTTTAAATTTTGATTCAACTAGAGGGATTTAAGAAAAAAAAAAAATTATCTCTTATATGACCACGGCGGGCGTTTTTATAAAATCTTTAAAATTAGATAAAAATAATAATGTGCTTGGACGAAAAATTACATAAACGACAGTAATTATTTTTGAGGCGTTTAATGAAAAAAGTAATAATAAAAAATAATAAATAAAAAAAACACGAAGAACAATACAGTTGGACTTGGATGGATCAAACATTAGTTTCGCTAGAAGGTCCAACGGGCCGAAGTAGCTACAAAATAAAGTGGCCGAATCAAACATTACTAATAAAATAATTTATTTTTAAAATGATAATAATAAAGTATGGAAAATAATTAATTTATCTATGAGGTTTGATCAAATTAATTAATTTATCTTCGTATTTTATTAAAATTAATTAATGGTCTTTGAGGTTTATTTCCGTGCTTTTATCCACTTTTTCCTGATTGAAAAAAATTACATTATAATTTCTGTAGTTTGCAAAATACAATTAATTTGTTATTGTCTTTTAGGATATAAATTAAAATGTTCTTATAATTTAATTCCGTCAGACTATAAGGTATTTTCGCCTAATTTTTATATTTTTTTCATTAAATTTCCTTTTTATTTTAAAAAATATAAGACGGATTATTTATATTTTTTAAGCTTTAGAGACTACATAGTATTTTTCTGGTACAATATTTTAGTATCTCTCATTTGATTTCCTTGTTTTTTATCGACTTAACAGGGAAAGATGTAAAAATTGGACAAAAAGACCTAATGATATAACATAAGCAAATATAAGGACAAATTAATATAATTTAAAACAGATAAAACAGACTAGTTGTATTTTGTAAATTGCAAGAACTTTAACTGTTCTTCCTATTATGCTATTAAATTGTGTGAAAAGACAAAAATAACATCACAATTAAGTAAGAAAAGAAGATAATAAATTTAACTTTTTGCCCTCACCTTTTATGGTTCAACGGGTAGTAAACATTGGGACTATTAATTAATATTAATAAAATATAAAGACGAATTAATTATTTTGGTTGAATTAATTATTTTTCCTAATAAAGTAGTATTAATTTCGGAAATTACTGTAATCACGCTATTCGTAAAAGTAATGTTTAAGCCACACCTAGCTTTACCTTACTTTTTCGTCCTTGCTTGCCCTCCGGGACGCAACGAAGCAGGCAGGCGGTTTCAAGGAAGGATCTAGAACTAGAAGAAGACCAAGACCAAAACTGATAAGCGGATCCAACGGCCCAAAAACAAAAGAGAAACAAAGCGAATTCTAGAGCCTTCTCTCTACGAGTGAAATCCCCACTCATATAAATGCCTCACCATACGGGTGAAAATGCCAGAAGCTGTGTGAAATATTCGTTGCGTTTGCGTGTCCAGAGCCTTCTTTCTGTTTTTGATCGAGGAAGAAGAAGATGTTCGGCAGAGCACCGAAGAAGAGCGATAATACAAGGTACTATGAAATATTGGGGGTGTCGAAGAACGCTTCACAAGATGATTTAAAGAAGGCTTATAAGAAAGCCGCCATCAAGAACCATCCTGATAAAGGAGGCGATCCTGAGAAGGTGATTGAATTTTGTTTATGTCAGTCGAATATTTCTGTTCTGGGTATACCTTTAATTAGGAAATTGACAAAAAGGGCATGATTAGAATTTGTTTTGCTTCTTTTTAAAATTTCTACAATTTTTTCTTTGTTCTTGTTATGTTTGGCTGATGAGTATCTATATTTAGAGTTCTCATCGTTTGTTTTATTGAAATTTCAATTGCAGTTCAAAGAGCTAGCCCAGGCTTATGAGGTTTTGAGTGATCCTGAGAAACGTGAGATATATGATCAATATGGTGAGGATGCGCTTAAGGAAGGAATGGGTGGGGGTGGTGGTGGCCATAGCCCCTTTGACATTTTTGAATCCTTTTTTGGGGGGAGCCCATTCGGAGGAGGTAAACATCACATACTTCTATGCCTGTTTCGATGCGCTATGTTTGTTTATGTGACCTCTAATCTTGTTTGGATAAGGTCTTACTTTATGTGCTTGCTTGTTTTTATAGGTGGTAGTAGCCGGGGAAGGAGGCAGAGACGGGGAGAGGATGTGGTACATCCATTGAAAGTCTCGTTGGAGGACCTGTATCTTGGCACTACGAAGAAGCTTTCTCTATCCCGCAATGTGATTTGCTCCAAATGCAATGGGTGAGTTGTCTCTTTCATGTATTTGCTAACCTTCAAATTGAAGTAGGAATGGAAATAACTGTCCAAGTTTGAGAATCATAACTTTTAGTTTATTTTTAAATGACTAACAGAATTTTTCGGTTTGATCAAGAATTATATTGAAAGTCAGTATCATTTTTTTTTTTTTTTGAACGGAGAAAGTCGTATTATTTAAATATAAATCAAAGGTATTATAACATAAAAATGTTGAAATATGAACCAAGACTTTGCATTCTATTTTCATTTCTGTAGCGAGATGTATGTGAAATTGTTGTATTGCTATTACATTGCTGACTCAAGACTTTGTAACGCATTAATGGCAGCAAGGGGTCGAAATCTGGAGCTTCAATGAAGTGCCCTGGTTGCCAGGGTACAGGTATGAAGGTCTCAATAAGACAGCTTGGCCCATCAATGATTCAGCAGATGCAGCATGCTTGCAATGAATGTAAGGGTACTGGTGAGGCAATTAGTGATAAGGATAGATGTTCCCAATGCAAGGGAGAGAAGGTTGTTCCGGAAAAGAAGGTGTTGGAGGTTATAGTAGAGAAAGGAATGCAACATGGCCAGAAAATTACATTCCCTGGTGAAGCTGATGAAGCTGTATGTCCTTAATCCTTTGATTAGTGGGTTTTGTTTTGTTGGTGTCCTTTGTCTTTGAGTATCATTATATTCAATTGGTTGATTGTCTTGGTGTTCTTGCAGCCTGATACAATCACTGGGGATATAGTTTTTGTCCTTCAACAGAAGGAGCATCCTAAATTCAAGAGAAAGGGAGATGACCTCATTGTAGAACATAATCTATCCCTCACTGAATCTCTTTGTGGCTTCCAGTTTGTACTAACACACTTGGATGGAAGGCAGCTGCTTATAAAATCGAACCCTGGAGAAGTTGTCAAGCCTGGTAGGTGAAGTGAAAGAATAAATTTTTTTGACTTAGATGTTTGTTTGCAAAACAACTCATTGTTGATCCTTAATGCAGACTCATTCAAGGCAATTAATGATGAGGGCATGCCCATGTACCAACGACCATTCATGAAGGGGAGGCTATACATCCATTTCAATGTGGAGTTCCCTGATTCTCTGACTTTAGATCAGGTTAAGGCACTCGAGGCAATTTTGCCTCCAAGGCCATCCAGTATGTTGACAGACATGGAGCTGGATGAGTGTGAGGAGACTACTCTGCACGATGTTAATATGGAAGAGGAAATGAGAAGGAAGGACCAGCGCTCACAACAGGAGGCATATGACGAAGATGATGATATGCCTAGTGGTGGACAGAGAGTTCAATGTGCCCAGCAGTGATGGGGCTGGATTTAGTGCTGTAGTAGTTTGAATCTAATTCTGGACCTCCAAATATTAAAATGTCATATCAATTTGTGAAACATATGATGATCATGGAAAAATCTTCAGGAAATGACAAGACAATTACTTGCCTGCTTTTATCAATGGTGGAAAATATCCTGTTGATGCGATGGTTCTTCCTTCTGTTTGTGTTACCAGTTATGGATTGTTGATCTTGATCAAGTTTCTAGTTCTCTCTTATTCCTCTTATTATGTTCTTAGTTGAATATCTGGATTCTGACAAGTGTTTTTGTTTGATGGAATTGACTGGTCTTTACTCAAGTAGTAGATCCCTTTTCCTATGATAACTATGAACGTCTGTTTTAACTTTCAGTTCTAAACGTAAGTATAGGGTTAAGCTGCATTGCATTCTGTGAAATTTAAATTCAGCTTGGATGAGTTTAAAATGTGGTTTATACAAAAGTCTTGAGGTGAGAATGAGGAATATCGAGGCAGGTGAGAATATTTGAGACCCATCAATATCAGGAAATTTAATATATATTTTTGTGTTCATAAAAATACATCATTGAACAGTTCAAAATCTAGGAGCTGCTCGACAGGCAATTGCAGCACAATACAGATTAATGAAAACGGTCTACCCTTTTTCTTATCAGTCTTTTGCTAGTTTATATGTAAAGTATTTTGCTATTCTGATTTATAGTCTAAGATGTACAAATAATCTAAGGACCTCAGCCTTTGGACAGGAAAGCTTTGTGGTATTGATTTGAATTTCAACAATAAAAGAATTTCACATCAATGCACCTACACTAGTCACTCAGAATGTCGAACTTTTTCTGCAGATACCGAAACATCTGCGGAATTGAAAATTTTGGTTTATTTCCAGATTTTATACAGAGTCTTGCTACAGCTAGGAGATTTTTAAGCTCTTTAGAGTCGTAACTGTTTCCAAGATCAGGGTCTATCATGTTTTGGATGGAACTGCGAAAGCGAGACCCTTGAATCCATTGTATTAAATCCGTGCTTCCTTTCTCTGACGACTGACCAGTTATTAACTCCAAGATTAGCACTCCCAGCTGAAAGATTATGTTTCCACAACTCTGGTTCATACAATCTGCATTTGGAAAATTACATAAATAAAGTTTAAAGATCACCTTTATTTCTTTGCAAATATCATGCAAGAAATGATAGTTGAAAATCACCTCCTGTGCACGATGCATGAGGCGTTGTAACATAATTTTCAACGGAACTAAGAAGGCTGACACTGGAGAGCTGACATAATTAATCAAGTCTGAGATCTCTATGAAGTCAAACGCAAAATATTCAAAAAGTCAAACTAGCAATCGAAAAAGAAGATGAGAGAAGTACCCTTACCTTGGCAGTGAAGTTCTCATCGAGCATGATATTGCTTGAACTAATGGATACATGATACATTGGTGGGTTACTAAAGAGAAGCAAATATTCCTGAAATGTAAATTAACCATAACTTAATCAATACTTTTAACCAGTATGCACTTGCTGGCATATTCTACATGCTTTTAGCAATGCCTTTGATGCAAGAGGATGCATATTAAAGGTGGAGTATATTCTCTTTTATCAACAACCCAGAAGGAACAACATAATCCTGACTTCTTTTTTCGGTCTATCAGTGAACTACACAATAAGGTAGCAAAATTCTACTCTTATTACACAACAAAGAAGCAATACAGGTCATGGGTTCGATCTCAGCAATGCAAACTTTTCCCGGGTCAGCCCCTTTACTTCTAAGGGCGAGCAAAGATTAGTCAGGTTTGTGAACCGTTAAAACGGACACGGGCCAGGATACGTCGTGTAAGTGTTAAAAAATGAAGCGATATAATCTCTACCACTTACTAGAATTCTGTTGCTGACCTTAAGATCTTGTGATCATATTTGTCATCTAAACATAATGTTTGCCTTGGCAAATAGCAATATGAATAGGATGTTGCTACCAGCCTTTCAATGAAGAAATTGAAGACTGTTCTGTATGTTGACAAATTTTATGACCTGTATAAAATCAAGCTGCAATTGTGATGCAGTTTTGGAACATAATTTTCACATGCAAGTGACTTACCAATGCAGCTACTACTCCAATTGCTATCCTTAATCTTGTCTTCCAATTCAATGGAGTCCTAAGAGGATCTGCCAAGAGCCATTGGTTGGTCACAAAATCAAAGTTGGAATAATATATTCATTTACAAGTTCTGCTCTGAAGTTTACCATTAAGGTGCTCCTTCAAGCTTCCATTTTCTATGTTGTCAAACACAAGTAACCTGAAGAATGTGATAGTCTAATAAGGAAATAAAATTAACAAAAAAAGAAGCTAAAATGATCAAACAAAGCAGAAATAGTAAGTACTCTTTCCTTCTGCTTATTGCAACAGAATCATAGTGATAATATGACCAGAGATCTAATCTAAACACATTAGCCCCTCAACACTTTTGCCAATTTTTTCTTGCATTAGGACATTCAACAAATTTCAGAAGATGAAGACCAGCAGTTTTATACTAAAAAATGGGTTTCTAAACAACATATCGGTGCAAACCAGAACTTACAAAGTGACAAGAGAAGCCTAACACAATGTGATCAAACTTTGACCTCAAACTAACATGATTGTTTGTGCAGATTTAATTACAGATTAGATGCTCTGCGGAAAAACCATTTGCAGTAGCTGGTACAAAATCATATCATTAGGGTTGCATAAAAGAATCTTTCAAATTCTAGAGAAAGTGTACCTCACATTAGCCCCTTGACAGTGTATGCTTTGCAGATTATTACTTAGTTTCAATTCCATTCCCTTTTTCTATTAGTCTGGCAAAGATCAAAACCTATGACTCCACTAAATATTTAGCAGCTTGCAGCAAGAGTTTTCTTCAAATGTCACACAAAATCTCCAAGTCTCTCTCACGCACAAGCTCACAAACACATGCATATATAGTTATATACAAACACTAATATTTGCTGTTTCGGGGAAATCCATAAAATAAGGTCAAATTCTCACTTCAATTCACAGAGTTTTAAAGTCAAATCAACTGCATTCTTTCATTCAAGATGAGGAAAAAAAAAAAGACAATACACGAGTTAGATGTTAGACGCTAAACCTCTTACGGCCATTGGAGAAGCCTTTGAGGGCAAGAAGGTGACGGTGGTGCAAGCGCCCCAAGAGTTGCACTTGTCTATAGAAAACATCTTTTTCTTGACTAAGGTCTTTTACTTCTTTCACCAATGCAATGTCACCATCTTTAAATTTGGCCCTGTAAGCAGTCCCATTAGAATCACTGTAGAGTATCCTATGAAAACCATCAGTTGCTCTCTTTATATCTTCATATGAGAAGCGCCTGACAAATGATACTGGACCTGCAAAAACAACATATAGGGGATGATAAACTACAACCAACAGCTAGAATCAAAATTTGATGAACTCCTTGTGTTAATCCTTGTATATTACATATTTGCAAATTTTAAACCAGATTTAATAAAACAATCACTGAATTAAAAAAAAAAAAAAGACACCAAGTGTGATCAACTTCAAAACTCAATTCTTAATTTCCTGCCCTTTCACAGTAAAGTTCACCCTGATGCAAAAATGAAAGAAAGAATATAATAGCTCAAATCAAAGTATGATAAACTGCTTTCTAGCAATGTGCATTAGCACAATTACAAATCTTAAATGAGATTTAAGAACATAATTGACTTAAAACGACTACAAGTTTGATCATTAAAAACCAACTCTTTATTTTCTCTATTTTCATTCAAAAATTCACTCTAATGCAAAGAAAGTAACAGAAAAATTGAAGCTCGTAGCGGTCCTTGAGAGAAAGCAAAGTATTTCCTAGAAAATCAGAGGATTCAAGTTTAAACCCATAAATCTTGATTAGCTCACAAGCAATTCAGCAAGTTAAAGCAAAAGAATTGGCAGCAATTTGGATCAAGCGATCACCAAATCAAATTCAGTGAGCAAAAAGCATAGAAATTCGGAGCAATTGGGAAGTGGAGAAGAGGTACCAAAACGGGATCTGTGAAGCCAAGCTAGAAGGTGAGGCCTGATCTTGCGGATCAGGCGATCCATGGCAGTTGGCACTAGTCACTTCCAGTCACAAAAACTGTTTCTTGAATTTTAGTGACTGTCTGCACTAACCAGTACAAATGTACATGAGATTCTCATTGTCGTCTCCTCTTTTTCTTTTACTGTAGCTGACTTTTTTTTTTTTTTTCCAAAAAGCAAAAATTTACAATTACTTGCTTACTTCTTGAAGTGTTAATGGCAGGCTCTTGTCCTGGCCTTCATTTCCGTTCGTTGTCTCCTCTAACTAACACTGACAATAGACACATGCTAATAATATATGCTGGCTCTGGTTGCTCAACTGTTCACACATGCCCTTCAATTTACAAATGTTATTTCTTCAAATCCCAAAAGATGAGTCAGAGATTATCAAACTCAATTTACAAAAGTTTCCCCCAAAACTTATCACAATTTTATTTTGGGAAAATAATTATTTCGTTTCACCAAATTAACTAAATCATCAAATAGTTTGGTAATATTAATTAATAGTTTTCGAGGTTTACCTCTATTAAATTACTTGGTTCATCCCTCTATTTTCCCTAGATTTTCAGTTAAAATCTTAAAAAAAGATTAACATATCGTGCCATTTCAGAAGAATAAATAATTAATTCGTCTTTGAGGTTTGACCAAACTAACTAAGTCATCCATGCAGTTTAACAATATTAATTAATAATCTTTGAGATTTATCTCTGTCAAACCATTTGATCATTCCGTCCATTTTCTTTAGATTTTTCATTAAAACCTTCAAAAAAAAAAAAAGACTAAACTAACATATGTTAGAATTTCTATTTGTCATGGAAGGAAAATGAAGAGTTAGAGTGTACATTGATTATTTGATATATACCTAAAAAAATTTTTTTTTAATCAACATAATATGTCATTTTACCGTCTTGAGCCACTACAAAAAGATGAAAAAGAAAAATATATATCGAATTAATTTCAATAAAATAATAGACATTTAATATTAGGTATCCTAATCAAGAGAACAAGTTATTTTATATACTTCATTATAAACTACAACTAATGAAATGAAGGTAGAACCATAGGAATAGTAAGAATATTTTAGAAAAAAAAAATTACGGTTTTTGCAGAATTTCAGTTGTAAATTTAATAAGACTTAACTGTCATTTCATTATAAAGCAAATAACCTAGGTTAGTTTAGTTTTTTTCTTCTTAAGTGTAATGATATTTTAGTCTTTTTCTTTAAGGTTTTAACAGAAAATCAGTAGAAAATAAATAGAATGATCAAATGATTTGACGAAAGTAAATCTCAAGGATCATTAATTAATATTTACAAACTGCAGGGATGAATTAGTTAGTTTGGTCAAACGTCAAGGACGAATTAATTATTTTTCATTCTTATGTTTCAGGATATTTTAGACATTTTTAAAGGTTTTAATGAAAAAATATCGAGAAAATGGACAGAAGGACCAATTGATTTCACGGAGATAAACCTCAGGGATCATTAATTAATATTGTTAAATTGTAAAGATGACTTAATTAGTTTGATCAAACATCAAATACAAATTAATTATTTCCCCTATTAATTAATATTTCAAAGTAGTTCTAACCGATTCATATAACTAAAAATAACAACTTTAACAAAAATGATATTTTTATAATCCCAAATCTTTATTTACATTTCCTTTATCTCACTTTACCATAACATATCTTAGTTTATCATACTTTAATGACCCTTCTCTTATCTTGTTCAAAGCCAAGCCTAAAAGAGTCAATTGAATATAAAATAAAATTATTGGGCTAATTTATGTGAAACTTAAAAATTAGGTCTCATTAATCTAATTTGAAAAATTGAGGTGCCAAATTGAACTTGGTATTTTGAGCAAAATATGAGGCTAAATTTTTCACTATAAATTTGGCTCTGTTCTATTCCAACAGACAATCTACCGTCTATTTCTGCCCCTCCGAGGATAATATTCCTATAATTATCTCGAACGACGAAGAACTTGCTAAAACTAAATACTCCAGAACCCATTCAAGTTCTTTATACATTTAAAAAAAAAAAAAAAAAATAGGTTCATGTAATTCTAATTAGAAAAAATTGAGGGTGCCAATTGAACTTGGTATTTTGAGCTAATATGAGGCTAAATTTTCACTATAAATTTGTCTGTTCTATTCAAACAGACAATCTACGCGTCTATTTTCTGCCCTCCGAGGATAAATATTCCTATAATTATGTCGAACGACGAAAGAACTTGCTAAAACTAAATACTGCCAGAACCATTTCAAGTGTCTTTATACACATTTAAAAAAAAAAAAAAAAAAGCAAAAGCAAATTTCCAGGGCGGTTTGCAGAAAATGCCATGGAAAGTGTTTTACCTTCTCTGGTGAAGCAAACCCTTTGCTTCTCTTGCCATTTATCTCTCTTTACCTTTCAGTCAAGTCCACTGATGTTTTGAAATACTTGTGGTAAGTTTCCTTTATACATTTAAAAAAAAAAAAAAAAAGCAAAAGCAATTCAGGCGTTTGCAGAAAATCCATGGAAAGTGTTTTACCTTCTCTGTTGAAGCAAACCCTTTTGCTTCTCTTTGCCATTTATCTCCTCTTACCTTCAGTTCAAGCCACTGATGTGAAATACTGTGGTAAGTTCCTTTCTATTCCACTACCTTTTTTTTTTCTTAATCTTTTTATTGTTGAGGTTGGGTTGCAGAGAAATTTTTGGAAATCAAGTAAGAAATCAGTTTCCTTGATCTAAGTAACTCTTCAAAGATCTTGATTATAACTGTATGTTTTAGTTCTTACATCTAGTTCGTTTTCTAGTCTTAGCTCTTTACTTTTTATGATGTTTAATCTAAGTTTTTCTTTTTTGATTTTTGAATTTTTATTTTTCTCAGTGATCAAAGAGATCTTAGCTAAAAAGAAACCATTTTTTATGGGAAGTCATAATAATATATATAAATGGTGTCCAATGTAAAGTACAGAACTTGGTTGATCAAATTATAAAAAATTTCTATCTACTATCATATCGGATTAGCTATTAAATATGTTGGAATTTAACTACAGATAAGAAAGGCAACTATGCTGTAAAGATACATGGAGTTGATATATCACCTGATCCTGTAGAATCAGGGAATCCAGCCACCTTTAATATCTCAGCTTCTACTGGTAATTTTTCTTTTACTGTTTATTTCTTCCCATTTATTTATTTATTTATGAATTTGAGAGTTGCCTGGAATTTCTTCTAATACAAGATAAGCTCTCCTTGTATGTTTTGATCAGGTCAATCTATCACTGGTGGAAAGGTATATATTTATGTTAATTTCTTTTCGGTGCGTGTACATAGTGAAACTCATGATCTTTGCGAAGAGATATCCTGCCCAATTGCACCTGGCAGCTTTGTGCTATCTCACACCCAAACTTTACCTGGATTCGCTCCACCGGTAAGTTTCATGGCAATAGGTCTCTGCCCTAGTCTATATTTACTCTTTTAAATGTTCTCCTTTGTTTAATCGTACCTCATTTGATGATTCCTCTCATGAACCGCTTAAAGATTGGACATCTAATTATTGAGTATGGAAAAAAATTAGCAAAGCATGTTTGTTTATTGGTTGTCAATTTGGTATCATCTTTTATCTCTGTCAAGGAAAAAATGCCTCTTTATGGTCATCTAATTGCCTTTTTTACTTTTTTCTTCATGTAATATACAGTGCTCTTGGTTTAGGTTATTTGCCTAATAGTTTTTCCTGGTTCATTAAGAGCTTCATTTGCTATATCAAGTTTCTCTACTACTAAAAGTTAGCTGTAAAGATGAGATATTTAAATCCAAAACCAGGGCATTTCTATGTTTTACCACATATAAAAATCTTAAGTTCTTCCCTTGTCATGTGATGTTTACCCTGTGGTTCACATGTGTCCCACAAGGCAAGAGAGAAAAGAGGGGGGATGGTGTTCTTGCTGTAATGTATATGATCAGAATTACATCTAAGATGTTGTGTTTTATAAAAAATGAAAGGAAGGATTGGATGGATTTTGAAATGAGGATTATCAGTCAGCTACTGTACCTACTGAGTCATCTCAACCATTTTGGGATGGACTTTATAATGACAGGTTGATTAGGAAAATTGAGTAAATTTAGCTAACCTGAATTTTCTAAATTCTTAAAAAATTGAAAAAAACAGAGTGGAAAGTTGAAGTTCTAGTTCCAGTTCTTGATGATAATGGGATTGGGTAGGGATTCCTCAGTTGTTCTGATGTCATTTCATTTGCTTAAATAAAATAATGGGCGGAGCCTATGAGGAAGCTGTACTTGGAGGATGTTGCCAATGCTACGGGAAAACAATGTAATTTTTTTTTCGTACTAAGGTGAACAACCTGCCTTGAGGTGTTTTAGTTACTTGATCTAGGAAGCTCTAGCAGACAATTGTAAATATGTTTCTATAGTTTTTGTTACTAGGACTTGACTTGATCCAGGTTGTCTCCAATTTGGCCAAAGTCTTACAGCCTTTATTTGAGCTTTATATGCTTAACATTATCCTTCTACACCAGCTCAGTCTTTGCTAAAGTTACTTTTTAACTCGGTACCTATCTACCTCACAGATGAACACTTGGATGTAATTTATTACTTTATTCCCACATGTTAATGTCCGTATTTTCTAACTGAGTTCTTGATCCCATAGCAGTTAGAGTTTGCCAGATGAATAGTTTTCTTCCTGTTAGCTCTGTCTAGGAATATTTTACCTAATTTATCCTGTATTGTCTAGCTCTATAATGCATTTCCATGGTGGATGTTTCATCAACTGCAGAAGCAAATTTCCGGTATTTTTGCTCAAGCATGGTCCTTGATTTTCCTGTTGTTGTATCAATCGGTCATGATTCAGTCTTTTTTTTTTTTTAACCTTATTAAAAGTTGAGTAAATTTTATAAAAATTAAATTTTCTCAAAGTCAATAGCAATATATATTACATTTTTTTCACCAACCCATTCTTTAGTATCTTTGTGGACATAGTAATTTGCAAATAGCAGTGTTTTTGTTTTGATAAACAGATTTAGGAATCATTCCATCTGGCTTTCACTTTAGCCTAATGGACATCCATATCTTCATTGTATCCGTGTAGGAAATGATGCATTTGAGAGTTGAAATTTCATTTCATAAATTATATATATGACTCACGTACCGAAGGATTTTAAATCACTCCTTTAAATTGCTAACTGAAGTTACAATCAAAATATTCATTTCCTAGCATTATGCATTTTTCATGATTATCACAGCTGGTATTGTTTTCACAGGGCTCTTACACACTTAAGGTCCTAATGAAGGATGAAAATGATCAGGAACTGAGTTGCGTTTCCTTCAATTTTAAAATCCGTTTTGGAACTCTCCTCTCTGATAATTGACTGTCAACTGTCAACATACAAGCTCTGTACTTCATTCTGGGTTGCAGGCTACTCCAATGAGGACTGGATGTTGTTTCTTCACGATCAGTTTCCTTTGCTTTTCGTTTTCCATTAAACAACGGAAAATACATATGTATAAACATGCATGTAAAAAGATTTGAATGTGTGTGTTGTATGCCTTAATGGAAGTAAATTGCTATCCCAGCTTGCTCTTTACAGATAATTTATATGGTTTTCGTATTTGCAGATGGCATCATATCTCACTAGCAAGGTTTGCTGATAGTCATAAACTAGATGATGGCACAAATTTAACTGTGAAATTTGCTTTCTGTTTTGTGGGTTATCATAGTGCTCGTTTGGATTAGCTTGTTATGTATTAATGTCTCCTATATCAAGCCAACAGTTAAGTTGTTATCTTATACACCTATAGTGTAGATAATTGTTTCTTGTTTTTGGATATTCATATTGGCAATTCAATTTTAAAATAATAACTTTCACATTTTTTACCTATTTAATAGGTGTTTAATTTGTAAGTTGAAGATTTCAACAAAATGGTTTTGCAAATTGAAGTGTTTAATGCAATGCATTAAAGAATAACTGAATTATGCAAGTGGCAAATGCCATTAATCGAGAAATAACTATTATTTCTGTTTAATAATATTTGTCACATTTCACATTTGGAATTTCAAGTCCCTCGAACTATTAAATTTTTTTAAATTATAATAAATTATTGAGTAAATTAACTATATTACTTTTATTTTAATATTAATTTTTTAAGAAAACCATTAAATTGAAGTATTAATTATTGGTTATAGATGTGGCTACGGTTCCGGAACCGATGGTTTCAGTTCCAAAAAATTTGGAATCGGAATCGAACCGAATATTAAATTGGTTATAGTGTGGCTACGGTTCCGGAACCGATGGTTTTCAGATTCCAAAAAATTTGAATCGGAATCGATACCGAAAAGTTAACAGTTCCGGTTAATGAATTTAAAACGCGAAGGTTTGGTTTGGTTCCCTCAATGGTTATTAAATTGAAGTATTAATTATTGGTTATAGATGTGGCTACGGTTCCGGAACCGATGGTTTCAGTTCCAAAAAATTTGGAATCGGAATCGAACCGAAAATTAACAGTTCCGGTTATGATTTAAAACCGAAAGGTTTCGGTTTTGGTTCCTCAATGGTTCCAAAATCGAAGGTTCCGACCGATTTTGAACGGTTCCGGTCGGTTTTGGACAGTTCTGGCCGGTTTTAGACAGAACTATAACAGTTGGTTTCGATCGGAACCGCCGGTTCACGGTTCCAAAACTGGTGGAACCGAAATCAGACCGGTTTGAACCGGTTTCAGTTCCCACCGGTTTGGAACCGACGGTTCTAGTTCCAAAAACTGAATTTTGGCCATGTCTAATTGGTTATATATAAAGTGTAAATATAGAAAAAAAATATTTATTACTCTTTGAAACCACAAATGTGATATATATTTTGGAACAAATTATATTTTCTCAATGTGATAAATATTATTGAACATAGACAATAATCAGGGTTGGAGCTCTGATGTCATATTATAATTTTGAATTGACAGGGTTGTGATATTATATTGGCTTTAATGCCAATTGATGAATTAAGGAATGAATGATTGGATAATATGTTAGAACCTATGAAAAATATTAATCAGCTTAAAATTGAATTAGTGAAAAATGTGGACTTCGAATGCCAGGTGCTTTAAATAAATAAAAAATATATATATACATATAAAATTTAGACGATGATTGTATAAAAATAATTAATTATTGGATAAATTGAATACACTGTTGAGTGTCAAATTGAGCCTTCTCCCATAGGAATTCAATATTTGCAAGGTTTGCTAGGCTAAGACTTTCTTCTTCATTTTTTAGTTTGCAAAGGCTTGGAAAAGAAAAAAGCCTGAACCGTTTTCTCGTAATAATTCGGGTCAGAAACCCGGATCGGTCCTCGTGACTTAACTCTTAAGATATGAAGAAGGCTTTCGTCGGTTAATCTCGACCGGCAAAAGCAAGAAGAAGAAAGTACATAACAAAGAAGAGCATCAATCTACGGTAAGGAAATTCACACTGCTATTTCACTCGTCCCTAACCTTTCATCTGAGGGTTTTTATTCCTCATTTTAAATTTCACATGCAATTTCTGATAGATTTCTTGATTTCCCCTTTTTAAATGAAACAAAAAATGGAAGGCCCTTAGGTATACTACATATTCTATAGTTCTATTATTTGGAAAAAGCCATTTTATTGTAATTACTTATGTTTCTTCTGCTCCAGAATTTTGTTCTCATTTAAATGTGCTTTTTGGAATCTAAAAGATGTTGCAATGACGGTGTTCTTTGTTTTTTTTTTTGTTTGATAATTTATGCTTGGCTTAGTTATTTACTGATTTGCCATGCAAAGGGCTTGTTTGAATACTTCAGATTAATTTTAGCAATTTCAGATTTTGTACCTGCAAACCCAAATGCAATTTAAAAATTTTCCACATTAAGTTTAGTTATCTTTCCCACAACTGTGGCGGTGTCTATTCATTCTGTGAAGTAATCTACTTTGATTGTACTGGCTGTGATATAGGTTTAATTCACTATACAAGTTGGTGTATGTGTTAGCGAAGATGAGGCGGCAGGGACAGTATGCTGATCCTGGTGCCAATGCATATACTGGTGCTCAGATGCAGCATATTTCTGCCCAGAGGATGGAAAATAGTTCGGATTCTGATCATTTTCAAGGACGGCTAGAGGCCTTCACTCCAGAGAGAGATCCTTACGCTACATCAAAAGCTGAGGGACAGTGGAGATGGGAAAGAGATGAATCAAAAGTGTCAAATCCAATGGCATCTCGTATTTTGCATGAAGGTAACATGACAAAGAGAGATACAAGGAAAATGAGATTGAAATTTGTGAATTTGTTCATTATAATATGTTACATATGTTAATCCGTTATTGCTGCACTTTAATCACCGTCTTTCTTTGGTCTTTAAGTTTGTTATCAGAGTTTGTATCATCTTAGACTGTGGGAACCATTCTTACATTTTTGTAATCTACAAAAATTTAATATGCATAATAGGTTCTAATATCAGTAGCTTGCTTATTTTAATTAACAAAGGTTATGTGTATCTGTTGTAGGTCAAGGAGTTGATGCATCAAGATCATATTTTCAGGGAAAGGGGCCAGGGCCAGAGCCAAAACTGGCTTTAGAGAAGCAAGGCATTAATGATCCCAGATTTGGACAGCATAATGAAGACATGCAAATTGGCTATGAAGAGAAACCATCATTGCAAACTTTTGAAGGACTTGAGCAGAAATTCCTTGATGACATTTTGAAACTAGCCAAGGATCAAAATGATGCTGAGGATGCGGAAAATGCGAGACACAGAGAGGTCAGTACATATTATAGTTTCATTAGATTTTGTACTAACAAGGCAGTGAAAGACGAGTCATTAATGTGGTGGAGATCCCTACAGGAAGGGAGTGATGTGTGGTGGGTTGCCCATCTGCTTGCTAGTGCTCTAAGAGTGTTGGTGTGCGAAACTTTAATGCCTTCTTGATTTACTTTTGACTTGATCACAGAATAAGGCTAGAATGAAAAGAAATATTTGCTGATTTTTGGTGCCACAGCTTGTGGATTTACATGTAGGATTCAGTTAGTGGAGAAAAGTTATAAATAAATGTATGAATTGTGTTTTACACGTAGGGAATGTTTGATTGGCTGCTGGAGTAACTTTTGTAGTGTAGTGACTAGAAGGAAGAGGAATAGGAGAGGCGAGGAGATAGAGAGAGATTACAAAGTTATTTTGTATTTTATTTAGAGACTCAATAACTTTTTGAAAAGAAATCTTAAATTTGGAGAATTTCTAACCAATGTTGAACCTTCAATAAGAAAAGTTCTGAACAAAGCGAACTCCTGTATTTACTAGGTAGTATTATCCTAACTATGAAGTTCTAAACTCCTAAAATTGAAAATTAGAACTTATCTAATTTAAGAATTACATCAAAATAACTTGTAAATTTGTTTATCTTTGACTGCATCAGAGAAAAAAGGTGGGGGCACATGAAAGCAGTGAGCCAGTTAGAAATTATTAAACTTAATAGAGATAATAAAAGCAATGTGGCTGTCTAATTGTCTTGATCGTGGGATATCATTGAGAAATAGGAACCCGTGTTATCAAAAGATTTCCTGCGATTATTTCTAGTATGGAATGAGTCAATCATCCATTTTGGTATCTTATTGAACAAAATGGTGATATTGTTCCTCCATTAATAAAAATTTGGGCCTATACAAATTACGTATTTATGATTTGATCTGTTTCCTGAAGTTCAAAAGTTAGGTGTAAGCACTAAAATAATAGTCAGTTAAGTGCTGACATGGTTCCTCATACGTTAGACTCTGGTTGTTCACCTCCCGCAGTCGAGACATGTGCATCCTGTGCAACTATATGGCACAGTTAAATGCCCTAACCACAAGTGTTTGAATTCTGCATAACAATATGTTTGTGAATAAAAATAGTTAAGTTGAAGCCTTTTTAATGATCTTGTCACTCTTTAGCATGGGTTTATTTGCATCATTCAGAAATATTTACCTGAACAACAATATTTTCACTCAACAATCTAGCCCTAACTGTCTAATAGGCCTCCTAAGAGAAAGCATTGTTGGACGGATGCTATTATGAGTACTGGCTTGTGGTTATGTAGAAACCAGTTGACAACGTACCAAGGGTGATGTTGCTGATAGCTATATCAAAGCCATAGCTATAGTGTTGTGGGAGGCAAGCTCTTATTTCCCAATTTTTAATGAACTGATATTTTTTATGTGGCTTTGTTATTCTAGAGTGATTAGCTTATTAGAAATGGTATCTATTTTTTTTTTCTCTCTTCCTCTCTAAGTGTCTCTCCCTCTTTTTCCTTTTAAAAAAGTCCATTATGCAAAATGTTGTTTTTTTTTTTGGGTCCAAGGTTAGGAATGAGGGTCCTTGTATTTTCAATTGTAGTAAACAGCTTGAGTTGTGTTGTCGAATGAAAGGAGTAAACCAGTCATGGAAATATACATCAAGGATGAGCAGTAAAAGAGGGATGTGTTTATTAATACTTAATACCACTAGCGCACAGGGTGACTTTAGTAATTTACCGTTTTCTTTAACAAATCCACCAGCAGTGTCATTCATTGCACATTTTGATGTATCTTACATCAGTGACTTCAATGTACAACTGTAACCCAGATTTGGGAGCATATTATTATTACAAAATTGTTAGTTGCCTGCTGTCCACTGCTGTGAAAAAACAGCTTATTAGTCAGTTCTGATTGCAAGGTTCTGCCTGCTAAGACACTGCCATCCTTGTGGAGAAGTTTAAGTAAGTTCAAGAAAAGGATCCTGTTCATTTCTAAGATTTGTGAATTTGTTAAATTCAGAACATGCTGAGAAGGTAACTTGTGAACACACTTCTGTTATAGTTACAGTTATTCTTCTGTGTATTGGAAATCCTGGATTTGCATGTGTAATTGGACTGCTGAGAATTGCAAATCAAAAGCTGTAAAAGATTCATTTAATTGGGTCTGAGTTTCAAATCAATGAGACTGAGGTTGGTAAGATGGGATGCAGTCAGTTTTTACATTTCATAAGAAATATCATTGGACCTTGAAAGGAGAAATAAATCAAACATTCTGTTGGAAATTAATTTTATTCACTTGTGCCTCATTAGGAGGTGGTATGCAGCATATGGATCCATCTTAATTAGAGGAGCTAATAATGAAGGATTTTAGGTTGACTAGTTGATTTGGTATTCATAGATTTGTGGAGATTTTTATAATTTACAGATTGTTTCATTGCCAGTTGCAAAGAGGATTGTAGTTGTCCTCTTTCTGGATGATTTTTGTTTTCTAGTTGCAAAAGTTGGAGCTTTTTGAATGTTTGTGGATGTGTTTTGGAAGGGGTGTATTTGGTGTGGGAAATGAGCCTGCTATATTTCGGATGAGTGAATTAGGGTTAACAGAATTTAAAATGTGTTATTGTAGATTCTTTCTTCATCAGCTTTCCTTATAGAGACATTTCTACTATTTTAATACTTGGATATCTTAATTTTTCTTTTGGGTGCTTCTTTTTAATTTCTGCCTTATGGATTTCAAGGATATCTCTTCTTTGCAATCTGTATACCAGGTTTGGGGCCCCTTTACTTCAGGAGCTCTTCTCAATAAATGTAGTTGCTCATTAATTAGATCAAGAAAACTGCATCGTTTACTTATCTAAGAGTTAATTTCTCTCTCTTCACATATATAATCAAGCATGGGAAAGAGTTATTCAAATCTTTACATGTGAGATCTGATGCTTCGAAGTGCACTAATATGTATTAGTCGAGCTGTGAAATTGATTTCGATTCTTGCCCTGTTGCTGTATTGCAGATGGGGATTGAGCAGATGAGATTGGTCAATTCATGTGTTTGATCATGTATAAAATTTAAAATAGTATTGGGTTTGTAGAATTAATCTTAAACTCATGCAATGGTATTCTATGCATTTTTTTTTTTCAGAAAATAAATGCAATAAATAATCAGTATCAAGAACAACTAGTAGCACTTCGAGCCCGACATGCCAGCCGTAGAGATGAGTTCCTTCGCAAGGAGTCAAATGCACGACAGCATCAATATCAGCAAGCCGTGGTGGACCGATATTGCAGCAGTGGCATGGGCCCTGGTGATCCTCATGGTTACAATGCACCCTCAGCTGGTAACAATGAAACTCACCGAGCTCATGCAATGGTATTCTATGCATTTTTTTTTTTCAGAAAATAAATGCAATAAATAATCAGTATCAAGAACAACTAGTAGCACTTCGAGCCCGACATGCCAGCCGTAGAGATGAGTTCCTTCGCAAGGAGTCAAATGCACGACAGCATCAATATCAGCAAGCCGTGGTGGACCGATATTGCAGCAGTGGCATGGGCCCTGGTGATCCTCATGGTTACAATGCACCCTCAGCTGGTAACAATGAAACTCACCGAGCCTATAATACTGATAATTTTGAATCCTACAGGGAGCGGGCTCGATTTCTTGGTGGTCCAAGGGATCAGGGAGTTGAGAATAGGGGTTCATTTCATAGTGGTCGTGTTTATGATACGGGAACACGCTACTACTAATTTATGTGTAGATTAGTTTTCCCTTGCTAGTTACTCCAAACTTCTGGAATCTGCTTTGCTAGTTAGGCTGGTTATACGAATATTTTAGAGTTGTAGTTTATTATTCTGCAGCATTGCTGCTTTTTAGTAATGCTTCTCCTCACATACGAAACTCCGCACTTTTTTTTCCCAATATGATCTTTTTATTACTTGATATAAACTTTTAGTTTCTGTTAAGTTTTAGGAATGTGAATTTGAATTTCTGTCAGTTAGAGCTGGAGATTTGGCAATGGAATTTTATTTGCTATTTGGTTTGATGCGTATATTTTTGAACAATGAAAGATGTTTGCAAACAAAGGAAGAAGAAAGCATCGTTTCCTATCTTAGTCTAAAATCCTTGTGCATAAAAAAGAAAAAAAAAAGTTCAAACCCAAAACATTCAACAAATTCACGTGTCAGATCATGAATTGAAAAGGTAAATCGTATATAAAAAGACAAGGCTGTGCGAAAGCCCAAGTATAATTTTTCTTGCGGCTAGTGAAAAATTATTTGCTGCGAAAACCTGAACGGATTAATGCCGCGTGGCGGTAGAAGGCTAATCACCCTCGACTTTGTGCTTTCTTGCAATTTCTCTTCATTTTGATCGTTATGGTAAATTCAATTAGAGTTTGAATTTAAATAAAAAAAAATTAAAACGCGACATTTTGCGTAATAAAAGCCGATAGAATCATGGCATGAAATGACTTACTGATTCCAACTTCCCCATCTCCTCTCCTTTCAACTCCATATCAATCTAGGGTTTCGCTATCTCCACTATCACTTAGAAGCATTATTAATCATGTCAAATCAAGAAGGATTCTTTTGTGTGCCCTCAACGAAAGTGCTTCTTCTGTTTCTTCTTCGACCTATAATTACAGAACTCCATCTATTCGCTCAAAGTTTTAAAAATCAAGATGTGAATTTTCGATTACGCCAAAGTGTCCTCAAACGCTGACAGGTACAGATTTGCCCATTTAAGTTGTTTTGTTTTGTTTATTAGCAATTAATTGCATCATTGAATGGTGAAATATGTGACTTGTCAAACGAAAATTTTGTGCTGCAAATGGGAAGCTATTTGGTGGATATCAATATCATAGAATCATCTATTTTAATTGACTTCAAAGAAAGCAAAACGGTGCGTTTTTATGTCCCAAGGGGCTCGGATTAAGTTAACATAAAATAAATTTAGAGTAATTCAATGGGTTAAACCATTTTCTTGCATGCTATTGCTGTCGAATTTCAATAGCAACGGGGTGGAGTGGAGACATGTAATGCTTCCATCATCTGTGCCTCGCAGAAAATTAAGGTTGGAGCGGGTTTTCTTTCTCACAAGATTTTTTAATATTTTAATATATCATTATTCAATAATAAATGTATTTATTTTTAAAAAAAAGTTGATTATAAGTTAGAAATATAAGTTTAAAACGTGATTTTAATACAGTTCATGCAATGTATTAGCCAATGTTAATTTATCAGAAGAAATTTAGTCCATGTCCAGTCTCGTGTCGTGTGCATCAAAGCAGTTCCAACAAGTTGTACACAATTGCTTACATTACATACCCATATGTCGGGACATGTGTCCTTACTCAGAACTTCGCTTAATTAATTTTCCTGATTTGATTAGAATTCCTTAATCAAGCTAATTCCATTCTAAGTTACATTTTAAGCACATATAAGAAAAGGTAGAAATACAAATACTTCAAGAAAAGATCATCAAAGCATAAAATCAAGAATCAAGAAGAGAAATGTCAGTTAATACGTTTAACTTAAATGATTTATTTTAATAATCCACGGCGGAAGAAAATGTTATTGATCGGAAAAAGTAAAATGTCAGTTAGACACGAGTAAAATGAACAATTGAAGTACAATAACTTAAAATTGTACAATTAGGCAAAGACATAAAAAATTAAAATTGTACAAAATGCATATAATATTTGCATTAGCTTTACTATTTATAAATAATCAGACAAAGAAAGTTTAATATAAATATTTTAAAACGCTCAAAAATAATTAATGATTAATAGTAGAAATTTACAATAATATTCAACAATTAGTAATAGTTGTTGATTTGAATGGATTACCAAACACTTTTACTACTACTATCAGGATTGAAAAATTGAAAGATATTTTAATTGAAGAATTTATCTAGCTATTGTTTCTCATTAATTAGTATTCACATAATAAACTTATACATGATTGGAAATTTTAATTTTAGGTCTTAATAATATATATGGGTGGCCACCATTCCGGTTTTGGTTCTAAAATTGATGGTTTTGATTTTAAATAATGTGGAACTGGAATGGAACCATACTGACGATTCAAATTTCGATTTGGAACTACCCAGTTATGATTTCGATTTCAGTTCTTTAACGGTTTCAAAATTGACGGTTCAGTACGATTCTGCTACCGGTTTTTTGGGCGGTTCATATAATTTTAAAATAAAAAAAATTAATTTACATAAATACCCCTTAAAATAACTAGATGTTATATAACCGTTTATACTTATTAGGAGGGTTAATTTGAAGATTTTGATAAATAAGAAAATGTGTTGGAACCATAAGTTCTAACCGATTGTCAAAACTTTCGATTCTGGCCGATTCTTGAAACTGTCGGTTACGATTCTAAAAAACTTAGAATCGAAACCGAATTGTTACCTTTCGGTTATGGTTCTAGTTCTGACCGATTCTGATTCCGAACTAACGGTTCCAAAAATCGAAATTTGGCCACCACATTATACATATGCCTTTCCCTAAGTTGAAGTTGGATTAAAGTGGAATTAATGTTTTCCAAATCTCTCTTACTTTAGGTTGCAACCTATGAACTACCCCAACCTACCTATATATACTTTTAGCAAATGAGCCAAAAAGCAAAGCAAAAGGCACACAATAGAGTCTCCCTAGCACCAAAAATAACCAAAGAAGTTTAATTAATTAATTGTTAATTTGATTGTAACTGACTAACTGCATTATTAATGATGAGATGAATGGGCTAATAATCAAAAGTACTTTTAATTACATCAACAGACACATTATGGTTTAGGATGTTAAGATGTTATGATCATGTGAAAAGTTAAAGTCAATGGGAAAGAAACTAATAATTAATTAAGCTAAAGTATCTTTAAGACTTTATTTAATGTAATTATTAGTCCTTAGTTTCAATTCTTAAAATTTAAAAATATTAATCATTATTTATCTTAGGCATGGCCGGTTCATTAGACCGCCGATTCTGCTTCACGGAACCCACGGATCAATTTTTCAAAATGTTGAACTTGAATCGCCCTTGAACCGCTGGTTCCAGTCCGATTTCGGTTCTGATCGGTTCCGGTGCGGTTTCGATAAACAGACGGTTCCGTTCACGGTTTCCGGCGATATATCGGTTCCGGGCGGGTTTTTCGGATAAACAGACGGTTCGCGTTCAACGTTTTCCCTGGCGATATATATTTATATTATATATATTCTATATATATATATATATATATATATATATATATATATATATAATAATATATATAATATATATATATATATATATATATATATATTAAATATATATTTTAAACATCAGTTTTAATGTTATATCTTTCTTTTCGTACATATTAAATGACTTAAAAAAATATTGTAAATTTTATTTTAAATAATTTTAGAATGCTTATACTCATATAGGAATAAAATTATAATTAATTTTACAAATAATCAAATAATTATCACTTTTATTTGTTTAATGTATTAATTAAATAAATTTAAGAAAATTTTGAAAAAATGCTTCAAAAAAATGTAATTTTAAACTTTAGCAAACAATTTTAAAAAGAGTAAAAAAAAATTATAAGAAAATTTTGAAAAATGCTTCAAAAAAATGTAATTTTAAACTTAGCAAACAATTTAAAAGAGTAAAAAAAATGTTAAAAATAATATAAATTTATACTAAATATTTCTCTCTTTTTTTACCATTTTACTTTAGTAAAGTATATCATGTAGTATAATATAATTGAGACTTTTAGAGATGTATAAAATAGGCTAAGTGATTATCATTTTAAAAATAAAAATAGAAAATTTCCGGTTCGAAACAGATCGGAACTGCCGGTTTCAGGCTGATTCTGGTTCATATTTTAACATTCACAACCGGCCCTTGAACCGCCGATTTTGGTTTAAAATTTTGAACCATCAGTTCTGATTCGTCTAAAGTACAGTTCAATTTCGATTTGATTCCAGTTCGAACCAAACCGGTTGCCATGCCTAATTTATCTAATTCTGTTAACATTAAGTTCTTAAAGTTTTATATTTAGAAGGTTTTGGAAAAAGAAAATCCAACAAAAACCCTCCCTCAAATGCTAGTGTTTTGTTTATATTTCCCCCTCCATTTAACAACTAAAATTTACTTATTTTTAGAGGAAATAATAATAATGGAGACTAAATATTTTATCCATCCCAAACAAGCATCGTCTATGTTATTAATTTGATATATGTTTCAAATTATTAGAAAATATCTTTTATTAGAAAATATCTTTCAAACAATTTATTTACTAAATAATTATGAAGATAAAATTAACAAATTAATAAAAGTATCTCAAATAAATGATTTTTTTTCTTAATTTTCACCATAAACTAAATTAAAACAAACACTTAAATCGAGACAAATTAAGATAATAATATATTTTCATAAAACAAAAAGAGAATCTATATGGGTAATTATAATAATTTAGGCATTCACTGATTAACAAAAAAAATAAAACCTAATAAAGAAATAAATTAAATTAAAAAACACTTACTATTCTTTTCTTTTCTTCTTTTTTTTTTTTTTTCCCTCTCTAAACATTCCAAAGCATTAATATCTCGCCCCCCTAGTCCGCTACAGAAAGAAAGGATAGTTAGGGATGGAAGACTCCCACCCACTCATTCTTTCAATCATAACACACCCAACTCCCACACAAACACAAGGGAAATGCATCTCTCTCTCTTCATAAATCCATAGCCCAACTTCCTCTATAATAATAAAAATAAAAAACCACTAACACACCCCACTTCCACCCCAGTTTTGCCCGACCAGTCTAGTCCCATCCTCATCTTTCACATTATTTTGTACGTTTCTCTCCTCTCTCTCTCTTGTTGTAATAAGTTATAATAATTCCTATTTTTCATCTTCCTTCTTTGTCTTTGTACCCATTTTCTTTATAAGAATTCTTAATCTCTAATACCATCTTTGCTTATTTCTCTTGTTAAAGAAAGAAAGAAATTCTACTTGATCTGGCCTTACTTTATATCTTCCAAGAATTCTAACCATTAAAAGATGTCATTGGACCTCGGTTCTGAACGAGTTTGTTATGTCCACTGCAGCTTCTGCAACACCATTTTAGCGGTACGTCACTTCACTTTTCTCCTTTCTCTCTCTGTCTCGCTCTCTTCTCTTCTTTCTTTCTTCTATATAGAACCTTTCTCCTTTTCATAACCAAATATAATTTGATGGCCTCTCATATTCTCTCCCGAGACCTGAATTGACCATAACAACTCTTATGTTCAATCATCAGTAAGCTTTTGTTGGTGATAGTTTTTGTATTTCTAGTCATTTTGGAAGAATTCAGTTGAAAAGATAGAAACAAATTGTTTGGCTTTATGTAACCCAGTTCACAATATTTCTTGTTGTTTCTTGTATGATTCCTTTGAGACCTTCTTGGATCAAAGAATTTTCTCGACTGCCAATGAATTTTTGTTTCGGTGGTAGTTTTGGAGTTTTGTTAAAAAGTTTTGCAAAATAGAAATATAATCAGAGCCAAATTGAGAAAAAAAAATTTTTTTTCTTTGATTTTAGTTGAAAATCTCTCGAGAATCTCTCTTTTATGTTATATTTTATGACCAATTCTATCTGGGTTTTGTTCCAAAGCCTCTCTACAGTATTTAGAGGCGTATATGGTGGTAAGAGCTTCATAGAGACTATGAAATGAAGACTCGTCGGAGACCAATTAAGAACTAGCTAGTAGAACCTATAACAAACCCAACAAATTTGAATAAGCCCTTGATCATTTGCTTATATTAAAAAAAAAAATTGAATATTTATAAAGAAGAATAGCCCCAAGGTACTTTTGCCGATGAGCTAAGTTTTAGGGCTACATTTAGGTGTTAGGGTTCTTACCAGGTAATAGCTTTTCTTTTTGTTTTGTTTTTCCTCTTAGTCTTGCAGAAACTTTTAACAGTTTTCTTATTCATGCTACTCTAAGCCTATAATTGTTGCTATGGCTTTCCGTTTTGCATTCTAATATTAGTGCAGTGATTATGATGATCTTTGATCTATCATCACTAGTAAATTTTTGAAGATCTCTTTCTTTCTCTCTCTTGGAGGTGGGTGCTTCTGTTGCTGCTTACTAAGGCACTGAACAATCATTTTCATTACAAAAAGAAAAGGAAAAAAAGAAAAATGAAAAAAGAAAAAGAATGATCAAGTTTTGTTGCATATTTTCAGGTTTATATCTCTCTTAAGTACAAAAGGAGGTGTCTCTCTTTGTTTCTACAAGAAATTGTGTTATAGCAGAAGAAATTTGCTTTTTAGTCTCTCTTTTTTCAACCCAAAGCCCTTTAATCAGAATTCTCTCCTTTTATCTCATTCTCTTTCTTCTCTATGGATTACTCTTTTTCAGAAATGGAGATCCTATAAGCAGTGCACAAAGATCAGGACAAATCATTTCAATTGATGAAATGATACATCTCTCTCTTTATTCATTCATTGCCATGTATTGATGATAGCTGTTTTCACTGGCCATAGTCTTTCTGATTTCCGTTCCAGTCACGTCCCTTTCTCCCTCAAGTAGATTTTTAGCTATTATTTTTTCTTTTATCATTTTATTGCTTACTGTGTCAGGAGAGAAAAAGTCAGGAACCACCGAAAGGAATAAATAGTGATTTCTTTTTTCTTTTTTTCAAAATAAAATATGTCAAGTCCTTATAGTTATTACCCATGTGAGGTGTCTGTGAGGTCAGTGATGACTGGGAACAAGTGCATTCGATCTTTACATTGATAAAAAACAATCTCTCTCTCGCTCTGAAGTCCATAGCCCTAAATCAGTCAATTATATTTCACCAATATTATTGCATACAAAATGATTGTTTCTTTCTTCTTCTTCCTCCTCTCTCTCTTTCTCTCTCTCTTTTCTCTTGCAGACATATACACACATTCCTCTCCTTCTTCTCCATCTTGTTGTTTTCCAATTCCCATATATGGTTGCCTGTAGAAAATTATTTATTCTTCTTTCTTGCTTTGTTTTGTCTTCTCTTTTGAGAAGATTTATGGATCCATTATGAAGTTCAATATAGAGACATGATTTAGTTTCTCAAAACAAAACTACCATGTTCCTTTCATATACCGGAAACATTTCAAGAAAATGAGATTGTCATATTTGAACTGTGAAGAATACACTTAACTACTTGATTATTGGCTCAGTTACCAAAAACTACCGAGTTAGTAAGATTTGCATGCAATGCCACTTCTTTTTTTTCCCCATACCCATCAATTTATCCTGTATATAGACACGTACGATCTATATTGATTCAACTTGGATCTAACTTAAAGCTCAAAAATTGAGAAACTAACTATACATATAAGTTGTTGGTTATATATATATATATATATATATATATATAGTTCTTCAATGTCTGTGCTTTGGATGATAACTAGGGTTTCTACATGCTGTGATAAGTGGGTGTGGGTGTAAAGTGAGATAGTATTGAAAGAGAGCTTCAAAATAAATAAATAAATAATGAAAGAAAGAAGTGGCCTTAACGTTTAGCAATGTCGTTTGTTGTTATTATTTGGCAGGTTAGTGTTCCAAGTAGCAATATGTTCACTCTTGTGACTGTAAGATGTGGGCATTGTGCCAATTTGCTGTCCGTGAACATGGGAGGAGCTTCACTTCAGACATTTCCTCCTCAAGATTCTCAGGTATATATATATATATATTTCATTCTTTTTTACCTCTCCCTTTAAGGGCATTCTTATGCCGAAGTCTGCGTATTTCTTTATAGTTAATAAGGAAGTAAAGATACTTCTTTGTTTTCTATTTCTTATCAGTTTTGATTTTATTTTTTTTTTCCTCTTTCATCTTTTGAAAATTTTCTTCTTTTTCTGCTAAATGCTTCTGAAACCTACTGTGGTTTTTAACCTAATAAATGTCATCAAAAGCTTCTTCTTACCGAATCCTTGATTTCCTTGGCAGGCAGTGTAGGAAATAATAAGGTTCAAGTTTTAATTTGGTGGTTTATCATTATACTAGTACTCCAATGCTCATATTCTTATTATAGGAGGTTAGAGTCAAAACCCTCTTCATAAGTATTTTTTAAAATCCAAATAATGGAAAAAACATATAAAATAAGTATTATAGATAGAGTTGTAAGATTTACTGTTTTAATCCAAATTATTACCAAAACAGAAATTATATAGCTTGATGTATAATTTCTGTAATATGTCTGAGCAGTCACCAGAAGTGCAATTAAACTCAGAAGATCTGAACAAGGATTGTGGGTCATCTTCCAAATGCAACAAGGTCACTGCATTTGAATCTGCAGACCATGAGCCACCTAGAATGCCTCCCATCCGCCGTGAGCATCTCTCTCTCTCTCTCTCTCTCTCTCTCTCTGTCTCTCACGTATCTACACAATTTGTGTACAATCTGTCTTAGACAAGGATGGTTACTGTATTTATGTTAATATGAGTTAATGTGTGGATAATATACAAAACTATAAGAAATTTTGGGTATGTGGCTCCACAAAAAACTGACAAAGACTAAATAACCTTTAAGCCTTTACGTAGTTGTCATGTAAATGAGTTACCACAAAAACCAACACCACAAGATGTTGACTTTACACAACAATGTAACTCACTATATATTACTAATCCAAGTTCCCTACCCTATCCTATATACCATCACTAACAAAATTATAGCAAAACAACTTATTTAATACATTTCTCTTAAATTTATAGTCTCTTCCCTTGATTCATATATTTGCTAACATAACATGCATGGCATGGATAACTGGAGATAACATATTTCTGCCCTATACTTATATCTAGGGTTTCCTTAGTTGATGTGTTGTTTCTCATATATGGATCATCTAGAGTTTATAGTTAATAGCAAGGTCTATAACTGATCAAACCCTATGCAAATGATGATAATTAATAAAGAAAACTTGGAATTAATTATTTCTCAATTGTGATGAATATGTATATGCAGCCCCAGAGAAGAGACAGCGTGTTCCTTCTGCATATAACAGGTTCATCAAGTAAGTTCACCATCTTCTTAATGTTTTGATTAATTATAAATTTTTTAGGGAAGATTTGGTCTTAAAATGGATTGATAATTAAACTGCTTAATTATGTACTGTTGTTATATCGCTTATTCAGGGAGGAAATTCAAAGGATTAAGGCTAGTAATCCTGATATCAGCCACAGGGAAGCTTTTAGTACAGCAGCAAAAAATGTAAGTTTCATTTTTCATATAATTGATCAAGCATGCATTTCTGATATGTGAAATATAAATATAAAATTTGTTTTGCAGTGGGCACATTTCCCTCACATTCACTTTGGGCTGAAACTGGATGGGAATAACAAGCATGCAAAATTAGATCACCAAGCATTTGCAGGAGAGGGTACTCAAAAATCTAGTAATGGATTCTATGAGATCAATGGTACCCTCTGAGTTAGAAGAAAATATATATATATATATATATAATTAAGATCAACCAAGCATTTGCAGGAGAGGGTACTCAAAAATCTAAGTAATGGGATTCCTTATGAGGATCAATGGTATCTGAGTGTAGAAGAAAATATATATATATATATATATATAATGAATTAGTTTATTAATAAGAATAGGTTTTTTCTATTATGTATGTGATAGACAAATAATATAATTATATATATATATATATATATAATGAATTAGTTATTAATAAGATAGGTTTTCCTATATATGTATGATAACAAATAATAATTAATAACTTGAAGATAAAAATGAGAGGTTGAAAATGAAGTTTCTCTTCCTAACCAAATAGGAAAAGTCTTCTTGAAAACCTCATGACTTCAATTTTTTTTTTTTTTTATTTCTATTTTCATATGATTATATAAAAAGAGAGAGTGTGTGTGTGTGTTGCCCTTTTCTAACACTTTAAGAAGGGACTGCTATTCTAGTGATTATTGCATTTATGTTTTGGAACTTTTATTCTAAGTTTAAGTGAACAACATTCTGTATAAATGTGTATGCATTTGTTTTCATTACCATTCTTATCATAGTCTCTCTTTCTATTGCACAGAGGACAAAATGGACAGCCACCTTTGTCTACTGTGTTAGAATAGAGAGAGAGAGAGGACCACTTAGCCAATATGACAATCCATGATTGAGTGTTCCACTCAAAGGTCCATGAGTTCATACCATTCTCATGAGTTCTTCCCTTGTGGGGATTTATTACATATCCATTCTTATTAATAACTTTCACATTTTCACATTATCTAGCGTGTACTGTTTCTATATAGACACACCACTATGCCAATATATATAATTAAGATACCACTCTTGCACACCTTGTATATATGTTTCTTTCACTCCTTAATTAGATTATTATGCTATATATATATGTATATTGTGAGATGAAGGAAAGAAATATCATGGAGTCGGCATCTTGGGGAGGAGTTTTAACATAATCGCTCCCCCGATTTTAAAGGGATTAGTATTTCATCTAACCATTAAATGAGAGGTGAGAGGAGGATAACTTTGTAAATACTAAAATAAATAAATCATATCAAAACTTTACAACATTAGAGCACAAAACTATTTCAAAGTGAACTCTCTAATTTGCTAGGAAATGAGAAAAGAAGTTAAAATTAGGTTAGACAAATGATAAGATTTCCTCTTGGATTAACATTAACCACAGTACAAATTAATTCACATTAAGTTTAGGGTTTGGTCAAATTAACATGTCAGTCACTCTCGTACTAAGAGATCATCAACTTCTTAAGCAATATCATTATTCTCCGTATCTAACTAGATAATAGCAACTCCATTATTATTATTATTATTATTTCCCCCTCACATGCTTAGCTAGGGTTCTTTATCTCCATATATAACCAAGCATAACCGATAAGCCATAGTACTATAAACCTGTATAATTAACAAGACCTGTCAAACGTTAACTCTTTTCATTGTCATGCTGACGTGATTAAAACCCTAGCTAGCTAGTTTCTTTGTTGACAATGATGAGTTTCTATCAACCATTGATCCCAGAGGAAAGTGGGTCCATTTATGGGTCCTGAAGGGATAAATAAAAGCCCTAATTTTCGCCTTTCTCAGTAAAAAAGAAAAGAAAGAAAGAAAGAAGCATATGTCAGTAAAAGGAAGAATTACATATATTTTTGATTCCTGCAACTATGCCCATTTGTGTAGCCAGCATGAATCCAACTGTATAGTAAAAAAGGCAAACGCAATGATGCCTGGAGAGACAAGGGTAAAAAGGCGCAATTTGACCAAAAAAAAAAAAAAAAAAAGAGAGCAAGGGTAAAAAGGCGCAAATTTGGACCAAAAAAAAAAAAAAAAAAAAAAAAAAAAAAAAAGAAGAAGAAGAAGAAGAAAAAAACTATTAATTTAACTTAATTGATAAGTCAATTTTAATTTAAAATTTGCGTTGAACAGATATAAAAAGAATTTTATTCTTTCTTGCTTGTCTGGTGAATGATGATCTCCTAATCTTTAATCTTTAATTTCATTTTTTAAAAAAAATTGAACTTATAGAGTTATATTACAAAGAAAATATTATTTTCTTTGCAAATTTCTTAAGTAGGAATGTAACATAAAAAAAAAAAAAAAAAAGAGTTAAATTGACAAAATGCATGAAAGTTAACACATGATGAAGTTATGTTGCGCATCAAAAAATTAAATATTAGAAGAAAAGAAGCTGGTGAGGGTTTTTGTTTGTTGGGATGGGGCTAAGAGTACAGAATCTGATATGTCAAATCATGCAGTTGGTATTTTGGAGTTATACGGTGGGGGGCTGTGTGCGTGGGACATGTCCAGAAAAGATAGATGATATTATGACTTTATAAATGTTTGGATTGGAATGTCATATCATACAATAAATATATTATTTAGATTAATAAGAGAAAGGGAAGGGCTAAAGCTAGCTGGGGCTTTCTTTCTCTGGTGGCAATAGAAAGAGAGGAGTGTCGGTCTGAAAGACAGAAGTATCAGCAGGTGCAGAAATATGAGTAGGGACATTACATATTTCTCGTTGATAACATCAATGCTGGAGATAAATTGGGGATTTTCCCATTTACAATATTACATGTGTTGTTTTGACGCCTCCAAATATTTTGTATTTTGTATACATTAGTGTATCACAAATAATAGAGTGCACCATTTTTTTTTTTCTTTTTTCAAAATCAGCCAACAGAAAAGTTCTTCATTAATAAATGCTGTTCTTATAATACAAGAAAATATGGTAACAGCACCTTAATCTTCAACCACACAATCAGGCTAATTTGTATATTGAGGATCAATTATGTTTTGTGTAGGCTAATTTATGATTATAGAAATTATCATCTTATCTCAACAATGTTCTTACTCTTCTATGTATGTTCAGGTTCTCCTGAGTTTTTCTTTTTACTTATCGTGTCCAAGATAGGACGGGTTCTTGTGGCTTGGTTATCAATTGTGAAAAGGGTATTCTCGAAGTCAATTTATGTCTGACAAAATTTGATTTTTCTTACATTAGCCTATTATAATTAAAATTACTTTTTAAATAATTCCAACCAAAATGCTTCCCAACCAAATTAAACCTCGATTGATAAGGAAATGGAGTACTCGTCTTTATCAACCAGCTATTCCAAGGCACATGATTTGACATGAAGCAATAACAAAGTTTACCGACCGAAAATGATAATTCTCTATTTCATATTATTTTTTTCGCCAATCAACTCTCTTAAAAGAAATTTCTTCGGTTGGAATATATTGAAAGAGGTGAAGTTGAAAGTGTCTCAATATATGAAATATAGTGATAGATTAAATTCCCCCAACTGCTTGAAACACCGTAGTAATTCTATAATATTAATTTCTCAAATTTAAATAGGCTAATCTTAAACGTTTATCATATGTCCCTTTGGTAAAAAAATAATATTACCAATGTATGCTCGGATCAAATGGTATCTGGGTACACTCTTAGCCTGACAAATGAGTTGGTACAGGGATGCAGTCTATTTTTATTTATCCAAGCTTCTGTTGGTAGTTTTACTTCAAAATTTATCGGGTACTACTTATAAATGCATTGCACCGAATACTAATACCAAGTGGAACCCACAAATATTTGAAATGGTGGTGGAGAGGATTCATGAGAGATGAAGTGCATCTGTATAATAAAAGTCCTAACAAAGTGTCCTACACCTCCATGCCTACATCTTAGATATGTATAAATTGTTCATTTCCATGTTCATGCATTTCTTACTAATGATTTATATGCTCTTACGAGCAAATACCAATCAATAGATGGGAGTTTGGTGATGATCTTGTGGGTCTTGCTAGCTTTTTCCCTTTCCTTGAATAAATAAAATTTTCTTGTATTAATATATACAATTTCATGGTGAACTCTTTAGAATCTATAAACAAAATTTTAAAAATTAATTTAATTCTATTTATCCCTTAAATGGTGTACTTTAAATCAAATCCAGAATAGTTTAGAATTGGAAAATTATGAAACAAGTGATGGGTTTTTGGTCATTGTGGCACAGGAAAGGAACAATTAATATTTGAACACGTGAGTTTGGTTTTGGTTAGTCTTCGATTCTATTTTGATGAAATTGACAGTGTAACAATACTTTGTTATTATTGCTTGTGGAAAAATTGTATTGGTTAGTACTCTGAAACTGATTAGTATAAGTGCTATAATCTTTGACACGAAAATGGAGAAACAGAAGAAAAGAAAGGAAATGGAAGAAAAGAGAAGAAGATAAAATTGGGAATGTTGATGCATGGCCCATTTTAATTAATTACTATTTACTTCTCGTAAAGGTGTAATTAGTACTACTCATTAATTAAAACAAGTGAACAACTTTAATTAACTCTTAATCATGTTCTTCAAGTAATTGCTTTAGCCTCTCTTTCCTCGCAAGTTCTAAACATTTATCACAAAATTTGGAAACATTTTTGTACACTTAAGGGTGGATGAAGCATGTCCACATTAATTATTCTTAATTAGGTACATAAAGATTCCAGTCATGGAATATTTTAAATACTACTTTGGTTTGGATTATATATGTAATTGAGAATTATATTATCCACGCAAAGGAAAAAGAAATTCCAAATCAAAGTTTTCTTTAAGTGAAAACAGAGCCATGCAATATGTTAAATCTCACATATTACTTTGATTTATCAATTAGAATGATTCGTTGTTCCCCCATTACTTTCTCTCAAGAGCCATATTGTGCTATATATGTATTGCATAAGTGCTTGCTAGCTGATATTACATTTTATTACGTTTTGGCTTGCGGAGAATTAATTGAACCCCTTGGCTAACTTGTTTAAGAGTATCTCACGAGGTACGTACCTCGTGGAGTTAAATTTGGCCTATGACAAATTTTAAATAAGAAAAAATGAATAAATATATACATGTAATATAGCAAAAGATACACCCATGACTCTCTCATTCTCTGCTTTGATGGTGTACCAGTACCAAAGCACGGATACTTATCTAAGCTTGCTTCAAGTCTTAGAAACAATTTTTCAAAGGCAGTGCAAAGTACTTTTTTGAGAGTTTTCTCTATTTTGGCTGAGGCTTCCTCTTCAATATTACATTCAACTAACATGCATGTGCACTCTTGCCATCGAAACGTAACCAAGTCAAGTACCAGTTGAATCTCACCTTAATCCTAAACGGTTGATTCCTCGGTAATTCATGATTACAAGATGAGTGTTCTTTTTTTATTTATTGAATTTAAAATCCATCCATAAATTTCGTCGGTAATCCATCACTAATTTATAAGTAAAATTGAGAGAAATTAGTGTTAACATTCGATACCCTTAATCATTAGCGGTATCATTCGATACCCTTAATCATCCACTTAATTCAAATTCATCGCTAAAAATTAGTTCGTCCATGAAACCCGGGGCAGTTACTAAATTTCTTGTAATGTATGAGCAGATGGACTAATTGTCAAGTATCAAATATCAACAATTTAAGACTTTAAATAGCTTTATATGCCCTTCTGGAATTTCTAATGTACCAAAAAACTTTAGTTGAAACCAAATCATCTCTTACATTTTTATCCCATTTAGGGTTAGATTTTTAGAACATCTAGAATATAGTGGATGATTTTGTTTAATAATGGAATTGAGAGGAATTGCAATTGGCATCTTGGAAAGTACTTATTAATTTGATTGAAATGCATAGGAAGTCAAGTAAGAACCATAGGATTTTGAGCAGAATGTGAACCAAGCAAACAGTGGTCCTCAAGTCCAAGCTGTGTTAATGTACTATGGGACTGCAATTATCAAGATAGTAAGGTCACATCTTACACAAAAATGGAAAGAGAAGTAATGTGGTCCATCCTACTAAATTCCAGCTACAAGAGAAAAGTATATGGATTTCTTCAGTCTCATCCTGCATTACCATAGATTTTTTTGCCCATTGCTTTCTTTTCGTAAATTGGGAATTCTTAAAGGAACAAATTAACCATAATTTGAATGTCTAATTTCATCAATGACTACCACCACCCAAAGTAAATATCAAATGGAACCCATCTTCAACGCCCAGATGAATTTTGAACTCGAACAGTGTCTAATTAAATCACCAATGATATCAAACAGAAAGCCTAACTGAGACGGCACTTGGATGCTTCCGTCGGTGTGCCTTTCTGTACATATCATTTATATACATATACATATATTTCGTGAGCAGTGAATTATCATGTGAAATACATACCAGACAGACTTGTAATGGCAAGAACCTGCCATATTGAAGATGGAGAACGAAACTGAACAACATAAACAGAATGTTCCTGTTAAAATAGTGCCTTGCTATTCCGTCATCAGGACATAGTAATATAAAACTGTGAATGTTAAAACCATATGATCCAAAACTCCTGGGTGATAACTAACAAATTGACAATATGCCTTGACGATTGTGATCTACCTTAGCTCTTTGATTTAAAGACCTTGCATATGATATTTGGTAAGACAATAGATTCTGCAACAACGAACTTATTATGACCAAATTTGAATTTAATAACCAAGAAAATGCTTATCAAATGATTCCAGTATATCAATCATCAGTTGTACAACAGTTATACATGAGTACGAAAAAAAATACAATTTCATAGTGGGGGTTTAAAGCAAACCCCTTTTACAAAAAACTCTCTCACCGAAGGTTACAGGTATAAGAAAGGTCTGTTTTCGTGTGTTTCACTTCTCAACTTGTTTCTATGATACAATCCTCCTCTGCACCTAATTCAAAGCTTGTAATCCCCCTTCCCTTCCATCCATGCTTGTTAAATCTAATTAATTTTAACTAAATAATGGTAAAAACAAAAGAATGCTACCCTCTTAGACGGAACTCATAAGACTAAGACGGCAATATGTTAATAAATTCACTAACCATCTACTTTCTATGTGACGTGATTCTCAACCAAAATTAAGCTTCTAAAACTCTTCTGTAGAAAAGAACATAAGCAGCTGAAGTCTTTATCTTGTCCTGGCTGATTGGATGAACTTGGCTATCATCAAAGTCATACCACCGGTCACCCCCATGCTACAACATCATAAAAAATACAATTACAACGTTTGAGATTGTACTATTATATAGTCAAATTTTAAAAAGTCAAATAAGCAATGATTTTTTGCAATTCAGGATAATTTTTCGTAAGCCTTCAATTTCATGCTAAATCACATGTCATTGACATATTTTTCCTCTTTCATGATAACTGTGAAATTTGACTCTTGAGACGCACAAACACACACACACACACACCCCGAGCTGAAATATTTAAGATTTTGAAGCTATGATACTGCCTACTAAGAAAAACCCATCAATCAACTAGATAAGGCCCTCTTGAAGTGGAAGACTGTATATCTTAACAATAGACCAACCGTGTAAGAGAATTAACAATAACATTGTCATAAAGTAAAAGCAACGATAAATGCTAAAAAGCAAAAGCAGTTTATTTAAGCGTCCAGTTAAGCTTGAATGTTAATGAAATCCTCAGCATGATTATCAGGTTAATTTAGTAGATTTGGATTCCTAATCCCAGAAAACAACATAATCCTACAAACTATTGCATGTGATCTAATGGTTAGATCCTATGGTTATTATTCCAACTAAAAATACAGCTATTAGCATATTAGTTTCAGTTCCAACTTAGGTAGAGCTCCAATATATGTGATAATCCATCTCAATACAAACATTAATGATTCATTAAACTAAACATAAAGTACCATTAGCTGAACAGAAACACATAATAAAGGTACCGTAAAAATGATTATTCATTGGTAATTAAGAAGCCACAATCCTCTTGATGTGCCTGCCTCACACATATGGAGCAGTGTCGACAGGCTCTCTCTCTCTCTCTCTCTCTCTCTCTCTCTCTCTCTCCACCCCCCCAAAACAAAAAAAAACCGAAAAAACAGATTCTCACTACCCCACTATACCCCCACCCTACACTTCCCTTCTGAAAAGGAGTGGGGGAGTGGAGAATTAAAATACCAAGGTCATTAAGGAAACTGAGGAGATAAATGGTAAAAATGAACAAAACAAATGTAAGAAAATACACAACTTACATGGACAAATGCAGTGTAATGGCCACCTCCCATGCTTCCATAGTGATTACTGATAGCATAAAGCATGTAACGATGAGATAACTGGCCATTTTTGTAGGATATGTAAGTTGACAAATCTAGATCATCAACAGGGAAGTCAACATATGCCTCAAGCTTGTTCTTCATGAATCGGGTATAAGAGAATCTTTTTAGATGAATAACCAGAATTTCTGGCAGCCTCCAAAGGTCCAATTTTTTACTGGCTTGCCGATGTTTCTTGCAACTTGGACAGAACCTAAAATTACATACAGCAGTAAATATACTACAAAGATACAACATAAAATTTGAGCAAGTGCTAACAAGGATCTCAGAGCACCAGACATAACAAAAACAAAGTAAACTTCAATACCAAGACTCGACATAAAATTTGAACAAGTGCTGAGAAGGATCTCAGAGCAACAGACATTTTAAAAAAAAAGACAGAGAGAGAGAATTAAAAAAAAGGTAAACTTGAATGCCAAAGCTCTGAAACATATACTACAAAGAGGCAATATGATGATGGGCCCCTGGTTTCAAAAGTTAACTGAATAATTTAATGAGTACAAATTAAACAAGGAAGATCTCTTGAAGAGATAACTAAACACCCAACTGGAAGTATTCAAATGATAAAAACCATATTTCCAGTTAATAAAGCATAAAAAATCTGTCAAATCCTTCTCAAATATATCTAGCTCGTTAAACATGAGATTATTTAAGACTATAATTTTGAGAAATGATGTATGCTCACCACATGTCATCTGGTCCAAGAGGTTCTTCCTTTAAAAATGCTTCAAGACACTTGTAAAGAGAAACAGATTCCTGAGGTCTCTTTGCAAGAAAGCCAGACTTGAAAATCTCAGGTAACGAGTTAAGAAGGCGTGTTTCATATTGTTCAATATGTTTTTCTGGCCAACATACAAGAACATTAAATCGTTTGGGCATTCCCGCCACTGGTAATTGTTCATTCATTACTATCTCAGAGTCCTTAACTGTTCCCTTCTCATCTGTCAAATAAAACTGTACTTCAGAATTTGAGGAAATATTGGCCCCTTCTACACTGGACGGATCTGCATTTCCACCTAAAGCAGAACTAGTGTCATCCATTCCAGTAACTACTTCAACTGCAGTGCTACTAAGGGTATCACAGCTGCTCAAGGTACCATCAGAAGGTTTTTGAAATGGAGTAAGCAATTTTATATATAAATTACGGATATCAGATCCATTTTGAAAATTACAGACTGGTGCTACAAGAGGAATTCCAAATGCCTTCCAACTTGAAGTAAGTTTCCCATTGATGTATTGCCTGACATAACAAAATCAATTAGAGTTATTGACTGGATATACACATGGAAAAAAAAATCATAGAGACTGCTAAAAAGAAAATAAAACTTACTCATCCATATGCTGATGCATAAATATTACCAAAGGGACATTGTCCAAGTCTTTATTCAACCGATATGCAACCAGACGGTCACCATCTCTAATCAATGATAAAGAATCAGCCGGTTCTTCTAGATATCGTATAATGCGGTTATTGTACACCTATATGGAACCATATTGCTTCAGGTATCAAAATAAAACAATTATATACAAACATGTAACTAATATAACAGATTTTAGAAATTATAATATTGAAGAGTACCTCTGCCACCAGTAAGGTCTCATCAATCCCTAAAGAGCATGCAAGGCTTAGAGCCCGAGTAAGATCTTCACATTTTCCATACTTCGGCACAGAAATGGTATATGGAGACGGCTGACTACTTCCATCAGTACTCACAACTGTCAAAGTCATACTCCGTGTATTCGTTGAAGGTAGAGGTAGTGATAAGTACATGAATGGATCAAATGTAACCGATACCTTCTTGCAAATTGGACAGACTAATGTTGACTTATATTGACCCTGCAATTAAAAATTAACCATCAATTCACTCTTCATTCAAAAACAACATTAAGGCAGCTACATGGGACAATAGATACACTATATTCAGATCTGTCAGGGATATTGCTGGAGTCAATTTCAAGACAAACTTCATAGCAAATCCCAATATTGTTTGTTAATCTATAAATCTCTATCTTCATGGATATGTCTTAATTCATTTTGTCATTCTGAATAATAGGTTGATTCTTCTGAACAACCAACATAAAAATAAAATTAAAATCCTATTCTGTTGCAAGCTCAGCAGGAACTGCAATGAAGTACAATGAGGAAACATATATAATCAATTCAAACTCATATTCCTATTCTTGGCACAACTTAGCAAACTAAAAAAGAAATTATAGAAAAACAGATGAGAACCTGGCAGACATCAACAATAATAGAGTCATTGCGAGCCACATGATTCCGCCAATATTCATCAGCTACTTCTTCATCTGGTCTGCCCTCTCCATCTTTGGCTTCTACATAAGGCTTGGATTTCACACGATTCAGATCCTCATGAAGTCCATCCAACAAGAAAGCAAGGAGTTCCTATATCAAAAGATTCATCATATTTAGAATACAAGTATATGTAATGCTACAATTCATAGAACAGGAATCAGAGAGAGAGATCCTTTAAAACAAGAGAATTTTAGCAACCTGAGAATCATGTTGATTAAACCCACTGAACTGAGGAGCAAATCGAGCAAGCTTTGACTTGAATGTCCTTGGTGCCACCGGAGATGCTCCGGGAGCCCATAACTTCCTCAATAGATCCCCAAATGCTAAGGCAATCTCACCCTGGGGAAAACAACCAGCTTAAGAGACTTAATTCTGCAGATACTCTGCAACAGCGTAAAACTCCTTACAAAAACATGCTCACTACAGAAAAAGATACCATCATCAGAAAATTAATGTAAGAGAACTAAAACTTATGGTAACCTACATCCATGCCCAATGGGTTGTCATGATTTATTTCTCTACCATAATCACCAAGGAAATAGTCTACAAGCTTTGGTGTGTGTGCTAGGCACTGAATGGCACTATTCATGAAGCAAGTATTTCCAAGATTCTGTAATCCTGTCAATCCCAATGAGCCAGCTTCTCCAGACTTTCCAAAGAAGGATGAAGAATTACTACGAAAAATACTGGTGCTAATACTGCCAGCACTACCATTCATCATTGTTGAAGTTCCGGAAGAATGTGTCCCATTAGAATATTGTACAGTGGCATCATCCTTTTTCCCTTCTCTGCATTTCATGTTATCAGACAGTCCATAAACTTGTAACTCCAAAACAATCTGTAGAAAAAATAGTGATAGTGAGAAAGAATTAGCTAAAATATAAACCGAACCTAAACTATCCACGAATGATAAATAGTTTTAAAAAGAGATTTTATTTGATTTCACTACAAGGATTCCCAGCTAGAAGACAAGTACAATATTTGCTAATGTCTCTCCATTGAAAACTTAGATCCTTAGCTATTAAAACTCGTCTAGGGTCAATAATACCACAACAACAACTAGGTCTTAGTCCCAAGATAGTTAGGATCAGTTACATGGATCCGTTTCGTCCATCCCACTCGGGTTTAAGTTATTTATTTAGAAAGACCCAGCATATGTAGATCTTCCATAATCACTTCCTCTCTCTTTCCTACTCTCATCTACTTCATGATGCTCTATTGTCCTTAAGGGGGCTTCTGGCTATCTACAAACATATGGACAAACCACCTTAACCTTCTTTCTCTCATTTTTCCCTTGATAGATGCCACTGCCTTCTCACTTACAACCATTTCCAATTCTGTCCAACACCGCATTGCCACATTTCCATCTTAACATCCTCATTTTGTTTGTGAATTTTCCTTACTGCCCAACACCCAATGGCATAAATCATAGCTAGTCAAATTGCAGTTCAATAAAACTTGCCCTTAAGCTTCATTGGAATTTGGCGATAACACAAGACTCCGGTAGCATTTTGACACTTCATGCATTCTGCTTTAATCTGATGATCAATATACACATCATTTCCCCCATCTTTAATAATAATTCCAGGGCATTTGAAATGTGTGCCTTGAGGCACTATTACCCTATTTAGGGTAACACAATTACAATCTTCACTCTTCTCCACAATAACTTGCAATGCAAACATTTTGTTTTTCCCCAGTTAAGCTTAAGCCTTTTTGCTTCTAAGGTGTTCCTCTAAAGATCTAGCTTCCGGTTGACTGCATTATGACTTGTATAATCTAGGGTCAAAAATATCGATGTAAACATATGCTTTAAATGCAAAGTAATGCCGTAGTCCCACAATGAACACATGTTTGTTCAACAAATGCTTGAAATGGTCACTTCACCTGTTGGAGCAACTATGCTGCCCAAAACTTTGTGAGTGGTTTGAAATGGATGTCCATCCTCTGTCTTGTTTTCTCATATCTTTTCCCAAGCAATCTAAAGTTTAAAAGGTCCAGTGAAATGATCTTTGTATACACTAACTTCACAGCCAACAAGTGCAACATTACAAGAATTAATTTTCAACTAACCAACAAGGGATCCACATCAAATATCTATAAGGCTTACTATTTGTCTCAAAGGTCAAACATCAAAATTCATGATGAATTAGATTGGGGATTGTTGCTAGCAGATCCCTAGTGCCCAGTGATGCTAACTTGAAAGCTGTATGACAGATCCGAAACAGCAGTTCTAATAATATGATTTTCAGTTTCAAATATATCTAAAGACTAGCAAAACATGCAGAGTATATTTCCTTGAAAAACGCCAACATAAACACTGGCTTTTAAAGTCCGGTCTAATGTCGGACTAGCAAGTCTTTGTAGTGAATTATAGCATTAGTAATTATAAGGTAAGCTGAAGTATCTACTGCTAACCTCCTGATCTGACTGACGCTGACAGTCTTTCGGAGACTTGTTGTCATTTACAAAAAATTGGGTAGTTTGACCAGAAAAGTCCCAGATGCGCAGCTGCACAGCAACAGAAGTTAGAAAGTTAATTTTCACTGCTCGAAACCCAAAAAGGAAAAAGAAAACAACTCCATCTGTTGGATAAAGTTCTAACTAACCGCCTCAGAATCAGCAGTAAAAATCTTGCAGGCTCTTCTGAAAAGCTCAGTTGAATTATCCTGAAAACTGTAAGGTGAGTACTTGAAATACCATCTAAGATAATTAAAACGTAGTAATTAAAGGCGAAAGGCGCATCAAGGCACAAGGTGTGGTAGACAATTCCTGAGGTGAAGAAAAACACCTCCTAATCTGGGTATTTTTCAGTGTTTTCTCTATTTCCTAGCAACAGTAGGATGCTGTTCGAGAAAATTTCTTCTAGGAAGCATTTGCCAATTGGATAGTCAAAAAGGGAATGAATTAAGATTTTTATTGCTCTAGTTTCTAAAAAAGATTGTTTTATTAAGTTTCAAGCATTTTAAGCACATATAGTCCCATCACTTAATATAAGATTTTAACTGAGATCTTATGAATATACGTCGGCTATTTAGTTCTAGTTCTCAAACAAAGTCCATTGACGGGAAATGAAGTTTAGAATCAGCACCTGGTTATGTTGTAGATGACAAATTAGTAGCACTAGATTGTCGTTTCATTATTGAATTTCAGAAGGCTCATGATAAGATCATGAGCAGTAAGATTTTGGTGATGGGTCAAGTTTATTAGGAGTTGTTTTTATTACATAGTTTGTTAAATTAATCTAAATGTGGACCCTAGGACTTGACTTGGTGTTACATTTTTTATTATGTATATAATGTTCTGTTTGAAATATAGGCTATTTGGTTTTTAATTTTAAGCATGTATAGATTTCATGCAAACTTTGGGCACTGTCTGTTACTGTGTCCTTGGGAGGCTAAAAGAGAAAAGCATTTTTAGTAGATTATCATATTATTTTGTGCACATACAGACACCCCATTTTATCAATAATAATGATACAGATACATGTTAATTTTATTGTACAGATACATCTTCATTTTGTTCTCTTATCAGGAGGGAAATATTTCCATTTTATGTATGTAAGCAGTATTCACTGAAAAAGCCAGCATAGGGACCAGGACCACTGCACCTAAAGCTGCACTCCATCTAAAAACAACAACACGAAGAAGTTTACATAATCACTGTATCCAAAAATCAAACTCTTCCTAACCTACATACAGCCTCTCCTTTGTACTAAGAATTAAACTTTGACCAATAAACTTTTGAATAACCAATCAAAAATTATTATCTTGTCATATCCAAGATTGAAAAGGCAAAATAACTTCTTATTTCAGACTAGTTAATCAAAATAATAAAAACATATTGCTATTCCAGCATTGCATGTCTTATGAAAGCTAATAAAGAAAATCATGGATTGGGCAAATGATTATACCTTTTTGGTAATTTTTACACCTAAGGAATTCAGTTCCCGCTGCACAGAGAGCCTCATTTGTAAAGGATAAACGTCTGACATATCATCTTCTGCAGCAGAAAAGGTTTTTCCATACTTGGATGCAACTTTTGAATCACTGTGCCTGAAAGGAAACCAGAACAGCAATACATTAAGCAACTTTCATTTCTTGGGCAATTAAAAGAGAACATAGAGAATAAAAAGTTGTAAATAGATTCATTACTATCACTAGACAAGTGTGCGTATAAGCAGTCACTATAACCTTCTGAATACACTTTTTTATGGGATTTTTACATGTTAGGAAGCACAAAGTCTTCCTATAAATACAAGTCAATTGCCAAAATAAACAAAGATGATAGGTTTAAATGTTTGGTAATAGAAAGCTTATGCCATCTATACCACAAATGGCATCAAACTTAAATCTTCTGTTAAGCTTATTCTTAGAAAAATTTGAATTTGGACCTGAAACAAAATTTGATCTTTTTCTTCACACATGAATCCATAATTCTTACACAACATGACAAATTTCAATGACCTGGGGAATGAAAGTGAAAAGAATTGCCGAAACCAATTCAGAAAGCTTACCATTTGAGTGCCTTCAACCACATTTCTGCCGAGACCAACGCAAAGTCTCGTCCTGAGACACCCACTTCACCATTTTCACCATTCTGCGAAGCTTCCTCTCCTCTCCTCAAATTAAGTACAAGATCCGAGCTGAAAATGTTGTTGATGAGCTTCATTGGACCCGCATAGGAAGATCCTGAAGTTCCTATATACAAAATCCCCTTATTCCCATCAGATTCACCCAATGACGTTGAATCTTGTGCATCTTTCCACCACCTAAAAGACGTCATTCACAAATTCAATCTAAATCACAAAAAGCAAGCTCAACATGTCGCAAAAAAAAAACATTAAAAAAAAAAAAAAGGAAAATCGACGAGGATTCTCCCGTTGGATACTAAGAAATCACAGTTAATAATTAAAAAAAAAAAGATAGAAATGAATCTTGAATGCCTTTTGATTTGAAAAACTTAATCCAATTTCCATTTATTTTCTCATAATTTCATTTTTGAAGGCCTTGATCTCACATTGACAGCTCCATGCTTAATTTATGCTTCAGATTTGTGAAAATGCATGCACTAGAAAGCAAACAAATCCCAATAAAATGAGAAACTGGACCTGTAAGGTACGAAATAGAGGCGTTGGTCATTGTCGGAGTCGGGTCTCTGAGTTGAATCAGATGGATCTTCGGATAGACCGTTCTCCATTCGAGAGAGCGAGTGTGTGTGCTTGTCTTAGAGAGAGAGTTTAGAAAGTGCTGATGATGTGGGCGTGAAAGAGCGAGATGGCGTTTTCTTTTCCTGTGGAGGATTCAAGGAGGGAAAATAAATAATAAATGTTTATATTGGTTTTTTTTCTTTTTCTTTTTTTTTAGATGCACAACGGTAAAAACTAGAAAAATACCTGAATTAAAATAGACGGCCACCTGGCACCATCTGAAAGGCTTGATAGCATATTTACGTAATTAGTGGTATTCGACAACATGCATTCACGTTACTCGCTATATATATATATATATATATTTTTAATATGAGTAATCCATCTTTTTTATAATATAATAAAAATAATAATAAATTATTTCAGTCAAAAAATGAGAGCATATATCAATCTATGCGCAATCACAAGTGCATTTCATATCTCAATCGCAATTATTTTTATGTCGCCTAAGTATAATTTCGTAGAAATATCTTAATGTGGGAAAAAATAAATCAGTGTTCACAAGGGTTGAGGAGTGTCCAGCAGCGATAAACCTGACACCATGAATGAGCCATCTAAGCCGATTACACTCTTAAAACGTAGTATTAAAGGCGAAAGGCGCATCAAGGTCACAAGGTGTTGGTTAGACAATTTCCTGAGGTGAGAAAACACCTCTCTAATCACCGAAGTGTGTGAGTCCCCATTCCCTCTTTCATCCAGTGGTTGTTTCTCGCCACCAGTGCTTGTAATCCTCGCCATCTCCAGCAACCACGTTAATTGGACTTGGGCCCTGTTGCGGAGAGGAAAATTTCTTCCACCGGAGTGATAACGTCAATATTAGCCTCACATATTTGGTGACGTGTAGCGATGCCCAATACCCTCAAAGTGGCAAATGTGATATTCTAACCTAATTTCTTCCTTCTTATTGTTTTGTCTTTCTAGTTTCTTCTTATAAAAATTATGATTGTTTTTATTTTATAAGTTTTTCTAATATGCATTTTTTTATTATGTTCACACAAAATAACTACATTACAGGGTGACCCAGGATCAACTCTAATCATTTCAGGTCTCAGTGATTTCTTCCTAAATCTTGAGATCCAATTATTCGATATAAGATTAACATCAGGCCGGCTCCAGCGCAACTAGAGGCCTATTATAGAGTTCTCCCTAGTTCTCAAACAAAAGTCCCATTGACGGGAATGAAGTTTTCTCAGAAATCAGCAAACCTGGATTATGTCCTGTAAATTGGACCATTAAATTAGTAGAAGAACCGGTGACTGGACGATTCATAGTCAGTTCTCTAAAGTATTAATTAATGTGCGTGCACGGTTTCAGAGCAGGCTCATGAATACACGATCAATATGAACTAGATAAGAAAGATATTGTCCTATAGGCGCTGGTATATGTGGGGTTTCAAGCTTTAGTTAATTATCAGGAGGGTAATCATGTGATTGGTTTTGTCAATTACACCATGAGGTGTGGTTTAAATTTAATGCTAGCCGATACATTCTGGCTCATGGTTTATCCCCTAAAGGGCACTTGGACTTGGTGTCGTGACCACTCTTTTAATATTATGGTAAAATTACAGTATCAAAGATTCACATATATGTATCTCAGGTATTGAAAATATAAAGTTGCCTATCTTTGCGATCTTTTAATTATATATCCCATAAGGGTCAGTACGTATAGATTCTTCATCATTCGCATAAACCCTTGGAGCAATCGGCGCTACCCTGTATCATCATACTCATATGGTGTCCACACATTCTAATATGCAAAAGCTCTAAATAAGAAGAAAAGCATTTGCTTTAGTAAAACAGAAATTGTTATTCATCTAAAGTGCAATATTTTTATATCAACAATAGTGCAGTCAAGACTATATTTTGTGCAAACAATAGGGCGAATAAGACTACCATCGCCAATTTTTATTTCGGGAAATAATAATAAATCTTGATAATCATTGATAAAACAATGGTTACACTTCATTTTATTGTACAAGAGTATACAATGCTACTTCCATTTTGTTCTCTGAATGTGCCAGTTATCGAGGGAGCGGGAAAAGTGATTTCCAATTTGGTAGAAGTACATGTAAAAGCAGTAATATATTATCTACAACGATGCAAAAACATAGAGGCCAGCCATAGGGACTCCACTAGGACCACCTGCGACCTAATAGCTTCCGCACTCCAAATCTAAAACAACAACATCACGAAGAAGTTTACATAAATCACTGTATCAAAAATAAAACTCTTCCTTACGCTACATACAGCCTCTCCTTTGTATAATAATAAACTTTTGACCAAATAAACCTAAAATCTTGATATAAATAATCCTAAGTGCTCTATACACATTTAAATTAAAGTGCGGATTGTTCATCATCCCAAGCGATTGAACAAGTGCTACAATATAACTTTCTATAGCCTTCGAACCCTAAGCTTTAATCCAAATAAATAAAAGATGACCTATTGATTGTGCTATTCCAGCCTTTTTGTCGCTCAACCAAGCGAGCTGAGCATGTCTTTATTGTAATTCAGCGCGCTATAAGAAATGAAATCATGGAATTTGGAGCAAATGAATTATTATAAACCTCCCTTTAATTTGAGTAATTTATTTAAACAAATCACACTAAAGGAATTTTCTAAGCAGTATATGTCCACAATTGCTGCCACATGAGAGCCCCTCAAAATTTTGAAGATTCGATATAAAGGATTATTAACGTCTTGACATTATCATCTTCCCTATGCAAGTCATGAAATAAGGTTTTTCTGTTTCCATATCTTGGATGCAACTTTTGAACCATCTGATGACCTCCTGAAAGGTAAACCCAGAACAGCTAATACAAATTTTAAGTCGAGATATCTTTTATATATCTGGGCAATTAACAATAAGAGAACATAGAAGAATACAAAGAATGTTGTAAATAGATTCATCATTACTATTAAATCACTTACGACAAGTCGTACGGCTGGTAATATTGCAGATCTACTATATACTGCTTACATGAACTTAATAACAACTATTTATTTTATCGGGTAATATTTTTAGTATTATTATAAATCTATGTTAGGAAGGGGCGACAAATGTTACTTCCTCATATATCTTAAATACAAGTCATATATTTTTTGCTGCAAATATATTAAATATAACAAAGATATGAACTAGACGTTTTATAATGTTTGGATAAAATAGAAAGCTTATGTCCATCCCTAATACCCACAAATTGGTCATCAAGAACTGTTAAATCGTTCCTGTTAATGCTTATCTTTACTTAAGAACAATAACCTGTAATATTTGGAGATCCTGACATATCAGAAGTATTTAGAATTCTTTGTTCTATGTGTAACAACATGATTTTCATCACATTAATTCTTACACATACATATGGCATAATAAAAATCAATGACCTGTGGGAATTTCTGTAAATAGAGTGTGAAAAAGGAAATATTGCCGAAATCCTAAAATACTTTTCCTAGAAACAGCTTATAACCCATTTAATTTTTATTTTTCTATGAAGTGCTTCAACCACAAAATTAAACTCTGCTCTGAGCCAACGCCATAGATCTCGAATACAACTTAGAGACATCGCATAGCCAGTATCCACTCCTCCTCACCCATTTTCACTAAACATTATCTGCGAAGTCATTTGCACTCTTCTCACTTCTCTCCTCATCAAATACTATAGTTACAAGATCCGAGCTTGAAAATGTTCTGTTGTGATTTTAAATGAGATCTATTCTAATATCTAACGAAATCCCTGTCAATACAGAGAAAGGTATTACTCTGAGTTCCTATTTATTACAAAATCCCCTTTTCATATGACCCCTACTCAAAAGATTTCCTATATCACCCAATGAACGCTTGAAATCTGTGGGGTCCGCATACTTTATCCACCACCTAAAATGAGGTCATTGGGCAAGAATTTCAAATGTCTAAACTCGCTACAACGCGAAAAGCAAGCTCACATGGTCCAGCATGAAAAAAAACATTAAAAAAAAAAAAAAGGAAAATCGAACGAGGATTCTCACCAGTTAATACCGTAATAGTGATACTAAATAAAGAATATAATTTCTAACAGATTTAACCCATTGGAACTGTAAAAACAAAAAAGATAGAACGTGAAGTTTCTTGAAATGCCTTTTTGATTTGAACTTAAACTCTCTAATCTGCACATATATATCTCAACATCCCACTTTATTTTTCTCATAATTTCCCTTCATTTTTTTAGCGAAGGAGCCCTAAGACATACATCTTACATATGAATCAAAGTCTACCATTGCTATCAAAATTATTAAACATTGTCTTCAGAAATATTTGTTGAAAAATGCATGCACTAGAATAGCAAAAATCCCAATAAAAAGAGAAAACTAGAGGACACTGTACACGGTACGTATAAATAATAAACAGGCGAATCTGTGGTACACCATGTGGTCCGGATGTCAGGAGTCTCCCTTGAGTCTGATAATCAGAATGGTAGGCCACCTTCGAGTAATAGATCTCTGTTTCTCCTCTACTTGTTAATATATTCATTATCTTCCCATTCGAGAAGAGCGAGTGGTAAAGTGGCGCTTTGTCTCTCCCTTAGAGAAAGATGAGTTTTAAGAAAGTGACTTCCAATCGAGATCGTGGTGGGGTGAAAAGAGCGAGGATGAGCGTTTTGTCTTTTCCTTGTGGGAAGGATTCAACGGAGGGAAAATTAAATAAAATCATAGAAATGGATTTTGTTATTATACTTAGAATGAGGTTATTTTTAAAATCAATGCTAATTATCATTTTTTTACCTTAGGTATTTTTTTTAGCTATATAGTCACAACAGCGAGTAAAAAAACTAACTAGAGAAAAAAATACCTGAAATTAAACGAGTTAACTTAGAACTGAAGAACCACCTTGGACACCAGTCCTCATCTTGAGGAAAAAGTGCTTGGGAATGAGACAATAATTTTTTTATATTACACGTTAATTAAGTGGTACTTCGCAAAAAATCACATAGTTCAATTTCCCTATTCGTTGTTCACTGCCTTCGGCTGATATATATTATAGTAGTATAAATATTTTTATAATGAGTGATTATCCCATCTTTTTTTTATACATATAATACAAAAATAATTAATATAACTTATTAATAAAAATATTTTAATTATAATATATACTATATTAATATATATGTATTATATAAATGAATAAATATTATAATTTATTTATAATATTAATAACAGTATGTAAACAAGGATACGTAGGGATAAAATTGATGATAAGGCGGATTATTGAAACATGGTAATGAAAAACAAAATTTTTTGTAATTGAAACATGTATAAAAATAAAGTTAATTAAAAACTTCAAGCAAAATAATGCCTTGTTGATTAATATAGTAAGGTATTCACCCGCGGGTGGAACTCCTCGGGCCACTGGGCTAACCTGGCAAGTCAGCGAGATTTGTAGTAACAAAATGAGTAATACATTTTATAGCCATAGGCAATAAACTTTCTTTTATAAATTTTTATCTTTAATATTTGAAAAAAAAAAAAAATTTGTCGGTGGCAAAAGAGTTTGAATTATGAGAGAGATCTGACGCATGTGTGGACACCTCGTGGATTCCACTTTCTTGAGAAAAAATAAAAACGGGAGTCCTACACAATGAGTCGTGTGTCCGTGAATCTAAATACTAAGAGCAAACAGATGATAGGAGTACAAAAATTTGGCATTGATGTTTTAAATTTCAGTATTACTCAATAGACCAAAATGGTATTTGGAATGTTCTAAGTGCCGACTCACAATCTCGGAACTGTGTTCTGCACAGAAGCAGTGTGGCCAAATCGGTGCGATGAGTCACAACTTAGAAGGAGCCAGAATGAGTCTGGGGGACGAGACTAAATAGACAAATACGTAAAATCCCGCACGGAAGAGGTTGGAAAAAAGTTGATATGGAGATCTTCAAATATGTATGTGATAATTAAAAATTGCTTATATAAAATATTTTTTAAAGTGTATCATTTCATTAATTAATGGAGCTGTCTTGAAGATATTGGTTAAAAAAATTTGATATTAAATATCAAAAAAAATGAAGCCCGCTCAGATTGAGCTTTCGAGGACACGAAAAATGAATGTAGAGCATAGAGAGAATACATCATATAAACACGAGGTCGAAGAAAAACGAATAGACAGACGAAATATGAGCCAAGATTTAATGTATAGGATAGGCAAAGAGACGCGTCCTCACATTTAATCAAATGCTTTGTACACCCAACCTGTCTCAACGCCCAGAGAATCACACCTGGCAAAAAGTCGCAGAGCAGTGCCAGCAAGGAATGACCAGGAAACAAGTGTTGAAGACGGAAGAAGAAAATAAATAGCACAAGAAGAAGAAGAAGGGAAAAGAAGATCACCGAGTGTAAATAAGTGGAGGAGAAGGCTTTGGTGGGTTGATTCTTTTTCTGGAACCAAAATAATACGGGACCGTTCTACAGGGTGAGGAGGTCGTGTACAAGATTATGATGTTGTGATATGAGCAAGGCAAGCGGTGAACTTGTATTTGAAAATAGTAATTTCAGACCAGCAGGAACAAATTGCGGCTTCGTGTGAACAAATAGGAGATTGACCGAGAAGAGAAGTGTTTCTAAAAGATTGGTGTATTTTGATAGTGTTAGGTGTGTTTTTGCGCATCCAGGTTTAGTTCGGTTTCAAAATTAGGGTAATTTTTAATTATTTTTTGATTGGCGGACTTATATAATACAAAAGACAGCCAAACCCCATATAACAGTTAGAAAAAATCAGTAATTGCTGCACCATTTTACTACTATGATTTTTTAACTTTTCAATTGGTTTTGGGCTTGATTCGGTTTTAATGTATTTTCTACTGTAAGAAGACCCATCAACTAATTTATAAATGAATAAATATTAATAATTTATTATAAATATTATAACATGTATGTAAACAAAACGAATAAATATGATAAACGATTATTGAAATGGAATGAAAAACAAATTTTTGTAATTGAAACAATGTATAAAAATAAAAGTAATTAAAACTCAAGCAAAATAATGCCTGTTAGATTAATAAGTAAATTCACCGCGTACTCTCGGCATCTAACCTGGCAAGATCAGGAAGATTGTAGTACAAATGATAATACATTTTATAGCCAAAGCAAAATAAACTCTTTTATAATTTTATCTTTAAATTTTGAAAAAAAAAAAATTGTGGTGCAAAAGATTTTAAAATCGACCTTGTGACACCGTGGATTCACTTTTTAAATAACCTCACACTGTTTTACACTAAAAACAATAGTAATTTTTAAAGTTATTATTTAGATGTATGATTAATGCCAATGTGTTCTGAAAATCAAATCGGTCACTAGACCAATGAAGACAATAATAATTAAACCAGAGAGTTAAAATAAATTCAAATATGGATTAATTAAAATTTTATATAAAATATTTTTAAATATATTTATTAAATATAATTTGAAAATATTGGTTAAAAAAATTTGATATTAAACAAAAAAAATATGCTCAGATTTAGCTTTACGAAAAGAATAAATAAATAATATTAAACAAAAAGAATAAAAATATGAGCAAATTTAATATAAAAAAAACTCAATTAATAAATGTAACACCCACCGCCCAGTCCCGAGAGATCCAACAGCAGATGCCACATTCGGTGCCGAAGTCACCGTTATAGTAATTTTTCTGGACCAAAATAATACGGACTTCTAGACTGGTGGTACTATTTACACAACGGTAAACTTATTATTTCAGACACAGAAAGCGTTACAATTACCATAAAATGTAATATTATTTTTGCATCATTTAGTTTTCAAATTGGGTAATTTAATTATTTTGATTGGGCTTATAAATAAAGAAGCCCAAAAGTTAAAAAATCAGTATGCCCATATGTTTTAAGAGACCATACTTTGAATCAATTATATTAATTATCAATCTGATTTACTGATTTTTAGCTGATTTTCATTGGGTTTTCCCCGATTTTGAAGTCTCTATTTTTATTATCCAATTTGAAAAGGACTATAATCCGGTTCCTGATTAAACCGATCGATCCGATTTGATTTTTAGAACAATTGTTAATTCAACTTTTAATCAATAAAAATTTTAATTGATCTAATTTTACAAATTGACGTATTTAATGAGTAAAATAAAATATTTAACAGACCCTATTAAAGTGTCCAATCAATTAAAATAAACATTAAAGATGTTACAAAATTTTTTGTAAAAAGTATAACAGTGCATTTATGTATGTAATCTAGAAAAAATTAATGATTTTGGCAAATAGCTTTTGCTTGTGGCATTACAAAAAATAAGAGAGAATTAAGGTAAAGAAGCATGAATAGAGAGGATTTAGTCTGGGTGAGCATTTAGTTCAATGGAATTGAATCGCCACTGACTTAAATAAGGGATCAAAATTTAAAAATACAATCAAACTCAAATGAAGAAGCATGAATAGTTAAATTGAATATATTAAAATCAAAATTTTTACATTTCTAGAGGAATAAATTTAGCTAGTTTTTAGTTTGGCTTTCTTCACGAATCAATTTTATTGGTAATTCAACTAAACCAAATTGAATCAAATTGCTTAGAATCAAAATCTGCTCACCCCGATCAGTGTGACAGTAACCCCCGACGTCTGCAAGTCGAACTCGCCAGTCGGCCTGACTTTATTCACGAGAACTTTATATCATCTCATGTGCGTGATCTCATGCGCCAAAATCAAAATTATCTACCAATTTTAAAAGAAAAATTACTATTTCATCCTTACATAATTGGAAATACAAATTATTCCAATTCTCTGTTTCAAGAAATGATTTTGTAGTCTTTGATTTTTCTTTTCATTAAATCATCTGACCCTTTCATCCTAATTTAGCCATTTTTACCGTTTATTCAATAAGAAAAAATCGGTCAAAAGAAAGGGAATAGAAAATAAAGGAAAAAGTACCCTTAACATCCAAAAAAACCAGAAATAGAGAGCTTTGCTTCTGGGTATGTGATGAACTCAATCGGCCGCTAGTCTTTGCTTCAGTTTCTCTGTTGGCGGGTAGTTATTGTTTCTACCATGTAATATGAACCTGATTGCAACTGCTCTTAGATTGAAGTATCTGAGTCTATGTGGCCTTGAAGTATTAATGGAACTTTTTCTATACGTGGGTTTCTGCTAGTACTGTCATCTTGATTTGCTAGCTTCTTGTTTTGTACGTGGCGCGAATCCACTGGCTCAACGACACAAGAGAGTTCCTGGGATGCGTTTTTTTCTTCCCTTTGTCCTTTTAACTATAAGGTTATTTAGGTCTTTTCCATAAACGGCACAAAAAAAAAAAAGCTAAATTAAAACGGAAGAATTAAATGATTTTATGGAAGCAAAATTCATTTTTTAAAATAAAGGAATGGATTAGTTATATTTTCAATTAATATAAAGAGGAAATAATAATTTTTAAAATTTTAAATGGTGACACCTACCCTCTTCAATAGGGAACCAAAAAGCATGGTTACTTTTCATTCAAATACTATTTTCAAACGACCATCCCAATGCTGGAAGCTCTCTTTATAAATCAAACTCTGGTTAGGTGGTAGACCTTACTTTCAGTAACAAACTCACCTTGGCCTTCTCGCCCATCTCTCACCGCACCGGCAATGACTCCCACCGGAATTCTCGCCGGACTCTTCCTCGTTTTAGCATTGTACTGTGGTATCGACCCATTTAAGCACAGTGCAATCTCAGATTTTCCAGAATTCAAGGCAATCAAAGTTGACATGCCTGATTGGTCACTTGTTCCTACTGACAAAGACAAAGATAACTTACTCCAAAGATCTGAAATTAAGTTCTTGAATCAAGTTCAAGGCCCTGAGAGTATCGCCTTTGACCCTCTTGGCCGCGGGCCTTACACTGGTATTGCGGATGGCAGAATTGTCTTCTGGAATGGTCAGAAATGGACTGATTTCGCTTACACTTCATCTAATAGGTCAGTTCTTTCCTAAATTCTAAGTTTTTGCTATAAACTAATTATTTATTTAGTAAATTTTTTTGTCAATTCAGTTATTTATAAACTTGAATCCAGAGAGTACTTATGACTGCTGATTTCAATTTAATTGACATCAACAAAGGCTGCAGATTGTAAGTAGTTAATACTATGCGATAAATATGGAGGAAGAGAGAGTTGTCTACGATGAGCAAGGACAAAATGGATGCATTGATTCTATTTTTGATTAATCAAATGGTTGCCTAGATGATATTTAGCTAAATATCTGTTTTTATAAATTCTTATACTTTTCATGGTTCTCTTCCTACTGATTGATAAACTAAATTGACAAAATGCTTTAGGAAAAGATAGTACATAATAATCGTATATAATTCCTCAATTTTCCATGATGACCAGCCATTGAATTGCTACTACCCAGGTTTGGATCCAGTTTTTGGTTTCCACTAGTTGCTAAAGAAATTGTTGTTGCTGTTTTTGTAGTTACTAGTTATTTATCATTTAAATTATTCTATTGACTATTTTTTTTTTTCCTTTCCAATTCTTATTTGGGTCTCAGGTCAGAAATATGTGATCCAAAACCTTCGCCTTTGAGTTATTTGAAGAATGAACACATCTGCGGTAGGCCTTTAGGGCTTCGATTTGATAAGAAAACCGGTGATTTATACATTGCTGATGCATATCTTGGACTGATGAAGGTGGGGCCAGAAGGTGGTTCGGCAACTTCACTAACAACTGAGGCTGAAGGAGTCCCACTGAGGTTTACCAATGATCTAGACATTGATGATGAAGGGAACATTTACTTTACAGATAGCAGTACTCAATACCAGAGGAGGTTAGTTTTTGTTGCTCTTTTCATCATCTAATCAAAGCATTTTGAAGTTTGCACTTATTTTCCTGTAATGCACGAGCAGGATGCTGAGAATAACCTAATTATGTAACTCTATCAGGACAATTGAAATGCAACTTATCAACATGATACAATATATCAAGGAGTTGGTTATCTTGTTTCAATACTGAAGATGCTAGAATAAGTTGCCGCTTAATTCTGGGTTGCAGAGAATAAAATGCAGTTGAAAAGAAATTTTACTAAAGAGGGTATCCCATTTGAAGCAAAGTAGAGCACGTCTAGATTTGTAATCATGACACATCTCTATGCTGAGTTTCTCTTTTGGAGCTCTAATTCTTATCTTGCAATCCCTGCTGCTTCTTTTCAACAACTTGGATTGCTAGACCTTACTACCGCTAGTTTTCTAACTTCACACTTGAATCAAAGATTACAAGTTTTTAAAAATACTATTTTGGTACTTGCTTCCTTCAGGTCCAATTAGAGTATGTCCAACAACTTATATTATCCCAATTTGTCTGCAGAATCTAATATTATCTTAAACTTACTTAATAGCCTCATGTGGAACTCCTGGCCTGGTGTTGCATTTTTTTTTTTCCTTCTGTTAAATGTTATCATGTGTTATTGATGCCTTAGTTGTAACACCATAATATCTTTCAGGAACTTCATGCAATTGGTTTTTTCTGCGGATGATAGTGGGAGGGTTCTAAAGTACAATCCAACTACAAAGGAAACCACTGTCCTTGTGAGGAATCTTCAATTTCCAAATGGTCTGTCCTTAAGCAAGGATGGTACCTTCTTTGTCTTCTGTGAAGGATCCATTGGCAGGTAATTCTTCTTTTCTTTTAATATATGCTATTCTATAAAGCCAGAAACTGTGTTTGGTGTTATTTGAACTGTCCTAAACCTTATAATGCTTTCTTGTTTGTTTTAGGCGGTTCTGTTGCTTTGAGTTTGTCTAGCACAGATTTTATATATCAATTTGATAGATACAGACACTCATGCACCTCATAAGAACAAGATCTAACAACTCCATACATTTGTGAAAGTTGTTATTGATACCTCCTTGGGCAGTCAGAATGGTGGTTTTAGATTTTGGCGTTACATTTTAATTGCTGTATGTTGTAGCTTTGCAATTTTCGTTTTTGCAAAGATAATGCTGGTGCTCCCCATTCAATGGGAATATTCCTATTTTATTCTCATCTTAGCAGTGCAGCAACTATTCTCTTGGGACAATTACTATCTTCACTCTATTAAGATAGTAAGTTCAAATTTTAGTAGTCTGTTTTGATTCATGCTTCATAATATTCCAAAGAAATTCTTACATCATCATTTTCAGAAGAAAAAGAAAAAGCTCTATTGCTCAATGTGCCATGCCATCAGGAATCATTTTGTGGCATCTGGAATCAGTCTTCCATGTTCAGTTGCAAATGCAGCAACTTTTCTCCTCTATTGGTATTCATTCAATATTTGTAAATGCAGATTGCGCAAGTACTGGCTGAAGGGCGAGAAAGCAGGGACTTCAGAAGTATTAGCCATCTTACCAGGGTTTCCTGACAATGTCAGAACAAATGAAGAGGGTAACTTTTGGGTAGCAGTTCACTGCCGCCGATCGTTATACACTTACATATGTGCATTATACCCAAAACTGAGAATGTTCATGCTCAAGCTTCCAATATCAGCAAAGATTCAATACCTGCTTCACATTGGGGGCCGGCTTCATGCAGTGGCTGTAAAATACAGCCCAGAAGGTAAGATCTTGCAGATATTGGAAGACAGTCAGGGGAAGGTTGTTAAAGCAATCAGCGAAGTGGAAGAGAAGGATGGGAAACTGTGGATGGGGAGTGTTCTCATGCCTTTTATTGGAGTTTACAACTTGGCTTGAGATAAGTATTATTCCGACAAAGCAGTCATTGCACCTTTTTAGTCTTGCTCTTCCCTGGCCTGTTGAAAGTGGAAATCTGTCAAGAACATGCATCTGTTTTCAGGTTATCTTCTCTGTCGTTTGAATTTAGATCATATGCCTCTACGATGATCATACCCAGATTTTTATGAATTTTGAGTTGATTACTTAGTATGTTGTGATTTTATTTTATAGCAAAAGAAAATATAAATGAAAATTTCTTGTTTCCAGTATAGTAGTTAAGTATGTTTAAAACAATATAAATGGAGTAGCAGTATTCTTATGTTTTATTTGACTCCCATAAAAAAATCTTTTGCAATATATTTTTGAAGGTAGAATTTATTTCCAAATCTAATTTAATAAAAAAAATTATCATTATAAACATTACATATACAAGTCTTAATATTTTACTAAAATTTGTCATTCTTTCCATGTAAGTTGTAAAATTACTACCAATCCACTTCTTTAACAATGTTAAGTTTTTACTCCGATCATGTTGAAGGGTGCATTGTCATGCTTAGCTCCTATATCTTAAGAGACTAGTTTTTTTTTTTTTTTTTTCTTCCGATCAATGTCTGAAGGGTGCATTGTCTAATGGCGCTTAGCTCCTATAGTCTTAAAGAGACTATAGTTTTTTTTTTTTTTTTAGTGACGGTGCGATTGTATGTTGATTATATTTCATTATACTGCTATTTTTTTTTTTTATACGTTTTAGTTTTTTTTAAAACTTATATATTAAAGTAATATTAATTTTTATTTAGGTTGCGATACATTAATAAGTGAATTTTATACCATATTAGTCAGACTAGTTTTTTTTTTTTTTTTAGTGACGTGCGATGTATGTTGATTATATTCATTATATGCTATTTTTTTTTATATTCGTTTAGTTTTTTTTACTTATATAATTAAAGTATAAATTTTTATTTAGGTTGCGATAATTATAGTGATTTTTATACATATAGTAAAATATATATTTTTAGTTATATATCTTCCACTATAATATCTTATTGAAAATAAATTGATATATTTATTTCTCTCTTTAAAATAACAATTTAAATATAAAATACATCATTTATATTCTCTTCAACATATTGATTCATATAGTTTTTATTATACATTAGTTTTTACTTTTTTTGTATACCAAATTGATTTATAAAAATCATCATATACCTTTTATTTTGGGTTTTATAATTAACTTACATATTTTTTTAATAACTTTCGCTATAATCTATTTTAGTAAATAAATATATTTTAACAATAAAATAGGAAACTAATCATCATCCCTGCAATTTGATAATATTAATTTAATGGTCTTCGAGGTTTACTTCCGCCAAACCACTTGGTCTTTCTGTCCATTTTCTTCAGATTTTTCCGTTAAAACTTATAAAAATACTAAAATACCTTAACACATAAGAATGGAAAATAATTAATTCGTCCCTGAGATTTGACCAAACTAACTAAGTTATCCCTGCAATTTAACAATATTAATTAATGATCCATGAGATTTATCTCCGTCAAACCATTTGATCATTTTGTTTATTTTCTCCCGAGTTTTTGTCAAAACCTTTAAAAAAATTCTGAAAAAACGGAGAATATTTATAACGGAATGACAATTAAGTATTATCACATTTATAACTAGAATTCTGTAAAATGGAGAATTCTTGTTTTTTTTTTAATTTATTTTCTAAAATTTTCTTACTATTCCTATGGTCCTACCTTCGTTTTATTAGTTGTAGTTTGTGATGGAGTATATAAAATAACTTGTTCTCTTGAATATTAATACCTAAAATTAAATGCCTATTATTTTTATTGAAATTAACTCGATGTATATTTTTTTTTTCATCTTTTTGTTGGTGGCTCAAGATATTAAAGTGACACATTATGTTGATCAAAAAATTTTTTTTGGGTGAATATCAAATAATTAATGTATACCTGACTCTTCGTTTTCCTTCCAAGACAAATGAAAATTCTAACCTAGGTTAGTTTAGCATTTTTTTTCTTAAATGTTAAGGTATTTTAGTCTTTTTTTGAAGGTTTTAATGAAAAAATTTGGAGAAAATGGATGGAATAATCAAATGGATTGACAGAAGTAAATCTCGAGGATTATTAATTAATATTATTAAATTGCAGAGATGACTTAATTAGTTTGGTCAAACCTCAGGAATGAATTAATTATTTATCCTTCTTAAGTGTGAGGGTATTTTAGTCTTTCTTTACAGTTTTAACTGAAAAATCTGGAGAAAATGGACGAAAAGACCAAGTGGTTCAACGGAGATAAACTTTAAGATTATTAATTAATATTGTCAAACTACTTGATGTTTTAATTAATTTAATTAAACCTCAGGACAAATTAATTATTTTCTCATTATCTATAAAACCCCTTGCTAGTAGCCAGAAAGCATGGATACGTTATATTGACGACTGCTCCATGGACTATTATTTCTCTGACGACAACGCCGAGGAGTTCGACAACCATCAAAACGATCCCGACGATGACTACTTCCCGGAGATCATCGATGATCGGCCGGAACAAAATTACACAATACTGAAAGAAGCCGAAATCAAGCAACGTCAAGAGGATGATATAACAGAAATTTCTAATGTTCTTTCAGTAAATAGAAACGCCGCAAGCATTCTACTCTGTCATTATAGATGGATTGTCAGCGAAGTTCTCGATAACTGGTTCGCTAATGAAGAAGAGGTACGCAAATCTGTTGGCTTGCCTAAAGTTTGGATTCTTCCTTTTTTTATCCTCTAACAATAAATGGGTGATAAATTATAAATGGACTACATAGAAATGAACTTTGTACTTTAGGCAAAACCCATTCAAGTAAATTGCCTGTGTAAATGAAAATGAAAGCATCTTGCCTAGAAGTCATGAAACAGAGGGACACTATTTAGGAGTTAAAAAGAAGAATTGATACATTATTATTCGAAAATTTCAGCATCTGCAAAATCCTATTTGAAAGAAGCCAAAGGAATGAACTTTTGGATTTGAAAGGAAGAACTTAATGCATTTTCCACCTACTTATTCTGGCAGGAATAAAACATATATATTCGTTTTCCTTGAAACAAAGAAATACATAAAGAGGAACATTGTATATAAACAAAATTAAACTAAGTTTAAAAAAAAATCGGACCAAGTTCATTCAGTTATTTTTTAGAAGAAAGAAAGAAAAAAAGAAAAAGCTGCACTCTAGGAAGCAACTCTGGAACAAAAAAAAAAAAAAAAAAGGAATTTACTTGGACTTCTTTTCCTCTTCCCTCACTTTATATATTTTGTCTTCCTCCTTCATTTTCTTCTCCCATTTCCGCTTCTTGTAGGCCAACAACATATCCGGCATTCGCTGCATCAATTTGGCAGTGTTTTCACGTTTCTCTGCAGATATCTTATCACATTTATGCCCTTTTATCTTGGTTCTCATTTCTTTCCTCTCCGGATCATATGGCCAATTTTCCCCTGCAAGTAGGACTTCCTTTCGAAGTCTAGCTCGTCTACGAGCACTAATGTGGAGTGGCGTCCATGCCCCTAGATTCCAGTAACCCCATACACCCTTGGATAGTTCATCTTTATGTTTTGCCAACTTCTCTTTCCAGGGATATTGGTACTCAGAAATGGCCTTTGCCGCAGTTTTCACAGCTTTGCTTGCCATTAAATTCTTTGGTTCATTGCAACACAAAGAAATGGCAACACAAAGAATCAGCAAAAAGATTAGAACATAAATTTAAAATGCATAAGAGAAAAAACAAGGAAAGACATTAACTTCATTGCTTGCCATTAAATTCTTTGCATATGCTTCTAAAAGCAAATACAGAAACATATGCAAAATTTTAAAATGCATAAAAGAAGAAAAGGGGGAGAAAAAGAAAAATATTCACTATAAAGCTTCTCTAAGCAGTTATTCTTTCATCCATGAATCATTCTAATTTTAGGAACCTAACATATATTACCAGGATATTGCATGGCCACGTTGTGTGGACTGCATAAGATTATTCGCTAGCCTAATCAGACTTTTAACTGCTTTTTTACTATGAAACTGTAACTACAAAGTAGAAAACCAGAATTACGGGTTGGCTTTAGTTTCAGTTTCAACTGAAAATCAAAATGAAAACTCTAGTTAAGCTGGATAGTGAGTTGCCTGAATCAACATACTGATTTGATGAGAAGACTTTATCACAGATGATCCATGTGTTGTATTAATGTAAGAAACCACTCATATCATAATAAAAGGATAACATCAGAGAATTCATTTTGAAGTAACAACTTGCATAAGACACCTCTCAATATCATAATCAGGATATGATAGAAATGTAATTGTAGCCAATGTGTTTTAAGGAAACCAAATCTTGAAAGTAATAAGAACTAAAATTTGGGAATCTATTAATACAATATCAAATATTACGCATTATATAGAAATATTACAAAAAACACAACAGAAAAAATTATAAGAATGGACAAATCTCATATGTGAAGACTGAATATCATGAAAATCGAACCCAAACTGAACCAAGACTTCATGAGCTCAACCTCAACTCAGTTAGGTTTAACGATGCTTGAACTTAAAAATTGGAGCTTAATTTCATTATTAAAGAAAATCAAGAATACTTGGAAATACAAATGTTAATCAAAAACACATGAACACAAAATTATGTTCTAGATGCATATGCTGCTTGCAGTGGTAATAGTTATAAAGTAACACAACTGCATGAACCTGAAGGAAATCAATTGCAAGAGCAAAACATCAGTTAAAAGAGTGAGTACTTAACTAGATGTCCCAAAAGGAACACTACCTAAAGGTAATATTTAAAATTGTGCATAGACCACCAGCTCAAAAGTTACTGCAAACAACACGAGGGGTTGCACTTAAATATCTATTCGTATTTACACACACACACACACACACTCTCTCTGTAATTATTTAAAATGTGCATAGACCACACAGCTCAAAAAGTACTAGCAGAACACTACCTAAAGGTAATATTTAAAATTGTGCATAGACCACCAGCTCAAAAGTTACTGCAAACAACACGAGGGGTTGCACTTAAATATCTATTCGTATTTACACACACACACACACACACTCTCTCTCTCTCTCTCTCTCTCTCTCTCTTTCAGATTCATTTACTATGATATATTTCTAACTTATAGTATATCTCCCTAATCTATTATCAGTCAAAATATTCTGTATGTTTCTAATTAATATTCATTTATGTACTAAAATATTAAGTACCTTCATATATAAGGATAATTGAACTAACAGGGGATTGACCTTTCTGGTGTTCAATGTAATAAAGGTTGCCCATAATGTGGATCCTTATTGTGCACAAAATAAAAATAGGGAGCATAACTTGGCAGAGTGTGACATTAAAAGTTTGGAGTATATAGCATGTGGAAAAGGAACAGCAAAGCCAAACTGACACTAAAAATTTTTCCATTTGTCCAGGTTAAACAGAGTGAAGACCTTGTTGCTTATTTTAAAGACCAACTGAATAACATTCCAATCCCAATCTAGTTCTAATAATACAGTCCTCCCAGTGAGAAGAATCAACTTAAAAGAAACTTCTTTTTCTTTGTTTTTTCTATCCACCAGTGCAGTCTCCCAAATTTTTTTGGTAAAAGTAAGAACATAAACAAGAAACAGACTTAAAGATCTCAATTACTGTTTAGGTGCCATGCTAATAACACCCTACATTTATGGAAGCTTCTTCAACCAAAACTGAAAGGAAAACATCTTCAGAGCCTCCACCAAATGAATCACAACTACATAAAAGGTGTAGCACACGTTCTCCTGAACAGATAACAGAATTGCTAAAAGAAGGAAAAAGAAAAAAGAAAAGGCAGCTGCCTAAGTGATTCATTGGCAAAACAATACAGCTGGTAATAAATACGCTTATTTACTAATGTATTGCGTTGGATAAACCAATAATCTTCAAGAATAAAAACTTCAAATAAAAATAAAAATGAACAAATTTATGCTAGCAATCACATGTTTCCAGCATAAGACTGATGAACAGAAGAGAGGGTACAAAACCTAATCAGATTTCAAAGAAAAAAAAAAAGAACTGGTTAAGCTAATTTGTAAAGAAATCACAAAACCCACTAACCTGCTGCTTCGATGATCTGAGAATGGCAGCTCAGAGATATGTTGAGGAAAGAAGCCACAAAGAAGGCCGTTCGTGCAGTAGCGGTCGTCAGAGGCGAAGCGAAGCGGCGATGATATATGAAGCTCTGCAATTATTTGTTTAAAACATATTTATATTTACTTTCTATATAATTTTTTTGAGTAATAATTTATTAGGTGAATTTTAATTGACTTAAAAGTTAAAACTAGGGATGGCAGTGGGCGGGTACCTGCCAAAAAATAAACTACCTGACCCCGAAGTACCCGAATCCGTAAAGGAATAAGCTAATAATATCCAGACCCGTCCCAAATCCGTTTAAAATTACCCGCATACTACCGTCCCGTTTAATCACAGATTTATTCAATCCAGAAAACTCAAACCTGCATGAAACCCGAATCCAAACGCGAAGTGCAACAAAAAATATATAAAAAATGCATTAAAGTTCAACTTAAAAATAATAAAACAATTTAACATGTAATATTCTAAAACATCAGTGGATAGTAATATTAAAGTAGAACAGAAGAATTGAAATTCAACCTAAATAATTAATTCAAACCAATATCTCAATTAAATAATTTAATAATCAAACATCAATTAAAATTCAATAAGAACAATAACAATAGCAAACTAAAAATCAATTAAAATATAATATGATAATACTAAGATATAACAAATTATCATAGAATGAGAACTAAATCTATATAGAACATAATAAAAAGTATCTCAATAAAGGAAAATTACTGAATTAAAAAGTACATTAAAACAGAACAAAATTACAATAATAACACAAGAAATTTTACATAAACATAATTTTTGAACTCCAATTTGTCAAGAACCAAGATTCCAAGGATTAACAACCAACATCATCTTCTTCCGCACAAAAAACATGCACAACAAACATACATTCGACTCCGGGCATGAACAAAAATCTGAAAAATAAATAAGAATAAGAACTCCACTATGCAAGTCAGAAAAAATTTCAGCTCTATATAAAATCACAAAATACTAATCCCACACGCATATATATATATATATATATATATAACTTTAGCAGCAGAAAACCAACGCAATATATAAATTATATTAATATATATTAACGTAGCAGCAGAAAACCAGATTTCTATTCAACAAACCTATTCCAGTATATGAAAGAATTCTATGCTAAATATCTCAAATTCTCAGTATCTCTACACAACCTTAATCAATTATTAACAAATCAAACTTTGAAGAAATAACAAAGCCAAACATGTCCAGAAATTTCAACTCATATTGCCACGAATTGGCTTATAATTCAGCCATCCTTTGGCCTTTTAATATATTATATTCAACAAATAAAAACATGCAAAAAACCCACGAACGAAAAAAAAAAAAACGTAAAACATTATATCTGTCGCTGAAACCCACAAATTAATTCAACAATTTTGCCACAATTTGTCTGTTTTATATCGTATTATATAAATATTATAAAAAAAAGAAAAAGGAAAGGGACGAAAGCAAACAACAAAAAAAAAAAACTAGAACGAAATAAGAAAAATCAAGAACGACTGGCTCTGTACGCTTGAAGAGCACGACTGCTGCGGAGGCGACGGTCAACACGAAAGCGACGGACTGCTGCGGAGGCGACGGTCAAGAACGAAAGCGACGGGAGGTATAAAGAAAGACTGTGGCTGTAGAAGGAGAGAACGAGAGCGGCGCGGGCAGAGGGAGGGAGAGGAGAAACGCTAGATTTTTGTTTGTATTGTTAAAATGCAACCCTGAGCTAAAACGACGTCGTTTTATTGTCGGGTTCATTTAAACTTAAAAATTGTGAATATCCTGTACGGAAGTGAAGTCCCATCGTCAAGCACGCTACCATCCGACGGACTAACGGCACTACTTTATTCACTCTTCTTTCCATTCCAGCCCGGAGAGAAACAAACGAATACCTTTTCTTTTACTCGACTGAAACGTTTCTTTTCCATAGCCATAAAGGTTTCTTCTCTCGTATTTCGTTGTTTTCTTTCATTTTCTTACTGTAATTGATAGCTTTGCATGCCATATTGTTTTCAATTTATTGTGGAAATCTTAAATTTTGAACACATCGTTTGTTTGTGTCCAGATTGCCTTTCCCAAGATCGAAATTTATCGCATTGGGAACTGCGTATACAGTTCATAGAGATGGTGAGTTAGGTTTTATGTATTCTTTTTTTTTTTTTTTAAATTTTTAATTTTGATTCTCTCGATGATTATTTGTTTGGCTGCTGGGAAAATATGGAAAATAACCTGAGTTCGACAGAGAATATGACTTAAGCACTTGGGGTGGGTTTTAAAGTCCTGTTTCTCGTTTCCCATCCTCTAACCCTGAAAGAACTCCTAAAAGAAAAATAAAATTGTAAGCTAAAGGGAGGATTCGGGTTTTAGTTGGATTTCTCTTTATGTTATTAATGAATCTTTGCGTTTGATTTGTTGGGGCTTTTTTTTAATTGTTTTTCTTTCTTCTTTAAATCGTTTGGATTATAGCAACCAGATATTAGAAAATGGTTAATGAAGGCCCATGACAAAGGCAATGGTAATGCTGCAAAGCCTGCACAACTTGCTACAACAAAAACAGAGAAGAAACCTCCTTCAGTGGAGTCAAAGCCTGAAAGACCTGTGAGTATATTGCTCTCCAAGTTTTCTTTAGCATGTGTGAAAAGTTTAAATAAGGTTTTGTTATTTTGTACCTTTAATAAGTTTGAAATTCAAGTTTGGCATCTGAAGATTGGATTAAATGTTAGCAACTGGATGCCGATGTTTACTTCGAGTTAGGAACATAAAAAATGAACTGCAATTTATCTGTCTGTGATAAGTATCGACAGTTCTCTATAGCTCTTTGCTTGACAGCTGAGAAGTACATGGGAGGAAGTAATGGAAAACAGTGTTTGAACTTTTGAACTTTCTAGCTCTGCTTATTTATTTCAATGTTTGTTAGCAATGAAGTGGCTTTATTAGGTTGAAGTTGAATAGGATTGGGGATAAATTTTTCTTAATTTGAATCATGAGAGTTTATTATGTTAAGGAGTCCATTGCTGTTGAATCTTCAAATGTTAAGATTGATTTGTTTTCTCTTTTGTTTCATAAGGAACCACTTAATGGGTAAAATGGATTTTTGTTAGAGCTCCAGATCTTTAGTAAAGAGGCATTCACTATTGGTTTACAACTTTCAATCAAAATGATTGGAGTACCGGATACCTAAGAGACTTAATGTCACCTGTTGTGTTTGGTTGATTGTTGCTTTGACTAATGCCTTTGTGAAGATTAAAGAAACAATGCATGATTGGATATAAAATAATATCCTGCAAATGTTTCCCTCTCCCTCTTTCTTTATGTGTATCTATTGTTTTTTAATATCATTTTGGAACAAATTTAGGCTCAAGGAGGGGAAGAAAATTCTGGCAGAAGGAAAACTAGCAAATATTTTGCAAAGGACAAACAAAAGCCAAAAGCGGAAAAAGAAGTTGATGAGCTTCCAGCAAAGAGAAAAACTCAAAATGATGCTAACGAATCTGTCAAACTGCCACCTTTAAAGAAAATTCACAAGGTTGATGATGGAGGAGATGACGATGACTTTGTTTTGCCTGATAAGAAGAAGTCTGTTGATGCCACTCCTAGTAAGAAATTGAAGACTGTCTCTGGCAGGGGAGTTGCTAAGAAGGCTGTAGATGATGATTCCGATGCTGAAGATGATCCTAAGGATGAATCTCCTCTTAAGTCTGGTGGAAGAGGGCGCGGTGGTAGGGGTGGATCATCAGCATTGGCTGGTGGAAGGGGCAGAGGTAGTGGCCGGAGTGGATTTATGAATTTTGGTGAAAGGAAAGATCCTCCACACAAAGGAGAAAAGGTCATAGAAAAATATAAATGTCTTGTGCATGCATGTAGTTGGGGTAACTGTGTATTCTCTGCGTTAACATTGGATCTTTTTCCCCCTTGTCAGGAAGTTCCTGAAGGTGCACCTGACTGTTTGGCTGGTTTGACATTTGTAATTAGTGGAACTCTTGACAGGTATTTTATTTCCTCTTTTTTCTTTTTTGCTGTTCACAAGCTTTGATTACTGGTTGCACATGTAATGAACACTCTGGGTACGTTTTTATTGTTCTCAATGGCGTGCATTTTATTGCTCTATATAAAAGAAGGAACTAACATGTATAGTTTCTTTTTGTACATTTTATGCTTAAGGCTTTTTTTTTTTTGTTGTTTGTCTTATGCTTGTTTTATTACTTAATAACGCAATGATTTTGAAAATTTTCAAAATCATTTTTTGTTGTTTTTGTCTTATGCTTGTTTTATACTAATAACGCAATGATGAGTTTTGTAGAAATTTTCAAAATCATTGCCAAAATTATTTTCTTTTTCAAAATCTTTGAATGATTTTGAAAATTTTCAAAATCATTGCCAAAATTATTTTCTTTTTTTCAAAAATCCTTTGTTTTCCAATCTTAGGCTTTGCTTATTCCTTGCTATTAACTGAACTGAGCGGAAATGTTAATAAATGATTCATATAGCCGGCCCCAACTTGTTTGGGACTAAGACTTAGTTGAAGTTGCTGTATGTACATTTTATGATAATTTGCATTTCTGACCATGTCGATTAGAGTTTCATTAGCACTGGATCATGCTAGCTATATCGTCATCAATTCTTGCAGTTTGGAAAGAGAAGAAGCAGAAGATTTGATTAAACGGCATGGGGGTCGTGTTACTGGATCTGTCAGCAAGAAAACTGTAATTTTATGCATATGTTATTTTGCTTTAATTTATGATCCATTAATAGCAAGTTATTAACACCATTTGTTTGCAGAATTATCTATTATGTGATGAGGATATCGAAGGACGAAAATCTAGCAAAGCCAAAGAGCTTGGGTAGATATCTCAAATTCAAGAACAGACATGTTTCCGTTCCAGCTATTGATCACACTGTATTTTTAATTTTGTTTTCTTATGTAGAACTCCTTTCCTTACTGAGGATGGATTGTTTAATATGATACGGTCATCTAAGGCAAAGGCCCCTGCACTTAATGAGGCAAAGGAGTCTGTCAAGAAAGTTGCTTCTCAGCCAAAAAAAAGTCCTGAAAAAGCAGAAGTTAAATGTATGAGTATGCTCTGGTTAACTATTTACTTTTGTTTAACCAATTTAACAACTTAATTATGTTCTAATGTTGCTCTATTTATTTTCTTCTTAGTTCTGTTGCAAAGGTATTTCCTAAAGTTGGCCATTTCTTTTTTCAGTGTTCTTGGTGCATGTCAAGTATAACTGGCTACTATGTACATAGTTTTTCTTGTTGAGTTGTCAGAGGAAAATACTAGTATTTCCTGAAGTTGGCCATTTCTTTTTTCAGTGTTCTTGGTGCATGTGAAGTATAACTGGCTACTATGTACATAGTTTTTCTTGTTGAGTTGTCAGAGGAAAATACTAGTGACAGTACTGTGTTTGAAGGGGAACCTTATGTTTCTGGTTCTTATTATGTCCTGATTGTGTATTAGAAATTAGCTGGAAATCATTATCTATTTTGTCCCCTAGCTGAGTGGAAGGAGATGCTGTCCGTCCAAGTTTTGACTTGGTTCCATCTTTTGTGTAACTGTTACTTGATCTGGAATGTATAGGACAGTCTGAATAGTTGATTTTAACATACTTATATTCTAGACACCTGTGATGGGTTAGTTTATATAGAGGCAATAACTGGTTAGCTTTATCTTTTGGTCTATGGGTGTTGTTTATTGTCAACAAATTCTGGATCTCTTACATTGCGCACGTGTTTTTTTTATGAAATTCACCCACAAATGTTACAATTGGAATTGTGTGTAGGCAACTCTATAACAAAAAATGGGAGTCGCAAAGATTCTACCTCTGGTGTCTCTCCTGCTAAGCAGAAGGAGCGAACTAACATATGTTCTTCCCTTCCGTGGACAGAGAAATATAGGCCAAAAGCTCCAAATGATATCATTGGGAATCAGTCATTGGTATGTCATTTAGTCATTATCTTTTCTGATATGGTCTAGCTACTTCAGTTTTATCTCCACACTTTCCAATCTTAAGAATTGGCACGATGAGCTTTCTTCATCCAATAATTGTAGGTTAACCAACTTCATAGTTGGTTGAAAAATTGGGACGAACAGTTCCTTGGTACCGGAAATAAAGGAAAGAGCAAGAAACAAAATGATTCTGGTGCCAAAAAAGCAGTGCTATTAAGTGGGACACCTGGTATAGGCAAAACAACAGCAGCAAAGCTAGTCAGTCGAATGCTTGGTTTCCAGGCAATTGAGGTTGGAATCTTGCACTCAGATTGTGTGGAGTCATAATTTATTTATTTATTTATTTATTTTTTAAATTCATTTATCGAAAAATCATAGTGTTCATACTCGCACATTTTTCTTGCAACTTTGGCTTGTGTTTATTCTATATGTATCATTTAGGTAAATGCTAGTGATAGTCGGGGAAAGGCTGATAACAAGATTAGCAAGGGAATTGGTGGAAGTAATGCAAATTGTATAAAGGAACTTGTCAGCAATGAAGCTTTGGGTGTTAACATGGATAGGTTGGTAATACATATTTTGTCGCTTATTTCAAGTTCTCTAAAATTTACTTTGGCTTTTTCCTCATGTAGAATTTGATTGCTATAAAATTCTAGGTCAAAGCATCCAAAAACAGTGCTTATCATGGATGAGGTAGATGGTATGTCTGCAGGGGATAGAGGTGGAGTTGCTGATCTTATTGCTAGCATAAAGATTTCGAAAATTCCCATTATCTGCATTTGTAATGATCGTTACAGTCAGAAACTAAAAAGTTTAGTGAACTACTGCTTACTTCTTAGTTTCCGGAAACCTACAAAGCAACAGGTTTATACCTTTCCCCTCTACATGCATTCTCTGATTGTGATTTATGAAGTTCTTTATTTGAGTTCCCTTTTCCTTTGTGGCGTGAACTTCGCATGTTTAGAGACCATTTGCTGCACTCATGAAAATTCTATTATCTTGGCCCTTTTCTCCCATCCAAGCTTATGACATTAGTTTCACTAGATTGCCAATCAGTGGAGAGGCAATATCTAGATGTGAAATTCAAGATTTAGGTTAGGGATTATGACTAGCTAGCTCCATTCTGGAAGGCCAATTCCCAGCTTTAATCCCACCTAAGGATCTTGTGGAGATGCACCCTTCCATTCTTTTTTCCCCCTACATGAATTGATCACTTAAACAACTGAGCTTTCGCTTCATTATGTTAATCATTCCACCAGCGGAGGCTTTTTCGCTAGTAGATATTATTTTTGATGATGGCTTATCCGTTAATGCCACTTTGCTGCTATGCTATGGGGAAACAAAAATGACTGGACACAATGTAGCTGGGAGATAATGAGAAGTTAATCACTCTTTTTTTCTTCTCTCGTCTTGCTTTTCTTAAGCTGAAAATTGTCATTCTGAATTGTGGTTGGTTCAAAATTTTTCCCAAAGCAATATTAATATATAGTTTTATTTGATTAATAGATTTGAATATATTTAGTACTATGTACTGAGTAATTCTGCTTTTTTTCTGAGCATATTATTAGTAACTATATATTATTAGGACACAGGCATACACTGAGCATATTATTACGAACTGATTACAAGTAGATATTTTTCTCTGATGTTTTCACACAAGTAGGTTTCAATGATTGAAGTAGCAATTTTACAGATGAATGGAACTTGGATCGAGACTGGTTTAGTTTTTATCTTGGACCATATTAAAATAACAACTGTTACCGATCCAGTTTTGGTCAAAATTTAAGAGCTGAATGATCTAGTGGTAAAAATAAAAACCATGAATGATTTAGGTGGTGGTTACAAAGAGATGGTTTGGCATTGATAGTAGTGGCTAGCAGACACAGTGGCAGCATTGATTTTGCTCATGGTTGGGGTGATGTGTTTATGGAAGCAGTGATGGTGGTAGTAAGCGATAGCTGTGTTGTTGCCGATGATAGTTATGATGATAATGCTGGTGATAGTGAATGATAGCCTTGATGGTGTTAGTGGTTGCGGTGACAGCAGTGGATGATGGTCAGTGGGGAGCTATAATGTATGGAAAAATATCAGCCATGGACATTTCTGCATTTTGGAAATGTTTCTGTGTCCATTTCCCCTTATAAACTACTGCTTCTCGTGTAAAATTGTATTTACAATGCCATTTCCCCATATTGTTTCCGTGTTTCTGCATTTCCATGTTTATGCTTCTGTGCAACATAGGTGGGGAGTGAATATGGTGGTGGTTGGAATGATAATTGTGATGCTCTTTTTGTTTTTTTTTAATCTACTTAACTATGCATTTGTTTTTCTTTGCCTTTCTGTTATTATGTGTCAATTGAAATGTAATGCAGTGAAGAAATGGGAAGAAAGCCAACTGTACATTTGTCTTCTCCCCCTGTATGTGTGTATCTCCTCTCTTTTTGTGTGCAGATACTTTTGTTCTGAAACTTAACTCATTGAGGCTGTGTGTTAGTTGTTGACCAGCCTCATAAAGTTCCAGCTTGAAGAACTTGCCATTAATCCTGGCTATTCTTAGGAATGGATTTTTGTGGCATAGTTATATGTAAATAGCAATCTGTTGTGCATGGCTGTTTCATTTGGTAATGGATTTTAGAAAACAAAAAATTTTGCATGACCCATGTACTTCATTTTTCCTAAACAACTAGTTAAAGAAAAATGTAGAGTTAATGAGCTACCTGGAAGAAATTGCAAAAAGGCCAAAGCATGTGTTGCATATGCGATCTTCGAGTTCACATCGCAGAAATATTTTACAACTGTCATTCTAAAAATCTTTTGAGACAAATAATGGAGTGTTTGAGGTCATTAAAACTGAATTTAATTCATGGCAGATGGCAAAGAGGTTAATGCAAGTTGCAAATGCAGAACGCCTTCAAGTTAATGAGGTAACTCCTTTTAAGTTTCAGTGCATTTCTTCATTTGGAGTTTGTATTTATCTTGTGTGGATGGTCTCTATTAATGAATACATGTCATACTCGTGGCATTTGAAGCCTCCAAATTATTTGTTAGCATTAACAAAACAAAATTGTTTCTTAACACGATGATTGATTTGTTGCCTCACTTTGGTTGAATAAGTAATACATGAAAGACAATTATATACGTGATAAAGTGCCGCATTATCTGTGTGATTGTTCTTGGATAGTATTAATTTCATGGTGTTATATAAGAGTATAAAACATTTATTTCTGCACCAGCTTTTTAAAATTATTGTGAATTTATAATTAATTCTATGGGAACTGGATTCCTCGCTGCCCCTTTACATATTCCCTCCTGTTCATTAAATTTTCTTTATGGATCATCGACAAAGTTTTATTGTAAATTCTCCAATACTTTTCCTTTGTCATGCGCTTACTTGCAGTCATTTTGTTTAATGTTAATAGCTAACCAATTTGCATAAACTTTCCCTTCTTTTGTTCTTTTTCTAGATTGCACTCGAGGAACTTGCGGAAAGAGTGAATGGAGACATGCGCATGGCACTAAACCATTTACAATATATGAGTCTGTCCATGTCAGTCATTAAGTATGATGATGTTAGACAGCGCCTTCTTAGCAGTGCAAAGGACGAAGATATTTCTCCCTTCACAGCTGTTGACAAGTATGATTATCCCTTATTTTACATCTACATGTCTCTTGCCACAGTATGATGTCTTTTCACAGAATAATTCTCTAAGCTGTATTTTGAATTTAAAAACAAAAACAAAAAGATTTAAAACCCCAAGGTTTCAATCCCTGCATGGTCTTTGAACCACTAAAGGCAGAGGGTCAAGGGTTAGCTATTGAACCTGGGTCAAACTGGGATTGAATTGACATTAAATTCAAATTATATAATATATAAATTAATCAATAAGTATCAGTAACCATAAAGTGAAAAAATATTTTCGAATTATATAAAATATAAAAATTAATAAATAATTTATTAGAAATCAGAAATTTGATTAAAATATTTTCTAATTAATTAAATTTTACAACACTTTATTAAATGATTAAAATAACTCCATTTAATCTCAATATATTTCTTTTAATAAATAATTAATAATTTAATTATAATTAGAACTTCTTAAGATAGTAATGCTGATAGAAGAATGAAATTTTGAATCACAATAAATTCAATGTTATGAAATTTATTAGTAGAAAGTAAAAAAATAATTTTTTGTTACTGTAGACAAATGTAATCCTGATGGTACAGAAAGAAAATAAATGAGAATATTTTGATTATATGTATGTTATCTTTCACTGGAAATATAACATCTAGTGTTTTGTCCAGGTGGTCAAAACATATGCAGCTATTCAATGATTAAGGTCCAGATTTAGTACTTTAAAAATGAGGATGCAGTTGAACTGCTTTACACATTTACAATGGGCCCAGGTTGACCGGTTCACCAGGTGACTGACTGGTTCAGTGAGTATAAAGTGAGCCCACGAATAAATGGGTTATTATGTAGACCAGAGTCGCTACTGGTCTGCTTACTAGTTAATGCGGCTGCATTGGCTGGGCTGGGCCGGTTTGGGTATGAAAACATTGAGAAGGCCTCATACAATGACATTTGAGTTGTCAAAATTTCGCTGAATTTTTTGGGAACTCTGTGCTCATCTTGACTAGGATATAATATCTTTGGACCATTTCCATAACATGAGTAGATAGGTTGGATATGATGTGGCTTACAATTACACTATTGTAATTTCATAAAACATTTTTAGTTGTGTCATATCTGTCACATGTATTTTGTCTCTTTCCTACGGTAACTTATATGTATTAGAAGCTTATGCTAATCTGTGATCTTGGTAGTTACTTTCTGCTTTCATTTTCCTTTTTGCTGTTATAGTATGAACAGTGAGGCGCTTATTGTTGCTCATTTTTTATTTGTTAAAGTTTTTGTCCATGAATAAACGTGAAATATTTGAAAAGTATTCAAAGAATATACCTGATACTTACCCATCCTTTGTGTTGTAGGCTTTTTGGCTTTAATGGCGGTAAACTGAGAATGGATGAACGGATTGACCTTAGCATGAGTGATCCTGACTTGGTGCCTCTTATAATTCAGGTGCATTTTTTGTTTATATGCTTATACTTTGTTGCCTTCACAAAATTCCTTTAAAATTTTAAATCTGGCGCTGCTTGAAGTTCATTCAATGCCTAAACCTTTTCAATGAGAATGAAGCACTTGTTATGTTAACTGTATGTGTGTGTGTGTGTATATATTCATTATAAATATCCGTACTCTAAACCTGAGAGATTGAGAGATCAGTATCCTAAATAAGCAAAATATTTATTCTTTTCAATAATATTAGGATTAGGATTTCTAATTAATTTTTTTAATATTAGGATTTATAATTGAGTTAAAATTATCATATTAATAAATTTCTAGGTTATTTTTATTTATTTTAGTGTTAAAATGTTTCTTCTTCCTAATTGAGTTTAAATATTTAAAAATATTAGGATTCCTAATTAAATTTAGACATCAGTGCTTTATTATTATTATAACAAATCATTTTAAGATATTCTTGTTTGTTTGTAATTGAGTTAAAATATGTCCTTTTTTTTTTTTAAAATATTAGGATAACTAATTGAGTTGAAACATTCATATTTGAGTTTTTTGTTTTTAATATTAGGATGTCTAAATGAGTTAAAATTATTTCTTTTTTTTTTTTCTGTTTTATACAAAATATTAGGATTCCAATTTATTTACTTGTGTGATAAGTAGTTTAAACAAAATTATAATAATTAAATTATTAAATCAATTAAATAATCACTATAGATTGAATTTGTGGTGCAAGCATTATATTGAATATTAAATTTAATTTGTCATTACGATCAGCTTAGCTTGAAAAATTATAAAAATAACTCCAAATAAAAAGGAAAGAAATTTTCAACAATGCAAAAGTTTACAAATAAATTTAATTAATTTAATTAAATAAAAATTTCTTTAATTTACAATTATATTTTTGGCAATATAATTTGGATGAAAATTGGGAAAACATATAACCAATTCAAATTAATTACCTTCTCAACCAATAAAGTTAAAATCCTTAAAAATATTTTTGTCGATCTATAGATTTGATGGGGTATTTTTGCTAATCCCAATGTTTCCCCTACTCATTTCCATTTTTTTAGATATTATAGATTATAGATAGATTATAGATATACATACCAAAGATGCCATTGTGATTATTAATCATGGTTTAGGTTGGGAACAACTCATAGACGACCTTCGTGGGAGCCTGTGCTGTATTCTAAATTAGTTGTGATGCCTATGCTGAGGGCCCAAGGTCAGAATAGTGAAATCAACACTGACAATTATATAAACGTGTGTTTTATTTTTCTTGTCATATTTATCAAATTTTGACTTGCCAGGCATTACATTTTGTTGGAATGCTTGTATTGTTTAGTAATGTAACATGATATAAATCTTGAATGATTTTTTTTTGTTCATGCAACGCATGTATTTTTTTTTTTTTCCATACTTTTGGCAGGAAAATTATATCAATTATAAGCCAAGTTCAATTGGCAAAGATGATAATGGGATGAAACGAATGAAAATGATTGCCCGCGCTGCTGAGTCTATTGCCGATGGAGATATAATAAATGTGCAGATTCGAAGATATCAACGGTGGCAGCTCTCTCAAACTGGTTCCATTGCTTCCTCTATTATTCCGTATGTATTCCCATGTAATACCGAGAGTCCTTTCCTTGGATTTTTACTTTGCCCTTGTGCTGATATCTGACCTCTGTTGTTCGAGTCAGGGCTGCATTGCTGCATGGACAAAGGGAGACACTTGAACAGGTAATGAATGTGTATCTTGCATCTTCAATGTGGTCATCCGTACTGCTGTTCCATCATATAGAAGGATTATTGCTTGCTATGCTATTTAATTGTGATGCCCACTTATCAGAAAAACAGCACTTTCCATGGTAAATGAGGAACAGTTACGCATGTGAGCTGCAAAAATTAAAATTACCTACATATCATTTTTTTCCCCTAGTTTTTTCTTCATTTTATATGTTAGTAGGAATCTCTTTATTTTGAAGGGCAGTCATGTTTTTCTTTTGATGGACCTTAATATATATTCTAGAAGGCTGAGGTTCCTTCTTAAACTAGTATATTATTTCATCACAATTTTTCTTCACTTGTTTAAAGTGCAGGACTTTTGATCTTAATTTGATTGGTTGGTAATTTGGTTTAGCTTGACTAAACTTTAGTAAATTATTTCTATCTGCAATAGATTATAATGCCTTTTTTTTAAAATTTTTTTTATGCTTGGAATGATAATTATATATGATGAACCTTTGTTATTGATGCTTGGGAATGATAATCATATACGATGAAATTGTATCATCTACTTTGCTGCTTGCACTTTGTGTCAATTGAGGATTTCATTTTTGTGTTTCTATATGTGTAACGTTTGATGCAGGCTCCTGAGAATATATAATTCCTCCAGTTAATGCTTCACTTGATAAATTTGTGTTATATAAATATGTCATGGCTGTTTTGATCTCATTTCCATTTCATCTTATTAAATTGTGTTCACGTTTTCAGGGAGAACGGAATTTTAACAGGTTTGGTGGGTGGCTGGGAAGGAATTCAACCATGGGCAAAAATCTTAGGCTTTTGGAGGACTTGCATGTTCATCTCCTTGCTTCTCGTGAGTCTAATTATGGAAGGTAACTCTATACTTGAACCTATAGTTGTTTGCTTAAACCATATCAGGCAGAGTATAATGCTTTAACATCTTCAGCAGACAAATGTACAATGCACCTTGGCATAACTTGAATATTATTCTTCAAGAGTTCCGGTTATTTTGGTTCTCAAGAGTGGAGAGGTGATTAGGTTTAGATGGTTATGCATGTGTGTTTCGTTGTGAGCATGTGCTGCTTACTCCGTCCTTGCAGTCTGACAGGACAGTGTTTGGAGTTGGCACCACACTTGTTTTATTGGATGACACCAAACATCCTATGGATCTTCAGTCTTCTGGCTCTTTAATGGGGCTGATGCTTATGAGCCATTATGTTTAGGAATAAGTGTCAGGATCCCAGTAATGACAACTTAAAGCCTGTTTGATTTTGGGCAAAATCTTAAAGCCAGTTTTATGTTGGATAAATTTTGCTGTTAACAGTAGCCAAACCCTAGGCTGCAATAAACTGAAGTCTCATAATGGAGTTCTCGGTCTTGCTGTTGACCTAAGATAAGTGAACAGCATGATTATGGGTAGGTTTTGGTTTCAAACGTGGTTAACTGCCAAGATCTGCATCTGGTTAATCGTGTTAGCAAGTTAAAGCTTCACCTTAAGAAATTTGTCACGTTGACATGGTCAATGGTGCCAAAAAACTTGTTACTGTAAAAAAATGAATATTCTGCATCAAAAGAAACAAGAGAAAGGGTTAAATGATGTCGTAGGGTCCTAATGTCTTGTACGGGGTACACGAAAATTAGATGTGGTAAATGAGGCCTTGGAATTGGACCCCCTTTTTCTAATAGAGCTTTTAGGAGCAATTTCTCCTCCTGAAGTGCTTATCAGAATGTTGTGTGCAAATCCATGGTAACTGAGATACCTTTGCTTAGTAGACCATATAAAGATTGCTTTGAAAAATTGCAATATCTTTTTCTTACATGTGGTAGAAGAAATAATCAAGTAGAACTATGATCAAACCGCAATGAATATTTCTAAGCGTCAGAAGAACTAGTGGAGAATAAGCTATATCAGAAGTCTGCCTTTTGCTCTGCTTGTATTATTGTCTAACATATTGAATCAGCAATTTGAACTCTGTAATTTGAGTAGGTTTCTTTTACATTTTTCATTTCCTGTTTAAAGGTACTTAGCTTGCTTTTGTTGCAAATCTTGCAGAGAGACTCTTCGACTTGAATATCTTACCCTTCTTTTAAAACGATTGACTGATCCTCTTCGAGTGCTGCCTAAGGTTTGAAATATACGTTGAACAGAGTTAATGGCTTCAAATATATTTGATTTCCTATATTCACAATGTATAGAGATTCTTTGAATTTTTTAAAATACTAATTTACTAGGCCAAATGCATAAAAATATCCCTGAACTTTACAAATTTAACTGTGTGATGCACCAAACTTTGCAAGAGATCAATTGTGCCCCCAAGTTATAGAATTACACTTGTTAAATACTTCAACTGGTAAAAATTATGTTATTGAACACCCAATCTTGTAAAAAATATAAAAAGTATTGTTTCAAAAGTTTACTAATCACATATAATATCTATTCTTTGTATATTAAAGACAAACCCTAAAATTGTTGTTGCTAGTTTAGGGAGGGACATAACATGGTCAAAATACGCAAGTTGAGGGGTACAATAGATCCCCCGCAAAGTTCAACGTTCCACAGGCTTGAGGTTTTAAAGTTCAGGGGTAATTTTATGTATTTATCCTAATTTACTACTTCTGGAAGTTGTTGCTTGACTTGACTTGGTTAGGCTAATTGCCTTGGTGCCTTGGAATGTTAAATTTTCTGTATGAAACAACTACCAGGATGAAGCTGTTGAGAAGGTTGTGGACTTCATGAATACATATTCAATAAGTCAGGAAGACACTGATACTATTGTCGAGTTGTCAAAATTTCAGGTGTTCCTACCTATTTACTAAGAAGCACCGATTGTATTTACTCTTCATAAACCTTGAGATCATCTTATGTTGTTTTTATCCATTAGGGCCACTCAAATCCAATGGATGGCATCCCATCTACTGTCAAGGCAGCCTTGACCAGAGCATATAAAGAAGGAAACAAATTTAGGATGGTACGAACTGCAGACTTAGTCCCACTTCCTGGCATGAAAAAGGTCCCTAAGAAGCGAATTGCAGCGATCCTAGAACCATCTGATGATGGTTTAGCTGAGGAAAATGGTGATGTGTTAGCAGCAAACGATGAAGAAAACTCTTCTGACACAGAGGGCACAGGTAAATGTTATAATACAAGTCTGATTGATGCCACCATAAAATTCTTTGCTTCCCATGCTAGAAGTGTTCTTAGCTGATAACTGTATTACTTATGCTTTGACATTAGTTTGCAAAATCAGATGAATAATGACTGTTCAACCTTAGTGTCTACCTACTACATGAACTATAGAAATGTTAATAAAGGGAAAAAAGGGGAAAATTCCTAACACAAAAATCATAAAAGCATTATCGGTCACCTCTTATGATCTATTTCTTGAAAGTTACTTTTATCTACATAGAAAAGGAGAAGCTATTTGGTTGATAACATTCTTCCTGGAGTGCCATATTTGAGATTTGCATGTTTGGACATGCTGGTCTTAATCCGATTTGATTTCATTTTTCCTCTTGATGTGTCAGAAGAAGCTCCTGATGGTGAGCAACTGAAGTCTGAACTTAATAGTTTGAAGTCAAAAGGTCAGTAATATTTTCTAGTCTATTTTTACTCCAAATTGAGCGGATTAAAAAGAGAATTGATGAATGCTAAGATCAGCAATAAATATTTTGCAGGAATTGAAGTAGAGATGGAAATAAAGGGAGCTGGAAATTCAAATGCTAAGAAGATGCCGACAGGCAGAGGAAGAGGTGGGTCCTCATCTGCAGCAAAGAAACCAGCTGGCAGAGGAAAAGGGACTTCTGGGTCCTCAGAGAAGGCAGGATCTAAGAGAAAGAGATGAGAGATGAGAGTGATTGTGGAGTAGCCATCGACTGGTGTAGCAGTGTAAGTAGGTTTCTGTTTTTCTAGGTTAGCTGGAGAAAGCGGTTGGTGAATGTCACCATAGTATCTGTTTGAAGCCCACTTTTTCTGTGGTGAAATTTTGTTAACCGGTTTTCTTTTGGGTAAATATTTTCTGATTTGGTTGCTTTTAACAAATGCAATTTGCTTGTATTTTGTGGACAAAAATATTTAATCGGTCATACGTTTCCGGTTTTCCCTATTTGCTGGATTGTTTTCTTTCAAAATTTCAGGAAGTTGATATCTGAAGTTAAAGCTTTATTCATAAAAAATAAAATATTAAAACAAACTTCACTCCACCTTCATTGACATGTCTTAAAGAAAGCAAAAAGCCCTACAACTTCTTCCTTTCAAAGAATGGAAGTGAAAAGTTGTGCTTTATGTGAACAAGTCCACTGCAAATGAAAATTTTCATTTGCCTCTGCATATTATTTTTATTACTATTAAGTTTTTAATTATAATTATTTTTCCCATGCAATGATAACACATTTAATTTGAGATTTTTAAGAATTTAAAAATTAACTATATGGTAGTCAATTGAACATGTATTTTGTTGAAGTAAAGAACGGATTCTAAAGAATAAGAAAAAGAACAATAAATCTGGAATCAAATTGGCCTTGAAAGGCTTTAATTAGTGAGATGATAAGCAGAAAATATAACCACCAACTCCAAGTAGAATAGGCAAGTAGATGGCTGGAAACTAGCCCTAGGAGAAGTACCCCGTTACTAGTAATTATTAGATACCTTGCACAGACACGCTCTAATTGTATATAATGTAGTCCCTAAATTAGCTTTGACAGGTACCCCCGGCTACACTTGGTCCCTTGTCTTTTTTTTGGAGGGCTTGTCAACTCTGCCTATATTGGGCTGACCATGAGACTTTTAACTATTGTCTATGTACAGAAAATATCTGCTTTGGAATAGCTTTCATAGAGAACTTCTTCGACCGAAGGGGTATAACTTTGGAATTTAGGGTTTGGAAGCTCCAACATAGAAAGGTCTAAGCTTGACTTTAATGCTTCATACAAGTCGATAGATGAGATATTGCAGTTTCAAAATGGCGTGCGAAGCAACAAACATAGATATTGCGCCAAAATTGTTGAATGCTTCCGGAGTGACATCGATTTTGTGTATGAATTTATAGTGCGTATGCAATTCTTAATGACGCATCGAATAGGCTAGATAGGCATGTCAGGCTAACAAGGAGACACCAAACTATCACCTAGAAGACTCTATATGAGCTGCCTGTCAGACGTACAGAAGATATCAGCTCCGGAATTGGCCTTCATACAAGGCTTCTTAGACCAAAGGAGTATATCTTTGGATTTTTGGTCAAAAAGCTCAGACATGGAATGACTCGAGCTTGATTTCAATGCTTCATATAGGTGGATAGACGAAATATTATGGTATCAAAATGACATGCAAAGCAACAGATAGAGATATTGGGTGAAAACTACGAAATGCTTTCGGAGTTCGGAGTATGCAATGCTTAATGAGGCATCGAGAAGATGAGATATGCATACCAGTTTAACCACGAGACCCTAAAATATCACCTTGACGACCCTGTACTAGCTGCTCGTACGACGTACATAAGATATCAGCTCCGGAATAGACCTTCATATAGGCTTTCTTAGACAAAAGGGGTACACCTTTGAATTTTTAGGCCTCAAAGTTCTTACATGGAATGGCCTGAGCTTAATTTCAATGCTTCCTACAGGCCAATAGACGAAATATTATGGTCTCGAAATGGTGTTCTAAGCAACAGACAAAGAGATATTGGGCCAAAATTGCCGAATGTTTCAGGAGTGGTACGAATTTTGCGCATAAATGTATATTGTGTATGCAATTCATAATGACACATCGAGAAGGTGAGATAGGCATGCTGGATTGACAACGAGACCCTAGAATAACATCAGGCGTACAACTGATATTGGCTCCGGAATAGGCCTTTAAATAGGGCTTCTTAGACCAAATGTGTATAACATTGGATTTTTAGGATCGAAAGCACCGGAATGGACCAAAAATGATTTCAATGCTTGCTACAGGTGTTAGACAAAATACTATTACCTTGAAATGGCGTACCAAGAAATAGACAGAGAGATATTGGGCTATAACGGCTGAATGCTTTTGAAGTGGCACCCATTTTGTGCATGAATTTATATAACGTATGCAATTCTTAACGACGCATCGAGCAAGCGAAATATGCATGTCGGGCTAACCACGAGACCCAAAACTATTGCCTAGAAGATCCTATAGGAGCTGCCATTAGGCATGCAGACGATATCGGCTCCGAAATAGTTCTTTAGACAAGGCTTCTTAGACCAAAGGGGTATACCTTTGGATTTTTGGGCCCGGAATCTCCAACCATGAATGGCCCAAAAATGATTTCAATGCTTCCTACAGGTTTTTAAGCGAAATATTATTTCCTCAAAATGGCGTGCCAAACAACAGATAGAGAGATATTGGGCTAAAATTGCCGAATGGTTCCGGAGTGGCATTGATTTTGCGCATGAATTTATATGGCGTATGCAATTCTTAACGACGCGTTGAGCTAGCGAGATTGGCATGCCAACTTGACCACGAGACCGAAAACTATTGCCTAGAAGACCCCATATGAGCTGCCCGTCAGGCATACAGATGATATCGGCTCTGTAATAGGACTTCAGACAGGGCCTCTTAGACCAAAAGGTATACCTTTGGATATTTGGGCCTGGAAGCTCCAGCACGGAATGACCTGAAAATGATTTCAATACTTCCTACAGGTCTCAGGCCAAATATTATTGCCTCAAAATGGCGTGCCAAGCAACAAATGGAGAGATATTGGACCAAAACTGCCGAATGATTTTGGCGTGGCACCTATTTTGCGCATGAATTTATATGGCATATGCAATTCTTAACGACGCATCGAGCAGGCGAGATAGCCATGCTGGGCTAGCCTCGAGATTGCAAAATATTTCCTAGAGCACCCTATATGAGCTACCCTTTAGGCATAGAGGTGATATCAATTCCGGAACAGACCTTCAGATAAGGCTTCCTAGACCAAAGGGGTATAACTTTGGATTTTTGGGCCTAGAAACTATAGCATGGAATGGTCCAAAAATAATTTCAATGCTTCCTACAGGTATTAGATGAAATATTGTTGCCTCAAAATGGCTTGCCCAGCAACAGAAAAAGAGATATTGGGGGAAAACTGATGAATGCTTCCGGTGTGGCACTGATTTTGCGCATGAATTTATCTGGTGTATGATATTCATAATGAGGCATCAAGCAGGTGAGATAGGCATGCTGGGCTGACCAAGAGACCCCAAGATATTGCCTAGAAGACCCTATGCGAGCTTCACATCATGCATACAGACGATATCGGCTCTGAAAAAGACCTTCAGACAAGGCTTCCTAGACCAAAGGGGTATACCTTTAGATTTTTTGGCTCGAAAACTCCGGTATGGAATGGCTTGAAAATGATTTCAATGCTTCCTACTGATCTTAGAGGAAATATTATTGCCTGGAGTGCCAAGGAACAGACAGAGAGATATTGGACCAAAACTGCCGATTGCTTCCGGAGTGGCACCGATTTTGTGCATGAATTTACGTGGCGTATGCCATTCTTAACCATGCATTGAGCAGCCGAGATAAGCATGCCGAGATGACCACGCAAACTATTGCTTAGAAAACCCTATATGAGCTGCCCTTTAGGCGTACATGCGATATCGACTACGGAACATGCCTTCAGACAAGGCTTCCTAGACCAAGGGGTATACCTTTGGATTTTGGGCCTAGCTGCTCCGACAGGGAATGAGCCGAAAATAATTTCAATGCTTCGTACAGGTCTTAGACGAAATATTATTGCCTCGAAATGGCGGGCGAAGGAACAGACAAGGAGATATTTGGCCAAAATTTTCAAATGCTTCCGGTGTGGCACCGATTTTGCGCATGAATTTATCTGGCATATGCAATTCATAACAATGCATTAAGTAGGTGAGATAGGCATGTTGGGCTTACCACAAGACCCTAAACTATCGCCTAGATGACCCTATACAAGTTGTTTGTCAAGCGTAAGACGTTATTGGCTTCGAAACAGGCCTTTTGACAGGGGTCCTAGACCAAACGGGTATACCTTTGGATTTTTGGGCTCGGAAGCTCTGGCCCAAAATTGCCAAAAATGATTTCAATGCTTCCTATAGGTCTTAGAAAAAATATTATTGCCTCAAAGTGGCATGCCAAGCAACAAACAGAGAGATATTGGACCAAAACTGCCGATTTCTTCCGGAGTGGCATCGATTTTGCGCATGAATTTACATAGCGCACGCAATTCTTAACAACACATCGAGCAGGCGATATAGGCATACCAAGCTGACCACAAGACCCTAAACTAATACCTAGAACACCCTATATGAGCTGCCCATCAAGTGTACAGACGATATCGACTTCGAAATAGGCCTTCAGAAGAGGCTTCCTAGACCAAAGGGGTATGCCTTTGGATTTTTTAGGCCCAGAAGCTCTGACATGGAATGGCCCAAAAATAATTTTAATGCTTCCTCTAGGTCTTAGACGAAATATTATTACCTTGAAATGGCGTGCCAAGCAACAGATAGAGAGATATTGGGCCAAAACCGCCGAATGACTTCGGTGTGGCACTGATTTTGCGCATAAATTTATTTGGCATATGCAATTCTTAGCAACGCATCAAGCTGTTGAGATAGGCATGCTGGGCTAAACATGAGACCCCAATCTATCCCTTAGAAGATCTTATACGAGTTGCCTATCAGCCGTACAAAATGATTTCAACTTTGGAATAGGCCTTCAGACAAGGCTTCCTAGACACTTCCAATATTTTTTATTCTTTCTCGCCATCCTTATATTTTATTTCCTTTTCTTTCAGATAAAAAAAACCAGAATATTTCGCCAGTCAAAGCAAGAAAGACACTTCCAATATTTTTTTCTTTTTACTTTATATTTATATCTGTTAGAAAAGAAGAAAGAGAATGACTTTTCCTACTGCAAATATTCTTAGAATTGCGTGTGTGAGGCTCCTCCTAAATTGGAAATTTCCTCGTCCCCTTGAACTTTATTCTCTATTGAGGCCTTCCTCTAGATGTTCCAAGAACTATTATTCCAGATTGGTTCAGCGATTCCTCACCTAAGCTGTGCGCCAACGAACGCAGCACGTGTGGAATTCCTCCTGTGTGAGTTACTTCTAAAGGG